GTCGCTTCAAAGCCGTTCATAACGGGCATCGAGATATCTATTCGTTTGGGTTAGAATTTGTCTAATTGTCCAACCAAGGAATCTGGTAATCAAAGGGGGCAAACACAACTTACCCATAAAAATCAGGTCATAGCCTTGTTGAAGCCTTTCAACAGCATCGACTGCTACTTTACCGTTTTCAGCAGCGTCCAGCGTAGCCAAATTGCGTTTTTTCATGAACGTCAGCATGAGATTGAGGTTGATAGAGTTGTCGTCCACAACCAGGACACGCGCGAGGCGCTGGGGCTTGGGTTCGAGTTCCTTGATTTCGGACGGCGATGGATCCAGTACTGAAGAAGGAGACATGATGGTAGGAAGGACTCCTGGAATCTCACTGTGTGTGGGGGAGTGTGCTGATCCAAGGGACGACGATGCGCCCGAACTGCTCGTGGCGTCTGGTGTTAAATCTGCCGCATCATCGGAGAACTCGGACTCAAAGCCGCCTTTGCCGTCGGGTATGAACTTGGGACGTTCCGGGAGGACAATGGACCTCGTGGTTGGGATGCTGTCAGCGTGTGAATCAAGACACTTCCGGATGCTTCGGGCAAGTTTATGTGGACCGCATGGCGGGCGGATGATATTGACGATGCTGGCGAGAGAAGAGCACTCTTTTAGCTTAGTAGCTCGGTCAACTGATTTGTTACAGAGCAGGACGAGAGCTGGAACTCTGGTTACAAACTGCTTCTTCAGATCTGCAGCTGAAATGGCTCCATCAGAAAGAATGATGTCGACAGGGGCCTGAGGCGACGAGACCAGCTCGAGGCCGTACCAGTCGGTCAGATAGCAGCTGATAATAGACCACCAAGGATGGCTTGCTACCTCATCTGGCTCCACACCGGCGATGGCAACCCGTCGACCGGCATGCTGGTCTCGTAAGAGGCGGCTTTCGGTGGGGCTGTCCTTATCCTTTACGGATGGTGACCGCGGGGTTAGCGGGTCCTCGGCGATATCTTCGACATCCGGTCGCAAGAGAGGCAGGGTGACCTTTACAGTAGTCCCCTCACCAGGCGTGCTATTCACATCGATGCGACCATTCAACGATTTCACAAGACTCCGGACAATAGATAGCCCTAAACCAGTTCCCACGGCCAACGTATCCTCCTGCGCGAATGGAGTGTACAGGCGCCCGCGCAAAAACTCCTCCGAAATGCCTTTTCCGGTATCCGAAACAACGAGGGTCACCAACTCTTCCATGCCTGACCGGCGACCACGACCCTCGGCCTCAGTCACCTCCAGTCGCACAGACACCCGGCCTGAATCTGTATATTTCATGGCGTTACCGAACACATTCATGATAATGCGCCGTAGAGCTCCCGGTTGGGTCTGATAGACCCAATCGTTCTGTGCAATGTTCACGACGACATCCACTTCAGGCCGGGATGGGGAGAGACTGCTTTTGTCGCTTGGTCCCTCCGTAGGCGATACCACAACAGGCTGATCGGATGAGATAGTGGACTTCTGGCCGTACGCATGCCCCAGGCACACGCCTTCCACCACTTCCTCTGTCAAAAGGGCTAGGTCTGTTGATACATACGTGTCCAAATGAGCTGATAGCCGATCGAGCGCCCGGTAGTCGGACGGTATTGTTCTGTCCCGCTTGATATGCCGCCAAGACTTCTCCAAAGACACAATCTTACTATAATCTAGGACCTGATTCATCGTGTCCAGCAAGGTCCGGCCGCATGCATCGATGGTTTCCAGGAGGGAACCCTGAAAGTCATCCAGTTTTGTGCCGCCCAAAAACTCAGCCGCTGCCAAGATACCATGCAGGGGACTGCGTAATTCATGTCTGTGTTAAGAGATACCAATCAGTAGCCGGCCTACGAGACTAAAGATATTGTGGATATACTTACGAAATACTGCCGATGAAGTCCCCCTTCTGACGGTCAGAGATAAGCGATTCGACCCGGCTGTACTCTGCCATGATCGAAGATCCAAATCCAAGGACAGAGCTCAGCTCCACGGACGAGTTAAAGACGCGGGTTTCGACCGTATTCCAACAAAAGCAACCAGCGAACCATTGAGAGTTGGCAGCGTTCCACAAAGGCACGAAGAGAACCTGAGTTGCGTTGGGGAAGTAGAGGTTCAGCATGGAGTTTTCCAGGGACTTCCTCTTCTTTCCCGTACCCCGGCCTAGTTCGGGGGCCTTGGTGGCTCGAGAGCGACTCCGAGAAGGCTTTTCGTCGTCGGAGCTTGACACCAACCCATCTCGGTGGAAGGACCACAGCTTTCCTTTCGAATAGCGCCGGAGCAACTGATGCAGAAAACTGGTATCGAAATTTGATGCTGGGTAGAGATTGGAACTACCCGGTCCTGGCGCGAACGGATCGTCGTTTGTTGAGATAGCCAATACGGGAGCCGGCGAGCTGTTTTCCGCGGAACAGTCGCTGCCGCTCTCCATATCGAGCATTGGCGTATTGCCCGCCTCCAAGAAAATGACACCGCCGTCACCACCGAGCTCAAGACTCTCACGCAGCAAATTTGCCGCCCGCTTAAAGGCCCAGGAGTTGCCATGAACTTCCTCCAGCCGCTGATTCCCCCGATTACCCGACCACCAATCTGGAAGTGGCGACAAGCCGGAATCGCCTCGACCCTCTGACATGGAACTGGTCGAACGGGCATCACTGCTCTGGGATCGCCGCGAAGGGAGCTCGAAACTGTTAAGAGAGCCCACCGAGAGGTGATTCGCCCTCAGATTAGAAGACTGGGGCGTGCCCGGTACCGCGGCGAAGCTTCCCGCATACGAAGGATGTGATGTATCCACAAGACTGGAACTACCCTCCACAAAACAGCTGAGACCCCGAGATAGCCGAGTTGCACGTCTCCCCTCAGAAGCTTGACGGCTCACTCGCAAATAGTCCATGATAAGTATACTCATGGTTTTCATCGTCTCCTTGTCGGTGTCGGTCAGCCCATCATGGGGTTTAGTGTCCAGGACAAAGAGACAGCCGATATTGATATTGGTCTCCGTTGTCAAGGGGGTTCCTGCGTAGAATCGATAGTTGGGTTTCTCGCGCACAAAGGACAGGCTCTTGTATTCGTCATGTTGACTTAGATCATCAATGACCAAAAACTTGCATTGACCCTCCTCTCTTTTCGAAGGACCGAGTGCTACTGTAGCCTACACGAGAAAACGGTCTAATTAGTGAGTGAATAAAGTGTTCCCGACCAATGAGACATACCGCACACATCTTCCATGCCTCGGCTGAAATGGTGCTACAGCCATTCCAGATCGCATCTCCTGGCACATCATGCTTGCTTGATGTAGTGGACGACCGCATTGACTGTGCGAGGATGAATTGTGAGTTGCGATCCGAGACACTAGATAGCACAGTGGTTAACAACGGCAGTTCGGTCAGAAGGAAAAGGTCCCCCCTACCTAATCAGCACACGCTCGACATCAAGGCGCAACGCTGCCAGCTGCGCGAAGGATGACAACGTCGTATTGGGGTTGCCCAGGACCAGGGCCTCCTCGGGCACGACCGCAGATGCTGCGCCGACGGGGCCCGGTAACGGTGGTTGCGAAGAGATCGACGGCGACGGAGGTGTAGCGAGAGACGAATCCTGGATTGGAGCCGAGGCCAAGAAAGGCGAGCTATTGCTGCTGGAGGCTCGGTTCCCACTGAGAACTCGTTCCGGTTGAAAGTAGCGATACAGCTCACGAACTCGGCGACCGGTATTGTGGTCATCGCTCCTGTGGTTGGACTCCATGGCTGCCGAGAACGAGATAACGGCCGGAATGAGAGGGGTGAAAAGACGCAAAAAGGTTAAATCGGTCTAATTGCTTCAGTCGCACTCCATCGTCAGTCCCTTCTCTTAGGACGGAACTGTTGTTGGTTGGATTGGGTGTGGCGCAAGAATAGAGCCTAAAAGACTGAGGATGGGAGGGGAAAAGAGGCGGAAAGAACCAGAAGGGAGAGAGTAAAAAAAAAAAAGAAAGAAAAAAAAAAAAAGTGTAAACAAGGGTTGAAACCGGGGGTCTGAAATGAGTTTTATGAATAATATCCCAGACAGGAAACCGGTTTAATATGCAGGCCGCGGCATGTGCCAAGAGGCGGATAGTAGATGGAGCAAGCGTCGTGGCTTTGAGGGTACAAGTCCCACGGTAAGGGAACAAAGACCTTGGAAAAAGAACGGACGCCTGTTGCCTCATATTGGAAGATTTACTGGGTCAGTGGCGATAGACGATCGCACAAATGACAAGGGCCAGCCGGACAAGGCGACATCATCCACGTTTGGGATGCCAAATTATATGGCAATCCGAGCATGATGCCGGTTTGGTTCCCCGCGACGCCGGCTGATTGGAGGTACCTGTAAGCGACCATTGGCACGGTAAGGGGTAAGGAAAACGCAAGACCCATACGATCTCAGATGGCGCAGACCCGGAATTGTCCTCCGTCACGGTTATGATGATTGGGACTCAGGCAGGGCAGTGGAGGAAGATGATGAAACGACATCCGACCAACATGTTTTCTCACTGGATCACCTGCAGGCACTAAACTATGTCGGGGAAGAGTGGAGCCTGCAGTTCCAGGCCACCCTGTTTTCGGTCCAAAATGCCACCACTGAACGGCCAGATCGACGCGTTGGCAGCTTTAGTCCTTCCGCTTTATCGCAGAGCTCCGCGCCTTTATTATTAAAGGTCCTGTCATGCATGCACGATTCAATTTAATTCAATCGAGCTTGCCAATCCCACTGGCTGATGTTTATGCCGATGATTTATCAACTGTGATCAGTCCCCGTTAGTCCCTCGCTTGGCTTCGTGCTTGTTTGACTCTCTCGAGACTCTCTCGAGACCCTCTCTCGATCGCTGCCTCAGGCGGGGCACCTGTCATGGGTCTTGACTAAGCGTTCTAGAATCCCAATGATGCGCGGCGGTGTCCATGGTTCAGTCAGTCCATTACGGCGTCCAATCAACGAGGCTGATTCTCCGGAATTACTAAGTAACGCATCGTAGTTCGATCATGTGAGTTGCCCAAGACAGTTTCAAACAGATAAAGTTGATATCACTCTATACTATATATATACTAGCTCGACATGTATCATGCACATCATGACGACTCAGGGACGTAACAATGCATATGTACTGGAACGTCCATGACCTATATATGTCCAATCATAACTCATCAAAGATTGCGTCGAAAGCAGGGTCTACCATTTCTCCATCAGGCGTTTACGGACGGTCCACATCCGAAGCCGCTTTCCATAAATGTACATGGGGATCGTAAATAGAAGGCATCCCAATTGAATTCCACCCAGGGCTAAGAACACGGTTTGAGAGCCTTGCGCGTTTAGCCAGTCGACAATGAACAACGAAAAGATCAGCCCGTGGAATACATCTGGAAGCGGTTGTTAGTTGCCAGCACCCAGGGAATAGATTAACATGGAATCATCGTAAGGGAACTCACTCTTGCTCCAATTCAGGGTCACCAACGCTTCGCCTGCGTATTGGCGATAGCTGTCGACACAGAACGTGATGGACGTCGTGCTACCCAGGCAGCATCCAAACGAAACTACGCCGAAAAAGACTGTGGGCACTATCCACGCATCCCGCTCCTCCGCGCTCCATCCAAATCCCATGAGACCTATCGTCGTCGATAGGGCGATGGGGATCGCCATCACCAGCCGAAATTCTGGTTCATAGACGCCGCCGTTACGTCGGGTCATGTATCGGACAATCACATCGGATACCTTCCCGGCCACGGCAGTTCCCAGCAAGCCTCCGATAAATGGCGAGATGTACACGAGTCCCACTTGCAAGGCCGTGAAGTTGTAGGAATCCCGCGTTTCGTAGACTTTTGCAACGGACTCGGACAGAACAATCAACCATCCGACCGAGAGCGCGTAAACAACTGCCGACCACAGCACAGCTGGGTAGGCAAATAGGATAAACGGGCGCGCGGCCACGCGCAGCCAATTGTCATGGGAGATTCGACCGTTCCAAACCCGGAGATAGTGTAGATATGGCATCTGAGGTCGCTCCCGAAGCCAATTCGTGTAGTGCATGGATCCATTCATTGGTGCGCTAGGATCAAGCGAATCGCTGCGGGCTGGAGATAAGGCGGCGTGGCGGCTAACTCCCAGCTCGGATGGCCGCTCGGGGCCAGGAGCGGCAGGAGCAGGAGGCTGTAGAAACCCGTCGGCCTTTTCCGGATCGGAGTTGTGTGCGAAGTGTACATGATCCTCGCCTGGGGCATCCGGCGCTAGTGAGACACGGTCACGGTCTGCCGCCGCCTCCTTTTCGTCGGGTGAATAACTTTCCGCGTCAGGGTTCTCTACGAATCCGACGTGGCCCTTCTTGGACTTCTTGGGCGGCGCGGATTCGGTGTCAGCCTCCGGGGCATGATCGTCAAGTCGTTTTACATGCGTCGGGCGCCCGCGAATGCCATGAGAGACCAAGTCCGACACGCTCCGATATAAATGTGGACGTTTGCGCGCACGAGGGCGCGGCGTACGATCCCAAAATGTTTCCGGAACAAAGAAAAACAACAAGACCAGGCAAGCTCCCACCACGATGGAGACAATCCAGAACACCCAACGCCAGCCCAAGTTGCCGATAATGGCAGCACTCACCAAAGGGATTAAATTCTTCCCTCCCAAGAGGAGAAGGGTATAAATCCCAACCCGATAGGCCCGTTCGTGTAGAAAGTATATCTCGGCAATGGTCGCAGAGGGTAGACACTCTACCGGGCTTACTGCGATGCCTTGGAAAACGCGGGCAACGATAAGGCTGGGGTAGTTCGGAGATAGGGCACACCAGACGCCTGAGATAACGAAAAGGGTGGCGCCGAGAAGGTAGACCGGCCTTTTTCCATACAAAATCGCGGTCGGCGACATGATGACGGACCCCACGCCGAGACCCAACATATACAGACCTGTGGTGTAGGCCACCTGTTGCGTGGACACGCTATAAGTATCCGCGACCTGCGTGAAACCAGCGGCCAGGATCGGTGTCATTCCACCTCCCATCAGACAATAAAATCCCAGCGATAACAATGCGGCATCTCGACGCCAGACCGGCCAGTTTAACGGGTCGTTCATCGAATCTTCAGGCTGAGGGTCTAAGACGATCTGTCCATCCGCGGTCTTCTTCTTCGACGGCCGAGCTTTTGCCGAGGTACGCGAAGATGAACGCGACGGGGGATATGGAGATGGGAGGGATGAGCGGGATGTCCGCTGCGGCTGGTGCCTCAGCCCTAATGGCTCATTGCGGTTTGACGATAGCAGAAGAACCGTTCCTAGAGCCTCTGTCAGTGGGTTTCTCAAGCTGTCGAGATGTGTTGATAAGAGAACATACCAGGTACTTCATCGGTTTGCTTGTCACTGAGAATTCCCAAGGTCGACTTGGAGCGATAGTTAATACTGTCTTGATTGACCTCCGCGTCATTTGCAGACGAAGGCTTCAATACTCGTTTCCACCAGGGACCTGCGGATGGTCTTTGAGAGCTAGCCTCTGGCTGCTCACCGGGAGAGGCTGTTGCTTCTGTAGCCATAATTATTGCAGCAACGCAAATGTCTCAGTGCTCGTGATAAAAACTAAACGTATCAGTAGGACCAGCAACTGATTTGATGCTCTGATCTGCCCGGGATATCCTGGTATCAAGGTCACGGAAGAAGGCAAGAAGAGGCCGGGCTGTAGGGGGTTGAGATTGTGTCTCTGATGTCGTACAATGTTTCTAACCCGTGTTGCAATAGATGAAAATTTTCCGAAGGGCAAAGATAGTGTCTAACTCGAGGACATGCCACACTCCCTCCTTTTCTCAGGTCAGGGAATTCGGTCACGACCCACGAGATAAGACCTCAACCGATGACTCTGCAGGGATAACGCCACCCCATAGCTGAGAAAGAAAAAGAACAAAGGAACTCTGGGACCGGGGGAAAATGATGAAGGATTAAATAGAGTCGGTGAGCCGTCACGCGCCAGTGAAGACGGCGAAACCAAGGAGGAGTATGGAGTAATTAAAATCTAATCAGAACAAAAAAAAAATAAGCGACAGATAATCTATGTAGTGTCATATCAGTTCTCTCCAGGAAGGCGGTGGGCACGGGAAGGGTACCTCAACGGTACTCGTGGGTCCGCCGGTCACTCGCTGGTTGGGCGAAGTACTTTGGAGGTACAGAGTAGTCGATAACGAGTAAGAACAATCGCCGTTTAAACTCGAGATCTGCACACCGTACAGGATGGAGTACAGGCGATGCTCTGGAGGAATATCATGCGGGAAGCATTTCTCGTCTCGGCTGGCGTAATTCCGAAACATTCTCTTTCCACCATTGGGCGTGGTTCAGCCAGTTAAAGGCTTACTATTGATGGGGAAGAAGGCAAACGCCGAATTATTGGGTTGGGAGGGGGGACATGTGGGCGTCGTCCCAAGGAAGCTGATGCATGATTACTAGTTTTCTGGCTAACCTTCTTTAATGAGGTGAGGCTGGCTTAACCAATGTTACTTCTTTGTTCTTTTTTTTTTTTTGTTTTTCCTTTAATTGTTTTTCCTTTTTCGTTTTTTTTTTTTTTTTTTTTTTTTTTTTTTTGCACGTATTTTAGTTGTTCTCTGAAGAAAGAACAAAATCAAAAGGTACAAAACAGAACATGAAAGATAATCAAGGGTCTGTATATGGGAAAACAACGAGTAAGGCCTTCTCTGGGACCGTCGTTTAATATGCCTCGAGTTTGTGTTCGGCGCGGGCAGCTCACGGTTACGACCCCACATAACGCATGCATCCTACAGACAAACTTCGACCGAAAAGTAGGGCTAAAGAGATCATCGGGCTGCCATTGGCATTGCCTCGAGTCATATGATTTCCCCCCCATCCTGGTAGATCTTGAGCTAATTTACCAAATTCCGTCATCTTGCAGCACCGTCTTTCGCATGGTGGGGGAGAAAGCGGTCTATGATTAGGGGGTTCACGAGCAGCGAAGGAAGGAACTCGTAGGAGAATTCTTATCGTGAGCCAACGCATAAAACTTTTCCAACGTCGTCTTGCTTGACAGAGTGCTCCAAACGCCATAACGTACCAAGACTATGTCGTCATCGCACAAGTGATATTCGGACAATACGAATTCCTCTTACTTGTTAGTATGCAGAGAGGCTCCACCCGACCTTGTCCACCTGAACAGCAGATCCCGTGACATGGCACCATCATCTGCTATGGGTTCGTGCTCATCCTCGTGGTAACGAAAACACTCGATCCAGAACGCTATCTAGCCAGATAATGCGATGAATTGTAGGCGATATGATTAGTACTAAAAGTACTAACACCTCGGAAGCGGAATGGACTTGAGAAAGACGATGTACCAGCATGTGTTTGGTAATATATATCTTCAACGGATACAATTATCGCAAACAGATAGTATTTATTTCTCGTGCCTCTCTGGCAAGCAACTAACGGCGAATGTTAGTTGCACGCATTACCATTTGAAGGCTGATGGGATCAACCCTACAAAGTTCTCGGTGGTCAAAGAGCGTCTCTTATCGGACCGATGGATACTTTTCCCACCGTTTAGGAAGAAAGCCGTCATTTCACAGTCAATCACGCCGGCAACAACGTCCAGATTGGATGCAGTACAGTGTTCGAGAGGTTCTAATCTATATGCGATAGCACTTCGTTTGCTAAAGGATTGATCTAATTACTAAGAGATCACTCTTCCTGGTATGCCCCGAGAAACGCCTCGGTGGATGGCAAGGGTTCCCGGCGAGGAAGTCGATCGTGAAAAAGCTGGATACCATCTTTTTAGCGAGGGGAGATCTGCTCCCATGCGTTACCTTCGAAGACTATAAACTCCGGAATTCGCTCGAAGACATTGAATCTGGACCAATACAATCTGAGATCCGGGGCTAAAAGAATACCCATTGGATGGAATGCTATCCTACATACTCCTTGCCCTGGTGTATGAGCTTCGGTATAGGAGGATTCGTTTCCCCGCGAACCAGTTCTAGGGCACGCAGCTCATTATTGTCATACTGCGCAATCGTAGCGAACTGAGGTCCGTGTCTTTTGTACGCCAGTCCACCGGGTCTGAGTCGTTTCTTCACGGCCTGCTCCGGGAGAATGTAGGTGGATCTGTCAAAGTGTTCACAACACGAACAGAACAGGAGATCTAACCTATCCATTGAGAGCAGACAATGTGGGAAGAGAAGGATGTCCGAGGCTGGGGACGCGCTGTTACAATACATGCCCTGGGTGACATAACACAACGGTACCTAGCGACGTTGGAATTGAAACCCAATTCGAAGCTCTTTTAGGTTCTAGGCGAAATACTGGTCAAACTGCAGTTGCCTGTAAGTCAGGAGCGTAGCTATTCTTTCCAATCCCACACGACTTTGCTATGGTATATCCCCAGTGGTTTCTAACTTGGCTCGTAGGGGGTCCGATGATACCCATGCATCAGAACCCCCACACTATTCAGAGTCAGCCAGGACACAGTCAATGAGTGACTATATAGCCTAAGAATGTCATAGATCAGATGGGGTGAATGAGGTCTAGTCCTGTTGTCCATATCATTGTTTAATGTAGGACCTACGGGCCGGTAGCACGGTGGAAGTAGGAACTTCGGTGATTCTGGAGAGCCCCATCAACGGACCTTACAAGATGAACCGTGCTCGTATAGTTGACGTTGATTGGGGATAGAGGTGATTCTAGGATGGACCCCTGAAAGCTCAGGCCTGCGAGGAAATGAGACTAGCTGTTCTTGGATCGCCTAGCACGTGGCCCGAAAGCGTGTTTCGATTCCTTGACGGGTTGGGGCCAAGGCTTGGTTGCTTTTTGCTCGCCCGGTGCCTGAATTCTATTATGCATAATGCCATGATTAAATCTTAAGCCATCTCACCCTTGCCTGCGGTTGGCACCTTGCAACGTGCCCTAACGTCGCTTTCGGATTTGTTCCGGGAATTGCTGCCAAGTTGCAGCAACGCTTGACAATTACAGCCACAATGGGTGGTGAGATGAACCAAAGGTGCTCCTCTACACCATGATGATTTATATCGTCGTGACTGTCTCAGGTCGCTGCCGGCGATCTTCCCTGGGGAGTTGCGATGCCTCCATAGTACCATGGAACAGCCGAAGCTATGGCGCCATTTTTCGTCGATGCTGTTCGGGAAGGCTGGTATACGTTCACCCCCCGTGAGAGACGCAATGTGGCCTTCTACATCTTGGGGATTATGCTCTATAAGTTCGGTCTAGAGGCCTTCAACGGCTCTATCGTGGCCCTGGCGACGAATCGCTATGACTATGATGCGATGCGGACCAAGACGCCCGCGAAGACTTTTCAAAGAGTTGGGCTCATGGTGGGCCTCAACCAAGCTTGCCAGTGTATCGGATCCATTTTGATCGCCCCGCTCATTCGGAGATTCCCCTCTCGGGTTGTGCTCTCTAGCGCAGTATTAGTCTTCGCCCTCTTCAGTGCCCTTCTTCTCATCATCGACGCTAGCACCGGGGGTACATTTGTACCGGCAAGCTTTCGCGATCACCACCCCGACCATGATTTTCATTACTACGGCCGGTACAATACCGATGGCATGATCCCAGTCTACTGCGTCGCGGGAATTGCCTATGGCATGGTGGAACTGATGCGCCGTGTCATTCCGCGCGATATTGTCGGGGGAAATGTTAAAAAACTACGTCACCTGGACGCCTTAGTGCATATATTCTATGAGGTCTCCGGCACCAGTGGCGCGTTCTGCACGGCATTAGCCTTGATACCTTTCTTTGGAAACAACTATTCTTTTTTGATCACCCCGATCTGTTTTGCATTCGCCGCTATCGCCTGGTTCTTCCTCACCGACGAAACCTTCCGCAGTCACGATCCGCCGGTATTAGAACACCAGCCTCCGCCATACATTAAAGCGGTCACGGTTGGGTTCTGGCTCTTTGTTGAGTCCATCTGGACTGGTGCTCGGATCATCTTCACGTCGCGCAAGTTTATCTGGCTGGTTCCCGGGTATTCCGTTGCGTTGTATGCTCACCGCTACCTGGAAAATGCCGTGGCACCCGCAATTGCCCGTCGGTACCTGGGGAATGCCGCTTGGTCACAGATTATCGTGGGTGGATCGAATTTAGGGGAGCTTCTAGGCGCACTGTTCGTTATCCTATTCACGAATTTGGTGACAACACCGGTACCCTGGCTCCGGTTAGATGCCGTCATGCTCCTCATAACATGGTACCTACCATTCTGGCGACCGTCGATGCAGGTCAGCGCTGCCTGGATGGCAGCCGCTACCTTTATTCCCATCTCGTTTGGGTGGGCGGCTGGCGACGTCTCGTTGGCGGCGTACATCCAAGCCACGCTGGCACGAGTCGAATCGAAGACGCAAAATGTCTCTGCGCTGGGGGCGGTAATGGCTTTCTTGTACTCGACCTACATTATCCTTTACGCCATCACCTCGCCGATCCTTGGAAGCTATATTGACCAGGTATACAGCGACACTGGAGGATCTGAGAATGGGGGCAATATATATGCAGCCATCCAAAATATCGCATCGGTGCAATTTACGATAATATCAGGACTGGTGCTGGTATCCACTTTCGTGCCGCGAGGATCACTGGCGTTCAATCCGAAGATGCTCTATAATGAGAACTTGGACGGAGAAGCGGGTTTGGAACGTGTATCCTCAGATGACTTGAAAAAGTAATTACAACCTTGACTTGCTGGCGAACTGCTGGATCTATATGATCCTCCCTGGGGTGTATCTTTGATCGGACGGCGTTAGGTGCTATTCGGGGTACTCCTACTTAATAGGTATTACTGCTGGTACACGATACCAATACTACACGCACCAACATGTCATTTCCTTAAAATCAACCCAAGTCGCATCGCATCATTCATCTATAACTTATAGCAATTTGTGCCCTGGCTATTTGCCACCAGACTCAGCAACATGCAACAATATCCGACGATAGGTAGTCAACGGCGGCGAGCCCGAATCCGTAACCTCCAGAATGAAATGGAACAGATCACAATGCTCGATGCCTGCCTCACAGGTCCTATTGATAACGGGAACCGGCAACTTAGCCTTTTCACCACGCGACCCAAAGGTCGTCACGTTCACATCCAGAGCGCCGTTGATGGTGCTGGGCTCAGGATAGAAAATCCAGTTGAACGTCAACTCATCCCCATCCGGATCCACCGAATCACCAGCATCCACGACCACCTCCGACCCAGCAACCCCATAAACCTCGACCGGCTCCAAGCCCGAACGCCCATTAACCTTCACTAGCGGATGGTGGTTCGCCTTCGTCACATCATCCGTCAAGGTCCAGCGCATCCGCGCCGCGAAATCATGCTGATACGCATTCCGCCACCGCCAAATCGTCGCATGATTCGACTTGAAAGTGTCCCCATTCACGCCCACCACCTGGTCCTGCACATCTGAGTAATGTCTGAACCCTAGCCCATGCTGATTGGGAGTGACCAGCTGATACCGACCGCCCCACGACCCATACTCGGGGTGCTCCGGTACCCCCAGTCCATTCTGAATGAGATAGAGAAACGTCGGGGTATCACCTTCCATGGTAAATGCCACGTTAGGATAGGCGGCGCCCAAGGTCCCGATTTGGATGTTCTCCTTGATCCAGGCATTGCCTACCAGTGTGCTGTTGGGGCCGCCCTTGTCGATGCCGTAGAATTTGTCACCAGAGATCCCGGCCCAGGTGGACATATAGTACTGGTTCCAGCCGTGGATGGAATTAATCCAGAACAGATCTGGCCACTGCTGGCGGAGCCAGGCGCCTGTATCGTCTTGGTCGGAGATGGTGTAGATGCGGAGGTTCTTCCGCAGGGTGGCGGCTTTGTTTGGGGAATTGTCCTTGTGGAGTTTGACGAGGGCTTGCGCGAGGACGTTGGTGCCGCCCCAGGCGAGGACCCAGAGAGGGGAGCTGCTGTTTGTTGTAGCTTGAATGCGGTCGAGGAGGAGTTCGGCCCCGGCACTGAAGGTGGCATTGGGGGCTAAGGCGGCCATACCGTAGACCTGTTGGTGTGTTAGTAATATTGATGTGAAATGGAAGGGGGACTGGGAACCCTAGGGGATGTATATATACCGGAGACCCTGCGCGGACTAGACTCCGCATATGTTCTGCGGATGGGTATTGTGAATCCGCTGGGGCATGATGATTCAGATTGTCGACGACCTTCTCATACGCATCGATGATGTCGAGCATGGCATCTGGGTCGGTTTCATTCTTGAGCCAAGTTGATGTCGTGGCCACGATGCCTTCCGTCTGGAACTGGTTGCTGTAGGTGAGATATCGGACGAGGGACTCAGAATCATCAGGTTCATTAGAGATATCCGAGAGGACGAAGACTCGTGGTTTATTGGGGAAGGAATTGAGGGTTATGGCCGAGGCGAGAGTGAGGCATGCTGCGTATAAGATAAACAAACGGGTTATGAGAGCCATGACTGCCAAGTTAGATACTGATCCAAATCTCCGAGTAAATTTGATCCACTTCCCTTGACCACAACCATAGAAACTCCTCTACCGACAAGAGGAAACATCATCCCATTTATACTGTACATACAACCACCCCAATCCCCAACCCAGCCATGAAAACAGAGGGAAAAAAAAGAATAAAAAAACCCAGGCACTTAATCCCTCCCCCACTCTCCCGAAACCTCCTACCTAGCAAGTATATAGAAAACAACCCCCGGGAAAATATCCATAGAGCCCAAAACTTCCTTTTTCGGACATCTCCGGCAGTATTCAAAGATCCGGGGAAAATGCGGAGTGCAGAATGCGGGGAAATCTCATGATATCCCCGCCGTCACTGATTCTGATCGGCCTACTTTTTTCTCTTGGGGAAGGTTTACGCACCCTCGTGGCTCCGATTGCCCGGTTTGGAAGATTTGGAGACACTTGGGTGTCGTCATCTGGATTTTCTGCAGGATTGTTGGTGTATAGTTATGGGAAAGAGATGCCGTTTTTGGTGGTGTAGGGTATTAAGTATTGTTTTCATTCTGATTGCTTTTATTTGTTTTTATTTTCTTTACTCAATGTTCTTTTGGAATTTGAGGAGCTTTGAATTCCCTTTCTTTTTTGCTTTATTTCTATATTATCTGTTTTTTTGGTTAGTGACTCTAGGGTGTTGGAACATGAGTGTGGACAACGTGAAACCGCTTCTGAGCGATGGAAAAGCACGTAGAAGATAACCATGACAGTCGCACAATTTAAAGAGTTACAGGAAGAAAGGAAAGGCCTCTGAGGAGTCGATTTTGGCTCCCAAAAAAAAGATGGGGGGGTTGAGTGAGCGACAAAGAAGCCTCTCGGTGGCAGTATCACGACTGGTCAGGCACTGAATTAGAGCATGACCAACCATAGGCGGATATACAAAGATGTTGAGACAGCAGGGCGTAGAATTAAACAGCTGTGGCACTAAGATAGTCGCAAAACGGCGCCAAATGCTGTTTTATTGTTCAGTGAAAACAAAAGCCACTAGATTACTCTACTCGTCCGCACTTAAAACATAAGCTTCCAAGCCGTAGTCACGCTGCTCCCTAATACAGCGTCAGTGAGACCACACCAAGCCCTACGGGATAGGGATCTATTGGTGAGTATATATAGCGTAAATGTTTAGGAAGTCTTAAATATGATTCTATATCCTCTTATGCCTCGACGGCTTTTGGTGTAATCTCAACTTGTCTAGCAGGTGTCATAGAGACAAACTCTTTAGCGTATGCAGCAGCCGTGGCAGCAGCATACTCTTGCCAGTCTTTGTTCTTATGAGAATCAGCATAGTCGCAGATTCCACGAATCACTAGACATGGAAAATTATCCATTAGGCCGGCTGCCTCCATCTCAAAGCATAAGATTCCCTGTTGTTCAGCAAGCCGGTCCCGGGTTATACCATGCTTTAAGACTTGATTTCCAGACGCAGTGGACTATCGGGGTATTTTGAGTTCGAACCTGGCGGTTCACATCCACCCATGAATTAAATACATATAACTCGTTTCGAACAATAAAGCAAACTTGCATTGACAGGCAAACCATAGTAGTTAGGGTGAATAAAGCGAGCACCTATGGATTCCCTGTTCCAGTTAGCTTTACCACTTCTGATCTAGTATTCTAATACCTTATATTACAGTTCAATGGAAGTTGGCCAAGGCTTAAAATGGAAAACCAACCTACTTTGATTATAACTTAGATATAAAATGCTACATGAAGTTCAGCGTGCTTAAGTCAGGACTAATGTACTTACATATCGAGTTGGAATGCTCATATAGATATCCGTTCATTATCCATCATGTATGGAAACATGAGAAATTATTTCATCAATTCCATCTCATCGTTTGATATGAGGGGTATATATATATATATAAAGTAGAAAACCAAAGAGAACTATAGGGCTGTATACGAGGAGCCGAGTATGCGGTATGGCTTCTTGGCCGATCCTATCCTACGTTGAACTCGTGACAGGAAGTCAAGAAAAATATCAAGAATAAACCAAGGCTAAGACCGTATAGTAATAGGTCCACAAAATAGTATTGCTGCTTTCTAGGCCAAGGAACGCTTTGCCGAAAAGTATTATATAAAGCTCTATCTACCGCGAGTGGTATCTCATGTTAGCTGATTGCGAATTACAAGATGCATGAACACAGCACCTGTGGACAGGATAGTGAGTCAGTAACAAGTGATTCTTAACTAGCATATCTCCTCCGCAACAGCATACCACTTAAAAATGGCGCCACTTGGACTAATCTAGCCCGGCACCATCGTTTCCTGATCCTATCTGGACTGCAGCCGCCAAGGTGTACTAGTACTTCCCGCTCACATGAACGAGTTAGCTTTGAGAGTCACAAGCCTCGCGGAAGTAGTGACTGAGCGAGCACCCAAAGACCCTAAACGTTGGGCAAGAGGATTGTGAGTCTGCTTTTGGATATTACCCATTTCAAGTGCCCGAAAGCCTTTGGCGGGAAAGGATCGACCGGGGAACCACAACGGATCGGCCCCTAGGTTTAATTATCTAAACTTTTCATTCGCGGCAGCCGGTGCTAACGAGCCTAATCACCCAGCCAAACCTGAGCTAAGCGCCCATCTTCCGAACGGATCATGGAGGGCTGCTACCGTGGTAGGTTATGTAGTAGTCAAAGTGCGCGCTGCAGCACATGAAGCCACGTAGTATCTGCTTTTGTGCGATTGGCTGCCTGCAGGCAATACATGACTCGCGTACGCACCAAGAGATCCGTGCGTTTTGGTTCGACTCGCTGTGCGGTATAAAGAATTGAAGCCTTGCCAGCCTTGTATTTAGACCACCAGATTAGGGAGCCGCTCATCCAACGATCAGATGAGTGTTCACTAAATCATGCTGTACCTTCTGCAAAGGCCAAGTCGGTTCTGCCACGTAGGCAGCTTGGGATACCGAGTGAGGCGGAAGTGAGGGTATAGGGCCTTGAAGCATCCCTCCATGATGAGGAAAGCAACGAGACTTAAATTGACCCTATGTGTCGATTTGCTGATACAGGAATGTCCAACGCCTCGGTTCTTCAAGCGAACAGGTTGGTACAGAACTTTAGGTGTTGCGATCTATTGACTGCTTTCGATTTCTCTTGGGACTTGTCAACCAACATGCCTCCTAAACCCTTGACCCCACCATCTACACCCTCACCCAAAGCCCCTGACCAGAATTTTGTGAGACTATTTTTTGATCAGTTCAAGTCGTTGGCCTCGAATGCGGGACTCGATGCCATTCTAGCCATTTACAATGAGAACAACAAGCTAGCCGATCAGTTGAAGGTCAAGGACCAGGACATCGCAAAGCTCAACGAGAAGATGGAAGGCCAAGAAAGGAACCAAGGAATCGCGCTGGAGGGAGTACTTGAGACTCATGAAAGAGAGAAGGCCAGACATAAAGAGACCAAAGATAACGTGCAGAGGCTTGAAACTATTATTCTTGGCAAGGAAAAGTACATTGCCGAGCGGAATAAGGTGGTAGATGACCTTGGGAAACAGCTGAAAAAGCTCCAGTCCGACAATGAAAAGGAGAGGGATAGGCTGGCACAAGCTCAAAAGAACATCAAAGACTTGCAGAAAAGCATTCAAGAAAAAGAAACCACCATTAAGCAGATGAAAGTGGTGGAGGCAGACCTGGAAGGGAAGCTCGCTTCTACCAAGAAAAGATTCAGCGATCTTGAAGAGAAGGCCACTGCCACCAACGGATTGCTGGAGACAACTCGGGCAAGCCTCAAAAAATTGGAGGGTTATGCTGTTGGATACAGTACAGTAACGGAAGACTCAGCGTAAGTGTGCATCTTCTGCGGGATCATGGGCTTCACCCAACACTCTAACTTCATTTAGAATTGAGAGCTTCTGCAAGCTTTGGAGCTATGCTACAACCGAAATATTTGGCATGTTGAAAAACGACCTTCCTGCCAATACTCTTGGGGTAAGTAGCTGCCATCGCACACCGTCCCACAAACAAGAATAAGGTGAGGAAAACTGACATAACCCATTGGATTGCAACGGTAGATCACTTCCGCATGGGAGAAGCTTCGTCAACGTGAATTAGCACGAACCTACCAAATCCCCCTTCCATGTTCCAACACACTGGCGGCGAAGCAGATGAGGCTTGCCCTCATCCTGGCCATCTTGGCTAGAGAGATTAACAAGCATATCTTCCTACCAGCATACATCGCACCAGTGGATAACGAAAATAACCTATTTCGGAAGGCTCTCAACAACGAGGCGGCTCTCAACAGCGAGAAAGAGTCATTTTGCCGATCGATTCTCCTGTCGCTAGATCCACCAACTCAGGAAAGTATATGCTTGGAGGGTATCCAAACAGTGGTGAAGAATGTGTCTGAATACTTCTACGAGTTACTCTCGGAAGAGCAGCGCCCCGCTTTCCATAATACTCTGAGCAAGGTTGTACAGAACGCAGCGGCTGTCTGGAAACCGATCCAGCGTAGCAAGCGCAGATACGAGCTCGACTTTGATCCGCCGACTGCCGATGATGAATGCGAGGTCTTTATGTTTCCCAGTTCCAATAACGCTCCTAAAGAGAAAACTGCCAACCAAAAGAACCCCAACAAGACCTACTTGACTGTGTTCCCCCGAGTGTCTATTATCGAAAACGAAGAAATGACCGTCTACACTGCTCCTATACAATTAAACAGTTCACAACCCCAGTGGGTAGCTGCGGAAAGTGAGATGAATAAAGAACCAGCTACACCTACCTTTGGGCGGAGGTTCATGCTAAGGAAACCCAGTACTCCAAAGAGTACATCCGTTTCAAACGGCGGTTCAAAGAAGGGTAACGGGGCATAGAAGCTTGGAGGCTTCATGGCTAAGAAGTGAGTCTTAACTAAGTCGCGGATGCTGGAAGTTCGACACATGATTAGTATGTCCAAATTGCATTAAATGACATGTTTGCGTTCAAGTTAGAAGCACCCTTCTGCCGTACATTAACTTATAACACCCCATTGCGCGTTCAATGCGAACATAGTCGAATTGATAGAGGCCTTAGGACGTAGCAGCGCAAAGCCTTGCTGAGAACTAAGAATATTTGATACCATCACTGGGCCGTTTGCTCTCCTTTCTCTACCCCGGAGGGTTACTCGTCCAAAAATAGTTCCCCTACCCTTGGAAAGGTCTGGAAGGAGGACTATACGAGCTTGGATTTTGATTCAAGACGAAAGCTGTCCAGATATAATAAAGCCAGCCCCTGGAACACACGCGATATTACATCCATGATCCCAATTTTGCCGTCACGCAAGACTGGGTGCTCGATGAAGTATTCATGCTGGGATTTGACAGTCGTTCTAAAACATAAAGCGAGGGCCTGTGAATCTTCTAACATGATGTCTACCTGCTGAGCACCACCCTAGTCGAAGGTACATTGCTTCCTGTACTCCAATGATGCATCGTGTTGCTAGACGAATCAATCACGGCATTTATAGCGCAGATGTACAGACTCCGTTCCAATTGGCATAAAGTCACTCGTCCATACTATCGGATATAGCGTGGTAAGCATATTTTTCTGAGTAGACATCATGATGATGGACGAAAGCGTCATGGATGGCCATCATTCCATCAACAGCACGAAACGATCCTCGATTTAAACCCTACTTATTATGGAGTCATGCTTACCCCACGTAATAGGAGCAGACCCGCCGCGGCCCGGACCTGGACCCGCTACGGTGGGGCCTGTATTAACTAGTGTGGTAAAGGCGCCGCGAGCCGTAGCTCACTGGCTAACTTATTTTTTTTTTCTTTTTTGTTCTAACTCCTTTTCCTATTTTCACCAGCACCGCGCCTTGCAATACTACTCTTCACCTCTCTTGAGTGTGGCAGAAGTCCAACAGGACCAGCAGTACCAACTTTTACTCCATCTATTCTGGTCGGAAGCACGTTTGAATGTCAGTGGCACCAGCGAGTACTCTATTACCAACATTCATGATGTCGTGAGCGAAGGCTCTATGTTAAAGCGATTCATTTGTTACAAAGATGAAATTACCGAAACCGTATTTATCGGCAAGGGTGTATAGGATTTTGTCTAAAGTTGGTCGGTCGATATCCAACGTCAACCCTATGGACAATCTCTAATAATTAGGTACAAAGTTCAATAATTACGTGGACCCACAGCCGTATCAGAAAGAAACCCTAGCTTTCGGCAGCCCATTTGGATTGGAATCAACAATATCCCGTTGCCACCACGGGAGCTGATGAATGAATGACAAATGCTTCTCAGAACAAAAAAAATAAGAAAGAAAGAAACACAAGAGAAGGAGCATCTTCGGCATACGCGAACGCAATAGTGGATCGAAATTTTCCTAGCGAGCTAGGCAAGAGAATCGTCACCGGGATAACTTATTGGCTAATGAGCACTTGGTGAACCTCTTCTTTTACATGTTCCATACTCGCATATTTGCCCCTCCAGCATTTCTGGATTATTTTGCCACATAGAACATCATCAACAGTTGGAAATGAATCTGGTTCAGGCCAACAGAGCTCGGGGTTTTCCGGGCTGAAGAAATAGTATTTATGGACCCGCCAGGATGCAATGGAGTAGAGAACCCAACCAAGATGAAGGATCTCAATCTGAACATTCAATTCATTCTCATCTACCGAAGTAATATCGATATCAAGTGGTAATAAAATGGACTGTCCGAAATCTGCAAGTTTAAGCTGCTCATCTAGAATTAAGATATTGCGAAGGGCGATATCATCCACAAATACTTTGCGAGAGTGGACATGTGCAAGAGTGTCAATGAGACTTGACATCCAGCGGATCTTCAGGGCGTCCTCGCGCTCGGGACAAGTTTCTAGATAAGACTCTAGATTTCCCTGCGCAAGAGCTAGCTCAATCCCATACGTGGATGTTTGGAAGTATGGAATAATCCCTGTATGGCTGCCCAGGCGTTCAAAGACCTGGATCTCATTCTCTAGAGTTTGCTGGTTGATGTTGTTCATGTATTCCACGTCCTCGCGGTCTGGGAGGTCCCCAGGTTGATATTGCTTGACTTTCTTAACTGCACGGTTTTCCCCCATCTGAAGAACAACCCCAGTCATCCCATTCCCAATTACTGGGAGACCAAGATAAGGATCATGAGAAAATGGAGACGGTTGAGCATGGGGTGATGATGATCCAGCTTTTGCTTTGATTGTTTCAAGGGGCGGTGTTTCCTCGAGCCGTATTTTGCGAATATTCTAGAGAAAATAACTTAGCCATAGAAGACAACCACAGCCTCAATACAGCTTACCGTTGACTGGTCCGACTCCTGAGTTGCGGAAGGCCACACGATATCATAGAACCAGGTGCGGATTATAGAGAGAACCATAATTATTATTGGCGCGTGTCGAATAAGAATATATTAAGAAAAGGAGGAAGAATATGCGCAAAACAGATAGGAGGAGAAACGGCGGGAAGCAACTTAGGGATGGTTAGGCTCCATCCCTAGCTAACTGGTCCTGCGCGTATATACGCTTGAAGTTGACAGGGCTGAGCACCGATAAATAAAGTCTTGGGTCGATAACGGGACCGGAAAAACCCTCGGCGTGGTTCAGAGCAAAATTACAGTAAAATATTACTCCTTGTACAACTACTCCTGATACTCCCTGATTCCCCTGATCACCCTTGCTTTGTGATAGTGTTGAGAATACTATTACCGGGGGAGGGACCGGTCCACTATGCTATATTGAGCAAGAAAGAGCGAACTATTTTAAAGCTTGGCCTCAAGTTAAGGATAGCGAGGGAAATTCAAGTAAAGCACAAAAATACATTGCAAATAAGCATCCTCCCTCCAGTATCATGGCCCCTGTTTATTCTTCTTAGAACCGTTACTTCTTTCGACAACCTGGACAGAGATATTGGCGGTTTGTGCTTGATCCTTTGGATGTAGGTGTAGGAGGGTCAGGACACCATGATGGGGGTGACCGCTGTTCCGCTACTGGACACATCCGGGGAGTTGGCTCTTTAGGGATATCGATAGTATGCTTGCATTTGGAAAAGTACACGGGGGCAGGGCTTTCCATGAAGCACATGTTCGGAGAAGCGTAAGGACGGTTGCAGATTCCTGAAGACCGTGAATCAGCTAAGCGTATGATGATAAGTTAGGAAAAGCAACAGACTAACGCAGTTATGAAGTCTCGGTACATATATAACTTTAGCAGCTTGTCGACGTTCGGAAGGATAGCTATTGTCCATTCCAAAATGGTTTAACCATTTTATAGTTGGTTCGCTTACGCCAGCCTTGCGCAACAGACTGTCTCTGCATAGAAGGAGGGGTAAACGTCCAGGGCACTTGGGGTTGGGCACGAAAGGCCATTCTATTGGGTGATAGGTGGCTAGAGAAATATCACCAACTAAATGGCCTTTCAAATCTATGGAATTAAGAAAGAAAATTTTCAGCACACACTCAGAGTGTTGGCTTGTAAAAGGTGGGGTGTATTCCCAGTAGATGTGGTTAGATTTTAGATATTCCAGTAATGCGTAACAGTAAGCCGTCAAGAAAGAATCCCAACAAGGGATAGAGTCTTTGTGGATACATAGCGATGCACACTTTTAGAGATATTTCAACCCTAACACTAAGTAGATAACATACGGATGCTAAATTATAGGTAGAAATATTGCCGTAAACGGCCGCGAAATTGCTTATTGCCGGCCTCGATTTTACAGCTCGTGGTGTTCAACTTATAATATACTTGACGCTGTTACATTGTTAATCGTGGAGGTAGTCGTGGTGTAGACTGAGACTAGAGTAGATGGAGTGTGTTTTCTTCGCTTCTTAATTGGGCTAAAAAATAGAGCTGCGGTATTCATACAACGGTGGATATAACACTAGCAACCTTGAACTTTAGCTAAAATAAACTATGTAATTCTGGTGGTTCCTCTGGATTTGAAGAAAGCCCTACCTGGACAAAAGGAGCTTCTCGAGCTATGTGGCCACTCAAACGCCACCAACATTAATTTCTTGTGAGCTAGTGCTGTTCATGATTCCCCCATATACTATCATACCATCCAGAGCAAGCCTTCCATGAACTGGAGTCAGTCGACGTGTTCTTGTGGAGCGGAACTTAAATTGTCAGAGCCTTGCAGATGATGACGAAATCGAACCTTATGCATAAATTTATATTCCACCCAGAAGTCCAGCCACATACTTAATATATCATGCCCTGCTCCTCTAGAATACCTCTACCCCCCTGAAACAACCTAGCAAATCTCCTGGAATAGGCTCTGGCATAATACTCCCCGATTAAAATTAGAGTACCTCAACCCACCGAAAAGAACCTACCAAAGAACCCCTCAAAATGCCCCGACTAATCGACCACGAACCCAACACGCGCATAGAACCCATGCGCATTCTCTGCCTGGGCCTAACCCGAACCGGAACAAACTGTAACATCCACCGACTATCATCCACAATCATACGGACACTAGCAAAAAGCCACAGCCCTAGTCGTGGCCCTGCGCAAACTAGGCTACACGCCCTACCACGGCTCGGAATGTTTCAAGTCTCCACCTCGCGACTTCAACCTCTGGATCGAAGCTCTAACATGTAACTTCTTCAACCCGGACCCGAAGAATATCCCTCGTTACGACCGCGACGAGTTCGACCGCCTCATCGGGCATTACGACGCTGTCCTCGACATCCCGGCCTCGATGTTCTGGGGTGATCTCATCCACGCATACCCGGATGCTAAGGTAATCCTCACAACCCGGGATTTTGATTCGTGGTGGGAGTCCATGGACAAGACTCTATTTAGATTCATACGGATGCCGTTCTTTCGGTATTGGAAGTATGTTGACCATACGGAGATTGGGCCGTTATATAGGATGTCTGAGCTTGTTTGGAGGGTGTTTTGTGGGAATTGTTATGATAAAGGGGTTTGTGAGAAGGCGTTTCACGAGCATTATCGAAGGGTAAGGGAAGCTGTTCCGGAGGAAAGGAGGTTGGAGTTGAAGGTTGGGAGGGATGGGTGGGAGGTGCTTTGTCCGTTTCTGGGGGTGGAGGTTCCTGCGGAAGAGTGGCCGAGGGAGTATCCTGCGAGGGCTCTTAATGAGCATGTAGATATGGCTTTCTGGGGAGCTATTAGGACGATTATTTGGTGGGTTGGGTTGGGTGCGATGGTTGTTTTGGGTGCGCTTTGGGTGAGAGGGTATGCTGGGAGGTACCATGATGAGATATGATTGTTGGATGGAGTAAATATGTTTAGTTAGCTTGGGCAGGAGGATGCTGATTGCGATGTATCGGTGCCACTTACTTATCATTATGCAGGGAAGTCGAAGCAGGTATATGGCTTCTGCGCTATTCAACCCATCCCATTGCAATGCTTTAGAATGTCCCGGTACCCAAGGTGTCCTTTGTAGGGCAATTCATAGTGTGACTCCTTGGTTGACATGCAGTTTAGTGCTTGTCATGTCAGACAAGAGCAATGTACGCATGCGGATTTACGTGAAGCTGGAGATGATAGCGTGACGATGAGAATTGTACTAAGCTATATATATGATGTGACCTGGTGAACTAAGAGGAATACACAAGATTCGTGGCTATGATAGGACTTTCTCCAACTCAGATACCTGCACAATTTGTAGTTTGATAAACCCAAAAAGGCCTCTGTCTGGGCCTGATGTACATATGCAAAATGCAGGTGACCGATCCAAACCCTAAACAGCTATGGCATTAAGCTAGTCACAACCGAAGAGTAGATATGTAGATGATAGAACCTTATCATGTATATTTTATCTGTGTAGATCGAAGATGGTGTCGACAAGTGTATACCTTGGTATAGATTAACAATGTACCTACAACAATATCCTTCGCTTAGCGCGCCATCATGACAGAGGGTGGTCATGTGAATCGAGGATAAATAACCGGTTGGGGCACGCTTTCTATTAGGAGGGGTGGTCAGCAATTGTTACGAGGCACGGACGAATTGAAGTGTTAGATGAGACATTTAGTCTGGCAGTCGTGTCAGACTAATGCACGTACACAGCACAGCCTCATGATCCAAGCTACTATAAGCACGATGAAGTCCCACGAGCAAGTAATCCTCCGACAAAGAAAGATACAACATGAGCACAGTACATTTCGACTACATAATTGTGGGTGGAGGCCTCGCAGGCTCCGTCGTTGCAAATCGACTACTCAATGCTGACAAGTCATTGAATATCCTTCTGGTCGAGGCCGGCGTTGATGCCTCTAACAACACTTTGATCCCTCACGCAAACAATACAGCGTTTCTCATTGGGTGCGAGCTCGACTGGGGATTCGTCACGACGCCTCAGAAGAATCTCGAGGGTCGCAGGATTGGAAACCCGGCGGGGAAATGCCTTGGCGGGGGAACAGCAATCAACAGCTGTAAGCGCGGTGGCTAGTACCAATCATATATCCTCAGACTGACAAATATTCCCCAGGTGGATGGATCCGTGGGGATCGTAGCGACTATGACAGGTGGGCTGAGATTGTTGGGGACGAAAGCTACAGCTACAATTCTATGCTACCTTATTTTATTGCTACGGAGGAATACACCGACGGAAGTCAAGCTAGTGGACAACATGGATCCGACGGTCCGCTGCATGTTGCCCGAGTCTCTTCGACCGGTCGCAAATATCCGCTGCGCGAGACATTAGCACAGGCATGGGATGAGAACCATGTCAGTGCCCTGCCTCACTTGGATGGAAACAGAGGTAACCCTCAAGGTCGGGCAGAGATCGCAGAGGATCGTCGTGACGGACTGCGTCAGTTGGCTAGCGCTGCCTATCCACTCGATGGTGTCCAGGTCATGACCAACACACTTGTGAGGCGCATTATTACAGCACCAGAAGACGACACACCGAAGGCTATCGGAATCGAAACAACAAGCGGCGAGAGATACTACGGCAGAGATATCATCGTCTCTGCGGGAGCATACCGCACCCCACAGCTCTTGATGCTCTCTGGAGTCGGCCCAGAAGAGATAATGTCACAGTATGCCATCCCAACTATCGTTGACGCCCCGGAAGTTGGAAAAAACCTCTACGATCATCTGGAGCTCGTACAGTACTGGAAGCTCAAGGACCCTTCCAAGGGGTATGCTGTTGGATCCGACAACCCTCTCTTCGCCAAACCCGAATTCGGACTCGGGGTGCCGGTTGACTGGGTCGTCACCACCAGCGTCCCCAGAGATGGCTTAGTAGAGGCAATTATAGCGGATGAAGGGTGTCTACCATCAGCAGATCACCCTCTCGTCAAAGCCGAGCGATCCATCCTAGAGTACATCACGTTATACGCCGCTGGTAGTGCTTCAGACCCGGTCGTACCCCTAGACGGTACCCACATATGTATGACCATCGTTGACCTACTGCCGACCTCGAAAGGACACGTTACCATCAATTCGACGGACCCGGCTGATCCGCCTGTAATCGACCCCGACTACTTGTCAACTGAGGTGGATCGCTACGCCTGGCGCACGGGGCTGCGCACTGCCGCTCGGCTATTTTTGGGGACCGATTCAGGCAAATCATTCATTGATCAGGAAACCCCACCGGATGGGTTTGAGCCGATCAGCTTGAACTCTAGCGATGAGTATTTGGATGCTAGGGCTCGGCATGGAGCGTTGTATGTACAGACCCGAGTCGTTCATATGGTCCTAACTAACGGATGTAGTTCTACGTACCACCCAATGGGAACATGCTCAATGGGCAAAGTCGTCGACAACAAGTTCCGGGTCCACGGAATATCCAACTTGCGGGTTGTTGACGCCAGTGTAATTCCAACCCCAATCGCGGGACATATCCAGGCCGCGTTGTATGCCATGGCAATGAAGGCGGCGGATGTAATCGCCAGCAAGGTATGAGTATATTTCGTCTATATTGAATGGGCACATCTTTCAACTATTAAGCTTCCCACGACAATGTAATTATGTGGCAAGACCGCTAGGGCCACCCGAGTGTATATAGTTGAAGTTGAATGTCAACGCGTAGGCCGGATGGTACTAGTATCAGTGAACAGGCCCGAAAAGCTCGGAAACATCAATAAGCAAGTATGAGAATTGTCTTCTGAATTTTGAGCATGATTCAGTCTAGCAATGCAATTTGGGTATAGAAAAGTGAGCAGGTCGAATCGATATTCAATCTACCACCGGGTAGTGTACTATCACCTCCTTCTCCCACTATTGTTGCCGTAATGAATGGTGACAGCTGGGCACAGATTTTATCCCAACAGTCCAGCGTCAACTCACATTCCAAGCGCACTTTGGTCAACCATGCATGAATGTGGAGATGGCTCTTCAATGCGGCCAGCAAGTGTTGATTTCAATGATCTGACTGGGGCTATAAATAAACCAATTTTGCTATATATCAAATAACCCTCAGTAAATGTGTGAATGGCATGCTTTATAACAACGCCTCTGTACTCCATATATATTAGGTTTAACGATCGGAACGCCAGGATTTTGCCTCCCAGGATTATACAGGCAGGTATTTGTCACAAGCAAGGAGCCGTGCAAAGTTATAGCAAATCAGCCAGGAATAGGAAAAAAGGGAAGAAGTGATATACTACCCAATATGCACAGTGACACCGCATCCTTCAATATCCCTCCTCGGGATATTGAATGTAGTCCCAGATTGAATGTCCGAGAGGAATGCTAACTGTACTTCACAAAATTGGCCGACAAGGCTAGTTAATGGTGCCTGAGGAACTTATGTGTGAATCATCCATCGCCTTCATGATTAGAACTAATTTGAGCGTTGAATGTATCTGGAACCATATACAAGTTTGGGGCCCTTGCAACTATCATTTGTAACATAAACTCAGTTTTATCTGCACTTCATCCTCATCAATCTGGTTTGTGTAATCGGCTTATAATGTTAACGAAAGCTCGTCTTTGATTGCCATATATCAAAGTCTCCTTTAACAGGCAAACATCCATGACTTGCCCATGGAATCGGTCTCTCTATTTTAGTAGCATCAGCAAGAGCTACACGTCAAGGGGCGCTCCAGGCACAATTTAGATAGGAGTCGTGGACAACCCGCCTTATGTTGCCATCGTTGCTTCTATTATAAATCTAGAAGGTAACGGTCGGAATGACCTCGATAGCTCGACTCCCAAGCCTACGGACATGACACAGTGGCGGTCATTTGAGCTGCATCGTTTCATATCCCCACGACATGCCTTTGTTTATAATCTAGGTTTGGCATATTGAAGTGTGCAGCTTGGGCAGCCGTCACGAGACCAAGTGCGGATTCCATGATGAACGGGGAACTCTGAGCTGCAGACTGGTGGAATAAAATATTGGATTTGAATATGGCTTTGGCTTGCTCGATGATATCCTCCAAAGGGTCACTAGCTATCGGCCGTCACAACAGCCAATAAAGGCGAAACTAAAACAGCGAGATTCAAGCTCCAAAACCCCGGTCTTTACATCTACCCGTCCCATTCCTCTTGCGAGGATATTCAACAACATGTTATTTCTTAACAGGATATTGATGATTGGTTGATCATCAATCCTTAAATTGATGATGACTATATCGGCTATCTTAGCTGCCGGAATCCACTATCAACACTCTTCATTGATAACAACAGCACTACCGCAGGTCACAAAAACAATATTTTCTTCATCATATTGAATATAAAAAGATGTTCAAGCCCCTCAGTAACCCAGGATGCCTTGTGCCTCAGAGCCATGCCCTAGATTCATCAAAGTGAGAGCGGCAGACGATACTCTAGACAGGTTGTGATCATGATGAAGTGATATCTACCCAAGGCTAACGCTACCCTGTGGCACAAATGGTAGCATGACTCAAAGATAAAATCGTGTTGTCCCTTTCTCATGTGGCTTAGAATGACCTTGCGTCTAGTAAGTCATATAAACATGTCTACCCATCGAGGGTCTGCTACTAAATTTGCTTAGACCCCAACCGCAAATATAATGAGTTTGCCAATCCCCAATAACGGCTTAATCTAGTTGACGATAAATATGGTTAACATTCACCACACAAAGGTGGATCAAAGAGATAAGGACGGTACAGGTAGCGCACCCTTATGTTACGGCTGCTTCTGTGGAACAACGGTGCTTCTAAGTGGGAAATTATGGCCTCCTATGCTCGCATGACTGCGACGGGTACGGAGGTTTCTCTCGGTATAATCCCATCAAGTCGATGCAAAAGATTATTGACTTGGACGAGCCAATCAACTTGGATCCTGAGGATGATAATGAATGGCCGGATATTGAGTCGGTGCGTACATATTCATTAGTTTGCGTTGCATTACAATGGGACATCATCACCAGAACCTGCACCAGTACCTGCCCCCCAGCCCGAAGGCATCGTCTCGGCTGGCTTCCATGACCTGATTCACGAACCGGCATTTTGAGCTGTTCTGATTCTTTCGGAAATTGGGATATTAACTCGCTTCATTGATCAATGCAAGAGGTTGACATTTAATCACCAATAGAACAAACAGTCCGCTAAAGCGAAGTCCAGAATGCTGTTGAGTCTACGGTATATCCATGGCGAATATGATGTTGCAGCTGCCTGAAGAACATATGCTTTTATAAGTAACAGCTGCTTGCTGAGCATCGTCGACTTATAAGGCAAGACAATTCCGAGTGATTCTACTTACCCTGCTCCATGTTAGCATATCTGCTCGCTCCACCAATGCTGCGCTTAAAGGTACTGTGAATTGACTGGAATATACCTTTGGGAGGGGCCCATTCCTCGATAAAGATGAGGTCACTCCCGGCCCTGACTATGACTACTCTAAGTGGCCCCTTACTGAGCCAAAGTTGAGACCGCCCACACCTATATAAGTAGCCTAGGTCTTGCAGAATGACAACGATCCCATTCCTTAATCAAAACCCACGTTCCGGTTTGGTATAGCTCAATTCCCATCTCAGTATATCGAAGGTCTACCACAAAGTCGAAGGCGCAATCATATACCGACATGTCCAGACCACAACGGATCCCCATACCGAGGGCGGAATAACATAGGAGTCTAACCGTCAATATGATAATAATGCATGACGACCCATTTTAAATCACGGTATCGGACATGAGTGATATCATCGAAGTACATTGGAAAGCATTCACCCCAACGCCAGACGCACCTGAACCCTATCCAATCGCTGTCACGAGTGGAATGTTACTGAATATTGAAGGCACGGGATTCCCTAGAGCGATAGCGTCTGCGTTGGTCGCTTCATATCGGCGAATTGTTCGGACAAGGCATTCATAAAACCTGTGAACACAAAGCCTTCAGACGAATACATCGATCATAACGGGAAAACGATCGCGCTGAAAGTTACCCTACTCATGACTACCCTAACACCAATGCCGTCTTAGAGCAGGACAGGGTAGTAAGAGCAGCCCTCATTAGAACTAATAGTAGCTTTAAAGATCAAGGAAAGGCCTGCCACCATACTGCCATATTATTGCCCGGTCAGCTCCCTACTGTACAGCCAAAGGAAGCAAAAAGGCCGAGTGCGCAACGTGTGACAAATCCTGTGGTATTGGACGTTTTATCGCCACATCACAGAGCTAAATATGGCCGCTGAAAATTCCCTCGTCCTGCGGTTTGTACTGTCTACCACTTATGCAATGAAACATGTTGTTGGACATGGAAAATATAAATCATCAACTTTCAATTGTTATGGAGAGCGGATAGAGCGAATCTTGGCCGCACTTGCGCGCTGATGAAGATCTATGGCTGTATAGATCCACCAAAGTCAACTTGGTTATTTTGTTGAACTGATCAGAATCTTCCCATAATGGAGATAAGGGTAAGGTTGTGGAAGAATTAACACCTATCTAACAGATGCAGAAGGGGAGCTTCTCGACGGTACGATGAAATCCTACCCCAGAGGTCAACCATGTTAGTTGATCCAGGCTGGCGACATCGCTCGTTAACCATGCGATAATCGTGTCTCCAAATGCCTTACCATGACAGACAGTCGTCAGTGCAGCTCTTCAGGTATTCCATAAATAGACTATCAGTTATCCAAGATGTTGTCATTTACATTGCTACGGGGTGACTGCAATTTGGGAACACGCTGAGTCCATAATGATAACATCACTGATCTCTCTTCGGAGCAATATACTTAAATTGTGTCATTTTCCATTACATATTACTTTGATACCCTCACCCCTTGTTCGACTTCCCATTGCTTGGAGCCCGTCATAATGTCCTTTCTACACCTCATTGCCTTGACACAAAGTTGAAGATATGATCCCCGTCGGATAGCAGCCTAGGCCACATACTTCTATCGAAATCTACAACTCATCAAGACACAGGAGCCGCACCTTTTTACTACCAGGAAAAGAAGGAAGCAAGGAACGGTATCAAATCGGACCAGACAGTTAGTCAAAACTTGGAGAATATCATCAGCCTTCTACCGAACCGAACCGGTGCGATTCCGATGAGAATGCATACATTTACATCCATCTGGATACGGATCGTGCTGGTGCGTTCCCTACAGTACCTGACTGGATAAATACATCCCATGCCATGTGGCCGATAGCACTGTTCACGTTATACGAATGTCTTTCTTGAAAGGTTACTCCTTCGGCAGGGGAGGTTTTTACCACTGAGCAACGCAGCCAACTCGCTTCATACATCCCCTGCTTAGTACCCTTATCGCGCACATGGTGAAGAAGCTGGGATTCATTTTGAGCAGCAGAAACCTCTTGTTATTGTCAGCCAAGGCTAGGGCTCGGAGATGGTAAAATTCATTTTACTAGAAAACCTCCCGGTCGGAAACTGTTTAACAGGATTATCCCGATGATGATTAGTATCTATCCAAATTGCTATGTTTAAGCGATCCAATAACCAGGAGAATGTATTCACATTCATTGTGTCGAAGCCCATCCTGGTCGAAGTGCTTGACAAGGTCATACATGGGGATTTGTGGATTACTCGTCTACAAAGAGGAGCACCCCTAGTAGCTTCATGTGAAGGATAACGCTGGAATATCGTCTATAAGGACTACTATGCATTGATAGGCAATGACGTGGCGAAAAGCATTCACCAGGGCCAAGAGACATAATAGAGAGTACCACCAGCCGTCGGATACAACGAACATTTGTGTTAAAGAGGTACAACTGGGGGCACTCGACTTCTATCCTTCAAGGACTTGAATAGGAGTATACGGGCGACGATTGATGCAGTTGTTGTTGGGCCAGTGGAGTATTTCGGTCATGCGTCGTATCCCCCGAGTTATCTGGTGCGGGTCGAAGCATGGGTTTCGTTGGAAGAGTCTGTGGTAATTGCGTGTGGGCGAGAGAATTTCGAATTGTAGGTATGCACAATACATGGCGAACCCTGGGACGATAGATAATCGAGCTGGGGTCTAGCAACGGGTTGAAAGCTGATTACGAGACATTGGGAAATGCGTATTCCGGATATCGTCCTCAACATCCCTCGATAATCTGGGAGAAATATCAAGCCAGCCAAGTCGTCAGAAAGCCAGCAAACAGAGCCTTCCGCCGTCGAGAGTGTCGCGTTTACCCTCGGCAGTTGTTCTACAGTTCGATACATGGGGACGGGGTTCGACCAGGCCAACTACAATGACGAAGGTAGTGGCAATCACGATCCCAGGGACAATGAAAACAAATCCTAAGCTTTGTATTATAGACAGCTGCTGATAGATATGTACTTATATGCTGGTGCTGATCTTCCGATGGGATATTAGTCAATTAGACTAGGTATCTGATTATTTTGCCTGCCATCGTCAGTTTGTAGTGCTTTGCCAGCTGTGTGACAAGCACAACGCACTGTGATTGATTATATACATTTCCTGCATTGTCCTTATATAATGACTTGCGAAGGCTCCGCAAGGTATGCTGGGAAATGTCTTCAAATTTTCGCGTGCACTGAAGTGGGCAAGAGGCGCCCTTTCGAAGCTACTATCAACGGGGAGGAGAACCCTGGTGTCAACCAAAGTACTCGTGAGCTTATCGCTAGACAGCGATAGTCCTCGGTTATGGGTTTGCCACTGTTGAGGAGACTTGTCGTGGGTAGTTCAACTGCCATAACGGGGGAAAAGAAGGTGGTATGTATTGAACAGCCTATACCGGGTGACGCTACAGTATGCCTTGCCGCTTGTTGCATGGACAAATCGCCCACTTAACGGGTACATTGGAAGCCATATCCATTGGACCTTTAATAGCTGTAGGTATACTACCCGCTTATTTGATGCTGCACAGAGAATAGAAGGGACCTGCTCGCTAAAGATTCATGCTTCATCGACAACAGGAGGAGGTCAAGAATCCGATTCTTACTTTAATAGTATAGCTAGGGGATTGGGAGCTGAGAAACAGATAAGCCACGTATTGTAAGTCTTTCATTAATAAATAAACGAGGGAACAAATTATGTCTTTACAATATTCTTCCAACCTGGACGAATCCGAGAAACTTTATATTTAAAATCACAAAGTTAAATGCTAAAGGTCGCTCAGACCTTGATTCTTAACTTCAATGCGGCGGGGACTTGAACCATAGATATAGGACTCTTTTATACCCAGCTGAATATTGCGAGAACAGAGACAGTGTTCAACAGAGCTATAGATGTGATTCGACCGCTGGCCAAGAATAGAAACAACCCTGGGCATCTGCTGCGACTGACCTGTTGATCCTTATGTTTTACTTCTAATGGCACGGCCATTAACTACAACGAAGAGGATGAAGAACAGGGCCTAAACTTCCGACGACCAACTGCAGAAGAAGATTGCCTTCAGGGAGCAAGAGACTCGAAAAACGGGTTCCTTCACTGTCTGTGCTTATACTTCACTATATAATGTTTCTTGCAATAAATCATAAAGACGGGGTTTCTAGTGTATTCTGACTATGTCAAGCCCGTTACAGGGCTGCCGGGTGGAAGGGCATGTCGATCATGCCGGCCGCGAAAGTTGAAACGGGTTCGTTCTAGTCGAGGATGATTCCCAGTCCATGAGACACGGAATTACGTCATGTCTGAATATAAAGACAGGTTCAGGGAAAGTATCTACACACAGAACACCTCGTATGGCTTTTGGCCAATCGCAGCTTGGTTCCAATCCCCTCGTATTGTTAGGAAGCGTGGATAAGGCTGATGTAGGGGAGGAAGTTTCAGCGGCAGACAAGCGAGCAAGGGCTAGCCAGCTAGGAAAGGAGGTTGAACGGATAAAGGCAGGGAGAATAGAATAGAGGCCGCCGAGGGAAAGGATGTCAATTGGGCAGACAGAGAGAAGGGCCCTCCTGTGATAGAGATGTACAGGACTCTAGGAAAACAGCAACTGCGCTGGTTGTAATTGACTGGAAAGGAGCCCTGGCGACATGCTTTTCTGCAAGGGCTATTACTGGTTGAATTTACAAGTGCGTGTTGATACAGCTTTATCATGTGGAACATTCTATATCTCCATAACCTGGTTCGAAGATGTACTAAGTGATCTAGAAATGAGGATGCACACACACAGAGGATAGCGCCTCAAGAACAGGGTGCGACACCAGCCGATCCAGGGAAGTCGCAATATACGCCCGAACTGCTCTGAGCACAAACCAACCCAGCGGGACATGGCTGCATCACCCACCTCTCATTGTCGCAAATACCGAACTGACTGCCATTGCAAGCAAATGCTCCACTAGTCGAACATGTTTCCCCATCAATGGGACACACAGTTGAGGTGGGTGCTACGGTTGGCTTACTGGATGTTGGACTAGCTGTGGAGGATTTCGTGGTGGTCAACGTGGTACTTGTAGATGTAGTCTTTGTCGTAGGGGTAGTTGAGGTCGTCTTCGATGTCGTAGTCGAGCTTGTCGTCGGAGTTGGAGGAGCTCCACCACCCAAGGCTGACCTGAGCCCTGAGAGAAAGCCGCTATTGGCGTAAACCTGACTCGCATCCCATACCATGGCTCCTCCGAAACTGCTGAACTGTTTCACGTAGTTAATGATCTCGGTAACGGTCGATATAGGCTGGTACCCAGTCCCTGCTGCACCCTTGTTTCCAGGAACACCGAGAAAGACTTTGGCGTTTTTGTTTAGAGAGGTTTCACGAGCCCATCTGTCCCAGACATCGAAGTTGAAGTTATTCTGTGCTGCGCTACCGGGGACAAATGCCTGCAGTCCGCAATAGTTGTTGTAGAACTGAATCCATATCGCATCGAAGTACACAGCGCCATTGAGCATCGGGCCATCTGCGGCGTCTGGGTAGGGACACTGCGGTGCCGCTGTGGTGTAGTATTTCTTTGAGGTATCACTTCCGTAATATGACCGCAATTGGTTCGCAAAGGCCGGCATGTTGTTGACAGTTGCCTCGAAGTCGAGGTCGAAGCCGTCAACTACTGCGTCTCCGAACGGTCGCTTCACAGAGGCATTGGAAACAGGTCCGAATGTCTCCCAGATCATCTTGGCACCGGCAGCTGCGGCTGCTTCGCTGGAAAAACCGCCTTCGTTGTAAGTGGCTCCTCCGATCGAAAGGAGGATCGTCCGTCCGAGCGATTGGCATTCCTTGATGTCCTCACTGATAACACAGTCGAGTTAGTGTATCTATTGTATATGATTTCGCGCGTACTCACGCAATTTGGGGACAGTCTAAAAGTTGGGTCCCTGAAAATGTGGTGCAGTTGTCGCCAGCGTTTGCGAAATTCACTTCAGGGACACCACCCGCCCCGTTGATCCTCGTCAAGAAGGAGATCTGGTATACCTATCTGTGCTGTTAGTGGATCCTTGAGCAGTTTGGGTCTATTTGATATAATACATCTATGCCCGTGGCTGGACATCACATGGGTCGAACCGTTAGCTATTGCATGCTTACGTGGTGTAGAGTCAGTCTTACTCCTGCAGTAATACGACAGACGCTGTTGAACATATGGACCGGTAGACTGTCCATAGGAATTCTGGCCTGAGAGATCCTATCAGCTATGGCGCAGGCTACGTGCTTGGCGCCGACTTTTACCCCAGTAAGCAGCAATGTTGTTATTACTGTTCAAGTTCAACGCGGCCAGCGCGCCATTGAAAGAAGCCAGAGCAAGCGTGAAGAGTGCAACAGTCCTTGACGAAGGCATGGCAGGGTATCATGAAACGCAATAGCGAACCGGCTTGAAAGATTTGGCGCTGAGGTTGAGTACAGCTCAACATGGAGGAATGTTGGGCCTTATTATACATCTTGTCGTAAGGTTCTTGATGGGCACACAGATGGTTGAATTAGATTAACTGCGCACATTGCGAGTCATGTGCGTTTGTCATGGGTATTTGAGACTAGCCTTTGAGAGTTGTACACATACATTCCTTGGCCTCATTCTTTGATCTCAATAGTCCGAGACATTAGTGAGACGACAATGGACTTCGGTGGAATGCTACGTTCGCATCTCACTGGAATAAGAACGCTAAAAAGGTCGAAATAACGCAGAGAGTCGTTTGCACGCGACGCGTTTCAGACGGAATTACAGGGCGGCGCCGTTATGGTGTGCACGACGAAGTGTTAGCGATGGCGTACAAAGTTGCTTGGCTAGTGTACGTCGAAGGCATGACAAACGGGCTTTGCATCATGGAAGGCAACTAATGATCGGGATTGAAATCCCTGGTGGTTGCCATGTTGTCGCGGCTAAGCATTCTTATCCGTCAGGTGAGAAGCCCTAAGAGACTGTCATGCAGGTGAACTGATCACCTCTTTGGGCGGAATGATCTTGAGAACCTTGTCTCAAGTTCGCGATATAATGCCCAGGGCCCCTGCATGATAATCCACGTAGGATAAGGAGGGTTTCACAAGAAGGCTCCATGGACGAACAGCCATTTGAGAATGGTTAAATCAATGCAACTCTGCCGGGTAACCACATGCCGGCACTCGGAAATGAAGCAAACTCGCTTAATCGTTGAAAGGCCTCATGACGGCCCGTCTAGACTCTCATGTCACATTCTTCGGCGCACCCGCTACCCCGCGGCTTGACAAGGGGTATTGACCCTACCAATGGCTTGTCAATAATTGATGGAAATGGGTCAGGGACATCTGCCACTTGGAAGATAAGCTACCATGAAACTGTTTCATCCCTTGTGCCCGTCGCTCTGGTGGTTCTATCTTATGTATCTTCCACGTGCGATATTACCTCTTCCAAGGCCTTCACAACTTCATTTGTCAGCCCTGCAATCTTGTACAAGGAACATTCAATGCGAGCTCCCTCGCTTCAGCCACCTTCTGTTTGTTGGAAACACTGCGTGGCACCCATGTCCTCGATCTCATTTCCCCTCGACGCCCTGGAATGCGAGGGATCTAAGACACGACAGCCGCCCGCCCTTTCCCCGAACTAGAGCGTTCCCTTCACTCTGATTTACATTACTTAAATAACCCTAACCATTCCGCAGGCATGTTTACAGGTTGTTGTCGGCGCCGAGCTTCGCCCAGAGGCCTGTGGCCATTCCTACATAATGACTGGTTCACCGTGGCTCCATTCTTTCTTTCCTATAATTTAGGATGGTATTATGTATGTTTTGGCCACGAGGGACATGAACCTCGAGACCATCTCTATCCTATCTAAATTATACGTCGCTTCATCGGGCCTAACGGTTGGTTTCGGTGTTCCTTAACGCGTCATGAGACCTTGTAGACTAACACTGTAGATCGTCGCTAATTATTAGTTCCTTATAGAGGCGTCCGCACGAGCACTTGGGTTCACTGCCTCCACCTACCAATTTAATCAATGTTACAGTGACAGTTACCTCGCTCAGTTCCTAACAAAGAAGGCCCTCCGTGATATAGACCTACGATGAATATCACATCCAAAAGTATATCAACGTTGCTGTTTCAATCCAGTGGCTGATATGCCTAAGATCGGTACTCCACTCGACCGAAAATACTACATCCCTCGGACTAACCAAAGTGTGCAAAATAGGTAGGCAGATGATGTTGTTCACATCATACAGTGCCCAACCATTATAGCCACTGTGGTGGTATCAGCAAGGACAGAGTAATTCCCCCATCTAAAAGGTTACATATAGAAATTCGATACTATTCAGTAGGTCATATGAGGATATTGTGACGATATCCACCTTTGAACACTCCGTTTAGGGGTACCGAATACTATGTGATCAAATTGACTGCTTTTGTAACCTTGCGACGCAGTCATGGTCTAATGATAAACTGGATATTCAGCGCGTCACGATGGAAATCAGTGTAGTTGCTTTACTACTCAGACAAGTGCGCATGGCCAGTGTAACATGTCATTTTAGTTGTTTGTATTCTGTACGTCTGGTCAAGCGAGCATCCAGTCGCGCCATGTTAATCGACTGACATCTACATGGAATGAAGGCTCGGTGATACTTAGATTAATAGTTGTCCGTAAACAATAAAGAAGAGGATGATGCCAACCCAGTACAGTATAACGAATATGCGAACAAATGACAAACGTCAGGCTTTGCTTGGAATACAATCCTAAACATCTGACAGCATGATCCATGAAACGAGACCTAACCTACAGAATTCCATTCCAGAGATTAAGTCCAGGGTGGAACACATATATATGTGCCGACGGATGGTTTGTGTACATCCTAGAACGAAACTCGGGATAACCCGTACTATTTGTTCTCCTTCGAGTAGGAGCATACAATATATGTACTGTTGAGGAATTCCTCGTTGATTCGACTTACAATACTTAGCCGGGCATTCTGTACAATGTCAATGTATAGGCAGCTAATTTCGCACGTGTAGGTGTAGCATTTCTCAATACAAGCTAACATGGTGTATGCCGGAGGGGTACTAGTTCTTTATCTTTCCTGTGTGGGGACTAGGGGGTTTATTTTGGCATATCGACGTTTTAGACCTTTACAGATATGCAACTTTGAATACACACAGATCAAGACAGTGTGGCAATCAATGTAGTAACCGTACGTAAATGTGGCGTGTCGATATTAAATACAATGATTGCCCAGCCATTCTTCCTGGAAAAGCTAATAATCTCTACTGTGATGGCAAACCTACTACTAGTAGTACCTCTATTCATGGTTTAGCCTGCGGGACATCGAGGCAGGACACGCACGGCACGATAAAAGTATAGTTGGTATTGCTACCTGATGAAGTTTAGGTAAACGAACTCTTGGTAAGTTAACTGGGGATTACCGCGTGATCCAATTCTACGAGACTTGAATGAACAAAAGAGACCCCACACATCATGTGGGCCTGATAATGGCATTTAGCAAATGTACACAATCGTAGTAAACATTAGTTCTCGAGCCACCGACCCATTGAAATACATACACAATGTAAACTTGACTCTAGGATGAGTTGCACACTCGGCTTGGCTTTCGTCGTGAGCGGTCCTCTTAAATATCGGCATTAGGGTTACATCGGCCCAGATCGACTAGTTGACTGGCCAGACCCTGATCATGGCAAACAAGTTACTTTTCGTGTCCCAAGAAAGGCCCACTATGAGGTCACCATCTGTATTAGTGATACGAAGCCGATCACTGCGAACAAAACAATTCAGTAGTCCCTCCTGCTTGGACGTTTGAACTTTTCGTTGCGAATAATATCCGTGCACGTGGTGCCGATAGTGGTTGAGGAGGGGGGATTGCATTATCGGACGGATTGATATGTCGCCACGTCAGGGTCGGCATAATGCAGCTAATGTGCTAATCATTTATCAGCGATTGCACAATGGAATAGCAGTTGTTTCGGGATTCATGATTTATCCCCTCGTAAATGTTGTACCCCGCTACCCGATTGATAGTATTTCCACGAACGATCGCTTAATTCACACTTTCTCGTACAACTGTTATATTCTCGTTGAAACAAGAATCTCTACAACAGGATTTGTCTAACCAAAACACCCACAAAGTACAAACTATCCTAGGGTGCTATAAAGGTAATGACCCCTATCGACCAATCAATCCTCTCTCTTTTCAATCCGACAGACTTGGTTCATTCTCGGCGCAGAACCAACCACTTGACAGATCATCTTCAACCATTGTAGGTTCAACAAGTTAAATTTCTCGTAATGAAGTGGCGCAATTCCTAAACTTCGAACACGACCGACAAAGTCCCGATTTCCCGGCTGCGGTGAGCTGGATCATAGTAGAGGACCGTGCACGCAGAACAATTGTTTGTGAACTGCTTATCATGGAATAGCTGCTTCGCTTCACCTCCACTGTTGTGGGCTCATATCGTCCAATTGAATTCATGACCAAGAGCCAAGCTTATCGGAACCTTTCGCCGAGGTTTCTAATTGGAAGTGTTGACTGTCTCCAGCTGGAAATAGCAGCTTGACTGTGTCTGGAGTCGGGGCATTCCGCTTTGGTATGTAGGGGTCGATGAAGATGAGGGTCTTAGGGCCAAGCCCTGGGGGTGGGCATCCCGCATGAGTACCGTGGAATGGAGGAAGAATAACTTCTGGGATGAAATCACTACGTCCTAGATAACTGACAGCTTCTGTTCTTGACAAACAACGTATGCTTGATGGCTGAATTCAGAAGAAACATGGCTTTTATCGAAGATACAATGACCAGCCACCCTTGCCCTAGATTCATTGGGGAGGCTATATCCTCGCATTCCAGTGTCCTCTCTAGAATTAATCCCTAATCATAGCGTGCCCCACCACTCTGCAGTATGAGGTGATGATGATCCTCCCCATCTCCGTTATTGGTAGCCACGCCATACCCACCGGATCGGAAATTTCTCTTACCCAGGCAGATCGAAGTCGTTGGTAATACTCTGTACTGGTCTTAGTGTCAAGAAAGTTAAGCCCTAGGCTGGGACGTTCTGGACTGTTTCCGGAACCTTGTCAAATAGACTCCATGATTGGTGTATTACTATTTCCACTTGCGGAAGGTTGAGCTGCCCCGCTCCAGCTCATATCCTGACGTTGCGTAGTATATAAGAATAGATTGCGTTACTCGGACCGACCGATTGACAATCCTTACAACACAAAATATAAGCAATGTCCCACTTGAAGAAATTCGAACGCAAGGTCGAGCGCAAAGTTGAGAACCTTGAACACAGACTTTCGCACGACGCCCACAAACACCAGAAGGGCGACCCCACCGGTAAAATGCAGGACCAACCCGGCCCCAAGATCAAGAATGTGGTGAAGAAGCAGATTGAGAACCGTCCCGATGAGTGGAAGATCGAGCAGGGTATCAATGCTGCCAAGCTGCCATTCCTGGACCAGAGTGGTCCGGAGACCGTCTTCATCCAGCCCAAGATATGGGACGGTAAGATGACCAAAGACGAGGCGGCCATCAAGGCGGTTGGCAACCCCGAGAAGTTGTTTCCCCGTGAGCTTGAGGGATGGAAAGGGTAATGACTACTCTCCGAATTGGTTATATTACAACACAGGAACTAATCATTCTCAGATATGTCGAGTGGGAGGAATACCCCGAGAGAAAGAAGGCCGCGCACAAGATCCTCACCTCGCAGGCCTTCCCTCCCAACCCCGAGTACCAGATGGGCCCCATCCCTGACACCAACCCTGTGCTGCCCGGAACTCACTGGAAGCAGTGGCATCATGCCGTTGGCGGTGAACTCACGGACGTGCCCGAAGACTCTTGGAAGACCGTCCTCGAGGAGAAGCACCCGGAAATGCTTCATCTTCTGCAATTCCCGTACAATGGCGAGCCTCCTAAGCGTCTCACTACCGCCCAGCCAGTTACACCCAACCCGCTTCACTTCGTTCGGAATCACGGCGGTATCCCATTGATCGACAAGGACAAGTTTTTCCTGAAGCTCGACGGACTTGTCAAGAACCCCAAGACATATACCATGGATGACTTGATGGATGAATCGAAGTTCCCTCGCATGAAGAAGATGATTACCATGCAGTGTTCTGGAACCCGTCGTATCGAGCAGATCGCCCTCTACGCTGGTCAGGGTGATGAGGTCCCCCAGGCTCCTTGGGCGGAAGGTGCCATCGGAACAGCCGAATACGTCGGTATCAGCTTGAAGAAGGTCATCAAGGACTGTGGTGGTCTTCTCGAGGGTGGCAAGCACCTTGAACTGTACGGAGCCGAAACATACTTCAAGAATAACGAGGCGATGAATTATGTTGTCAGTGTGCCCTGGTCCAAGGTCAAGGCCAACGAAGTGATGCTTGCCTGGGAGATGAACGGGGAACCCCTCCCTAAGATCCACGGATACCCCCTGAGAGTGATGGTCATGGGATACATTGGTGCTCGCAGTGTCAAGTGGCTGTATCGCATCAAGGCTATCGAAACACCCAGTCTGGCACCAGTCCAGAGCAAGGAATACCTCTATTTTAACCAGCAGGTTGGCAAGCACAACCAGCGCCCCACGGATGGTATCCAGATCCAGGAGATGCCGGTCAGTTCTGCAATCATGTCCCCATGGAAGAACCAAGTCGTCATCCACAACGGAAAGATCCGCTGCAAGGGCTGGGCCTATTCGGGCGGTGGCAGATGGCCAGAGCGCGTGGAACTCTCGTCCGATGGTGGTTTCAGCTGGTACCCTGTTCCTCTAGAAAACTTGTCCGAGAAGGGCCAGTGGACCTGGCGTACCTGGGAGATCGACCTGCCCTGCGATGTGGAAGGGTGGATTGAAATTGTGTGTCGCTGCTGGGACAACGCTCTGAATACACAGCCCCTGAATGTCCGTGCTGCATGGAACTGGGGTCTGCATGTCACTAGCTCCGCGCACAGAATTTCGGTCTACAGTATCAACAAGACCAGACCCGTGACTGCGGAGCGTTTGGAGATGCTCAAGGCTCATGGCCAGCCTCTTGCCCCCATCACATGGCCCGAAGAGCTCCAGACCCAGTCGTGGGATGATTATAAGGACTTCTTCAAGAAGTACCCGAGAGATGCGGATAATGAAGAAGTGTTTTAAATACGCTGCATCCAAAATTGGCACCTGTTTTAGCAGCTTCCATTTTATGACTTTTATTACGAAGTATCGTGGTTGTGGGGACGGTTAATCCTGCGTTGTGGTATAGCTAGCAAGTATATGCTAAATTGATGAATATTGAATTATTATTTCATATTGTCTTGATACATCATCCAACAATTGCACAGTCGCATGTGTTCCAGTCATTCCCTCCATAATTATGTTGTTTAACCCAGAAGAATACGCCATGGCACGACAAAGTGTCCGCACTACAGAAGGCTCATAGGGAGTATTTCAGTGCGACTTCTACATTAAATGTATGCTAATCAATAGACATGAGCTTTTCTCTTAAAAGACTAATAGCATTAACAGACCCTAGTCATGGTAGGAAAACAGCAGTTCGGCTAACAAACATTGAAATAAATAACCGACGATACATCACTTCATCGACTTCATAACATGTCCCTCATAAAGACCTACACTGAAGAGCCTGTTTCTGCATAACCCTCCAAAATACCAAATGCCACAACCCCAACCGTCCGCCATAATTAACCCCATTAACTGTGCTCAACAAATTTAGTCTCGGTAGCATCAGACGAGATACTGCCCGCAGCCTTTTTTCTCTTGGCAATGGTAAAGCCACCCAGCAAGAAGAACGCAGCCTCCAAGCCCAGAATAACCGCAAGGGTAACCATAGCCCCAATAACACCAGCAACGGGTCTAGAGACTTCGTTACTCTTCTTCTCGGTCGATTCAGTACCGGCAGAGTCAGAAGAAGGGTTAGCACACTTTCCATCGGTGTTACCGCACGCGCTGCACCATTCGGCCGTAGACATGACGGCGATGCTCTTGGTCTGCTTCTCAAACTCCGACCAGGGGATGGTTGCGCTAGATTGGCCATAGAGAGGGAACTCGGTGGGTTCATCGGAGCCAGTGATTGTACCGTTGTGGAAGACAAAGCGGACGGAAATGTCAGCTGGATCGGGGAATCCGCTTGTCGAGTCGGTGACCAGCTCCCATGCCATTGAAGAGGCGTAGTCAGGGATACCGGTGAAGTCGGAGTCAGCCTTGGAGAGCTGGGCAAGGCCGAAATAGGAGAGAAACGTTCCGTAGGAGCCGAATTGGATGTTCAGCTTGGTTTTGCCCTGAGTGCTAATCGTCTCGGTCAGGGCGTCGAGCATCTCGCCGGCAAGCTGGGCACCAGCAATTGCGCGGACTGTCTCGCTCGAGTTGTAAGCTAGATTGTACTGCTCGATATTGGCCAGGGTCAGCAGCTGGTGGAATTGGGCGTCTGTGGGCATGTTTTCAGTGCTGGAATTGTGAATTCTTGCGACATTGAGGAAGTCGAAGATCGCATAGGCGTTCTTGAAGCTTATGTCATCGTCGGAGAATTCGCTCTTCAGAATGGGCGTGAGTGATGTATAGAAGTCTTGAGTGGACGCTAGAAGATCCTTATACAGTGACGAGCTGTAATAGCTGTTGCTGCTGACCTTGGCTTTCTGACACTTGGTGGTGGCCTGAAGCCATGTGTTGTCTTCGCTGTTTGTTCCGGTAGTGGTGAGCGAGAGTGGGACAAGTTGGTAGCCGTTCAACGGAGCATCAACTGTAGATCCGTTGGCCAATTCCTGGCTTGCAGTTGCGCCGACTGGAGGGTAAATACCCTGCAGGAAACCAGTTGCCGAGTTCTGCAGCACGGCATCAGATGGTGCAGCTGCACTGAGCTGCTTGAGGTTGACGACATCTGTGCTGATGCCTTCAATTTGAAGGGAAGAGTTCGAATCGATGTACCGGTTGTGATAGTAGCTACCAGTCATGAACACCTCATGATATCCCAGGTCTGTAAGCTGGGTGTTGCCCAGTATTTTAGGGGTACGATCTCCATGACGAGAAAAGATGTAGGCACCCAGAACTCTCTCCGCAGACGCTAAGTGGGCCTGGGGCATGGCCAGCATGGCCAGCACGAGGTAGTCTCGCGATGAAGTACGCATTTTAAAGGAGGAATGTCAATCCTGGAAACAATTGATCCCTAACTCTTTCTCTAAGTCATGGGAATAGGGTGTTTATTATATATTTGGCAGGGTTACTGCATGCGGGACGCTACTGTTACTACGAAGACCCTGAAGGAGTACCCCGCACCTATACGGGCATATTAACGACCCTGTCCGTGGAGCAATATGTCACTAGCCATATGGTCGAAGACTATTTTACCCTTGTACACCAGTAGCAGTTCTAGACGTTATACCGGGTGCATAACAGAAATAGCTGCCAAGCCTAGACTCCTTGGCATGTCTAGCAGGAAGCAGGCGGCGCCTCTCCGGCCACCCGCTCTGTTCCAGGCAATTGGTGAACTCAATGCAAGAACTTGGAGCGAAGGTCCAGTATCCCACCTACCGTGGGTTAGACCATGAAGGAAAGCTTAAATCATTATGACTGGTCGAAATACCCATCTTGACCGTTTTTGGAAATTCTAACTGACCAATAATTTACTCGTGCAGTACACCAAACATCATTGACTACCTAATTGACTTGGCATCTGGTGTGATATGGTTCATGTTGTCGTTGAAGGCGCACTGGACCCTTCTAGGTAAGTAGAGAGCTAGTAAATGCACTAGTCACAGGATACGAAGGCCGTACCCTTATAATCAAAGGTCCAGACGCAGTATGGCTCCTCATTAAGCTTGCTACGGTGCCCATACATATGACGTCGAGGGCAATCTTGCCACCGGGATAATTAGATGCTTGGATATTCATGAATTGCACAACCTTTCCGTTTTTCAGTTGAGTGAAGATAGATCATTAACCTGCACTATTACATATTTGCTCATATCAATCGCAAGGCCGACCAGGTGGTCCACTGCCATACAATAATAATATTCTTACATTAGAAATGTAAACAGAATTACGGACAAACCCACAAGTCCATTCAAGTGACAGCTGAGTTTATTCGTATGACAAGATCAACTGACACTGCTGAGTTTGTACTCTAATCTTAAATGCCCGTCATCCGTAAACAATAGTCATTATTGATGTGAGACTAAATTTCCCTCCCCATCCCAATCCTTATTTGCCCTCCATTCCCCGTCTTCCGGTTTGCTACCAACGAACTCCTCCCGCTTCCAGATCTCCGCCTTTGCCTTGCACTCATCCAGGATTTCCTCGCCGGCTCTCCAAGCCGCACGCCGGTGCCCCGAGCTGACAGCAATTAATATTGATGCCTCTCCGACAGCCACTGTCCCCAGCCGATGGGAGATGCTCACGGCGATAAGCCCATGTTTTTCTTTGCTTCGCCGTGCGATCTCTGTCAGGGTCCTTAATGCCAGTGGTGGGTAGGATGTATAACTGAGTTGAGCGACGGCACGACCGTCAAATGTATTTCGCGTTGTCCCTAGGAAGAAAACATTTGCGCCTGCCGCGGGGGAGTTGGTGTAGGATAATGCTGTATCTGCACTGAGGGGGTCGTATGTCAACTCGATGTGAATTCTCTCGTCTGGTAGAGTGATTGTGCGTGGAAATGTAGACCGGTCAAGGTGAGCGGGGGTTGAGTCTTTGGTTTCGGAAGGTACTGAGGTATATGAAACTCTACTTGCTTCTGTTGAGACGTCCATCTTGAAAGTGCAGTAAGTGGTAGTAGTTCTAATGTAGTGAAGATATATATCCAAGGGCAAAAGTCCGCGATGCTATGATTATGGTCTTACAGCCCGAAGTACACTCTTTGGACCTCACAAAGCTACCTATCTGTCACAAACAGACCCAGAACTTGGTAAGATAAACCGCCGATGACAGTGGAGCTCTTAGGGAAGCTGAAGAGGGGCAATTGTTCGAGATCGTATCTGCAAAGTAGGGTTCGAACTACTAAACGAGTGGGGCAGCAACACCCCCGCGCTAGGCTGCTTTGGGAACAACTAATCGACCAATTACAGAAAATGAGATGTAATGCAACTAAACTTGACTACGACGAAATTCTTACAAACTAATGCACTCGGAGATGATCGCTTTGAATATTTTTCCTTCAGGCATCGGAGATTCCGCGGTGAAAGGTCGTTTATAATCCGGGTGATACTGTAAAAATTGGACACCAATAAGGTTACATTCGTGCCTTGCCGTTGATCTCCCGTTTCATGGCCTCTGCCCTTGAGTGAGTCCAACAGAGCGATGGTGATGGACGCACGCCGGCAGAAGAAAGCTGGATATCAGTGGGGCACGTTAGGCGTTGAACTCTCCACCACATGAAGACCAAGGAGGCTTTGTAATTATAGAACAGGAAGCATGGGCTGACAAAACAATGTGTAGCCTGGACAATCTGAGAGATTCTTGCTATTTCAATAGAGGATGACTGCTTTCTCGTAATAATTCTCCATCATTACTGAATCTTTTGTACTTGACTTCCAGCTATCTACGTTGTGAACCATGGCAGATAGAGCATTACAACCTGCGATACTGATCGTATCAGACACTGCTTCTCAGGATCCATCGACAGACCGGGTTGTCGATGCCCTAGCACCCTTATTACTAACCACAGACCAGAGTCCCTGGAAGACACCATTTGTCAACATCGTGCCCGATAATGTACTCGATATTCAAAGGAGCATATGTAACTGGACAGACGGGCAAGACGCCGTGAACCTAGTCCTTCTGAGTGGTGGCACAGGATTCACGACTCGAGACAATACGCCAGAGGTTAGTTAAATCCCTGGTAATGTTCTTATTGCTTCAACTCTGATACTCTGCTATGCAGGCGGTAACTCCCCTTCTTCATCGTCATGCTCCTGGACTTGTGTATGTTTGTTCTCCGGATGTATTTGGCGGTTATCGCTAACTCGCTGTAACAAGGCATGGAATGCTGGATGCCTCGTTGAAAGTCACGCCATGTATGGTTAAACTTGATCATTCCTCCTGTCAGAGAGAGGACTAATGTTGAGCGCAGTCGCGATGATGTCTCGACCCGTCGCAGGAGTCCGGACTAGGACAGTGATAGTCACTCTCCCCGGGTCGCCGAAGGGGGCAAAAGAAAACCTTGAAGCCATTGTAAAGCTACTTCCCCATGCTTGCGTCCAAGCAGCCGGTGCAAACTCCAGAGCTCTTCACGCTGGCGGCATGCGGAAACTAGAAGCAGAAGCCGGCGTCTCCTCGGGAAGGAACCAAGAAAGCAGCACCGCGGCGGACACCGATAATCGTCAACCGCAACTTGGACACAGTGACTGTGGGCATTCCCGCCACTGTGGAAATAAGACAGCAAAGTCGAATGACACGAGTGAGGGACCAAGCCGCCGGAATCGCCTATCGCCTTATCCGATGTTGTCGGTCGATGAAGCTCTCTGGCGCATCAGTCACCATACTCCTGATCCTGTGGTGGTGGAGGCCCCGGTGACACCTGCGCTGGTTGGATCAGTAATCGCTGAGGATATCTACGCCGCAGAGGCTGTGCCGGCCTATCGAGCGAGTACTGTGGATGGATATGCCGTGATCGCTCCTGACTCGACTGAAAAAGATATAAGTTCGACGAGTAGAGGGACCAAGGGGATCTTTCCTGTCGCCTCCATCGCGCACGCTAATGCCAGTGATACCGCTCCCCCACTGGAACCAGGGACCATTTCGCGTATTACCACTGGCGCACCTCTGCCTCCAAACGCAAATGCGGTGGTTATGGTTGAAGATACTGTTCTGCATTCCTCCACACCAGATGGTACCGAAGAGGCCACGGTGGAAATTTTAACGGATGATATCAAACCAAACGAGAACGTACGGCAACCCGGTAGTGACATTGGACTGGGCTCGAGGATCCTTCGAATGGGTGACATCGTCACACCCGTTGGGGGTGAAATTGGCCTTCTTGCAGCAACCGGGACACGCAAAGTCAAAATCTATAAAAAGCCTTGTATTGGTGTTATGAGCACAGGAGATGAACTAGTCCCACATGATGACCCCCAGAGACTTCACGGTGGCCAAATCCGTGATTCAAATCGGCTCTCACTACTTTCTTGTCTCTCGTCTTGGGGCTTTCCCACCATTGACTTGGGAATCGCTCCTGATACCCCTGCCGGAGTGCTCGAAGAGCGGCTACGTAATGCGATCGAGAGGGAGGAAAATAGTATCGATGTGATCATTACGACAGGTGGTGTCTCGATGGGTGAATTAGACCTCCTCAAGCCGACCATCGAGCGTTCCCTGGGGGGCACCGTACATTTTGGCCGGGTCTCCATGAAGCCTGGGAAGCCAACTACCTTTGCCAGCATCCCCGTAAAGCGGTCACCCTCCCAAGCGGACGATACACCAAACACATGGGGAAAGAAACTCATCTTCTCACTACCTGGAAACCCAGCCTCGGCGTTGGTCAGCCTGCACTTGTTCGTGCTACCCTGTCTGCACAAGCTTATGGGGATAGGTCAGGGAATACTTTCCTCAGGGTCCGGCCCGACGCCAGGACTCCCTATCGTGACTGTGACTCTGATGCATCAGTTGGCATTGAACCGCGAGCGCACGGAATATCATTGCGCTATTGTCAGGGCATCTCAAGCAGATGGACTCCTGTATGCTTGCAGCACGGGGGTTAGTGCTACAGGACAGCGGAGCTCGAGGGTGGGAAACCTTGCGTCTGCGAATGCTCTTTTGGTATTGAAACCTGGACAAGGGTCTATTGAAAAGGGCACGCTGGTAGCAGCCTTGATTTTGGGTCCTATTCGGTCGGGGGTATAATGATGCTTGGATTATAAATGAGTTTATAAATTCCGTGCAATATGACTGTGCTACAAAGAAGATGGCTCCCCCGTTCATCCATGGTTTACTCAGGCCCGAAGAATCTATATTAATGCCCTATACTATACTTGGCGTTGTATCAAGATGAAGCCAAGCTCTGGAGGATTGGCTCGCGTCAACCTAAATCCCAGCCACGAACTTGGCAAAATAAATCAAGTTCCAAATGCCAGGCACGCAAGCCACCAATACAAGTATTTGTGTACATTATGACGAGAAGAAATAATGTTTCTACTATTATTTACCCACATCATCAGGGCTTGCAGTGTCAAACCGTCTGAAAACCCCAAGTTCAATACGACGCAGCAATGATTCGCTCCATAGTATTGCCCAAGACGGAAACGGCGCCAAATTAGAACGACTCCACTCAGAACACACACTTAGCAATCTTAGCTTCTGCCTTAGGGTCTGTGCTTTGCAGACTCAAGCCACCTTTCTCGGAGGTGCAATCAGAGCCCGCGGAGATAAAACCGGGTGATTTGCTAATTGGGGTTGACAGGATTATCAAGTGGTTGAATAACGGATTTGCAACGTTTCTGCCACCGGTGGTAAAATTATTGTTGATCCCACGCAGCTTTGGTAACGATATCAACCCACGTTCAATACAATAGAACATAATTTACTAACTATTTTAAGAGTAAAAACTTTGAGCTAGGAAATAGGAGAAAAGCCCGCGAAGAAATAAATTCTACAACCATGGCCCAAGCTCCGACCGGGACCTTCCAGGTTCATTACTTCGCCAGCGCATCGAGCTATACGAACCGACAATCGGAGGCTCTGCCCGCACCACTTCCGTTGGGTAAATTGTTCGATATCTTGGAGTCCAAATACCCTGGGATTGGAGCCAAGGTTTTAACGAGTTGTGGAGTTAGTGTTAATTTGGAATACGTGGATGTGGAGGAGGAGAAAGTGAAACTCCGCGATATGGAAGCTGCCCAAGATGGACAAAGCCGGGCCTTGGTGACCATTAAGGCCGGCGATGAAGTGGCTATTATTCCCCCTGTTAGTTCGGGGTAGCCTGTAGCTGGTTTACTTCACATATGACAGAACTATGACTGTTTTCTTGTGACGGCAAGCCTCCTTTCTTGACTTATATTGCGTGCATATGCAGCACTAGCGACTTGTATACAACCCAGAGTTATGGTCAATCAGCTCAGGCGACCCTTACATACTCAATCTAGACCAACGTATACCACAAAATAGATGAGGCATGTATGCAGGAGAGCAAAAGCCGTCGTGGTCTTCGGCCCGAGCGTTGACTCCACCAGCCGGTTATAGTAACCGTCGGCCATTTACTACGTAGTAATTTTATCTAGCTGAGTGATTCGCAGTTGTCTTATCGGGATAGCCCGATACCTTTTTTTTTTTTTTTTTTTTTTTGGCCCTTCCCTTGAAAGAAGGGAAAGGTGTTGCCGGGCAAACCCCCTTCCCCTCAACTGGTGTTGTATATCGTATACAACTCTCTTCACTGCCTCACGAGATCAATGGTTACATGGCGACTGCGCGACATACTCATACGGAACAAAACTCGAATGGTTAAATTATGTATTCGCCAGCCAAGGAAGAGCTTAACCGCCACCATATCTGTGGACCGACTTTTCTTGTTGAATTGCTTGATTGCACGGCTTCTTATCGTCGGTGGGGTTCGTAGCCCTAGTCCGGAGACCGCCCGAGACCAAAGCCTTTAGTACTTGCAGGTCGGAAATGATTTAAATCTCGATCAGCGTCATGACCACCGGACGGCTTTTAAATAATCGGGGACTGCCTTGAGCCCGGGTCACGGTGTGTGGGAGTTCACTGGTCTTTCTTCACCATGACCTACGATCCAGAGAATGGAATGGCAAACGCCAGGGCCGATGCGCCCGTGGAGACAGGAAAGGAGCATGAGGCAACGCAAACCACTGTCAAAGAGAGTACACTCATCTATGATAATTCTCCCGACCCCAGCAGACGAGATTCCTACCGTCCCACGAAATTACAAAGTAATTTGACCATCGTCAGCTGTGTGAGTCGGAATCTACTTGCGGACATGCATAGAGCGAGGGCTGATAATCCATTTAGTACATCGCCAATTTCAGTGACGGATTCCAAAACAGTCTTGCCAATCCTACTAATGTCATCTTCAAAAAGCTCCTAGGGACCAATGGATATCCCTCCGAGATGCAGACACGGATTAGCAATTCCCTCTTAATCGGTGCTATCTTGGGTGTCCTCGCCCTAGGATACACATCGGACATGTTTTCACGACGAGCCGGGTTACTATTCACCTCCGGCCTCGTCGCGATCGGAACTCTGATGTCTACACTTGCGCTCCAAGTACATCCGACGCACAACATGCTCTGGTACTTTGTGATAGTGCGAGGGATCGCTGGTTTTGGGGTTGGCGGCGAGTATCCCCCAAGTGCAGCAGCCGGCATCGAGGAATCAGACGATGTAAGGCAGAGACCGAGTTACGTTCACTTACGGGACCGATCAACTAAGAAACCATTGACTAGTTTAAAAGAAAATACCGTGGACCACTATTCGTCTCCTTCACGACGCTAATGGCGACCTCCGCTGCGCCCATCCAGATGATTGTTTACCTCATCTGCCTCATCGCCAGCAATGAAAACCTCCCAGTCACCTTCCACGCCTTATACTCGATTGCGACCATTCTCCCAGTAATAATCATGGTCCTGCGTTTCTTCATGACCGACTCGACATTATTCCACTATTCGAACTTCAAACGCCAGAAACGCCCGCTCAGGTTCTACTTGCTCCTGCTGAAACGCTATAGATGGCGTCTCTTCACCACATCCCTCGCCTTCTTCCTTTACGACTTCATCAACTTTCCCAACAGCATCATGTCCAGCACCATCATCAACTCGCTTGTCAAGGACCACAATATCCGCACCACCGCAATCTGGCAGGTCATCCTCGGCGCCCTCCCCGTACCAGGCGTGATCGTGGGAGCCTGGTTAACCAATGCAATCGGACGCCGATACACCGGTATACTAGGATTCGCCGGATACATGATCCTCGGATTCATCATTGGCGGTACATTCCCCCATCTATCAAAGAACATGCCCGCATTCGTGGTCCTATACGGCCTGCTACAAGCCTTAGGTCACATGGGACCCGGTGCGACGATCGGATTGATCTCAACAGAGTCATTCCCCACCGCCATGCGTGGAATGGGGTATAGTATTGCGACAGCGTTTGGAAGAACTGGTGCTGCCGTTGGGACGCAGTGCTTCACGCCATTGCAGCAGAGGGCGGGCAAACAATCCACCTTTTACCTGGCGGGTGGTGTTGCTATTCTCGGGATGATTGTGTATTGGTTTCTGCCGGAGAGTAGTGAGTTGAATTTGGAGGAGGAGGATCGGGAGTTGAGTGAGTTTTTGGCTGAGAATGGCTTTCCGATGGAGAAGGCTTGAGGGTTTTTATGTCGCTGTTGAGATAATGGTGTTGATACTAGGGCATGGTGTGGGCTATGGCTCGATATCTTTTGGGACGGTGGGTGTAGCGTATCCACCACGTCAACATGTCCTTCACAGAAATAATGAGTAAAATTATACCCGCTAGATGAAAGAGACAGAGCGCGTTATGTTTATTATATACATTGATGTAATCAAGACGTCGTCGTTATTGAACAAACTTTTAGAAGCTAAACTAAATTTCTCTTGAGAATGTATCCAACTTCCAACTCACACAAGACCCAAGACACACTATCTAACAGACCAACCTGAGGCTATAACCCCCGATACATCCAATAAAGAAGTCTCCAACCACTTCTCAGCCACCCTCAGGTATCATTACTCCCTCCGCCGCACCCGAATCTTTACATTTAATTGAGGAATAATGGTCTGACCTACAACAGAATTCACCGGCCTCTTATCCAACGGCTCAATATCATAATTCATCAATATATAACCAATGATGAGCTTCATCGCGTGGGCCGCAAACCACCGACCAGGGCTACACAAGTCAGCGAACCATCATCCTTCAACAAACAAAGTCACAAATCAATAGCTCAAATAGAGAGCTTACCAAGAATGCCGCCCATGACCAAAAGCCAAGAACTTCTCACTGGTCACAGGAACCAGCATAGCTTTCGATTCCTGGGTTTCAGTATCTATAGAAAGGAAGCGGAAAGGCCGATACTCGTCCGGGTCTTCATATGTCTGCTCGTCACGATGGACACCAACTGCTGCTACAGCGAGCCAGGTTCCACGAGGTAGGAATTGCCCGTCGGGCAGTGTGATGCCTCCCTTTTGGACGACTCGTCGAGATAGCATACGGTCGGATAAGGGACTCAGACGGAGACTTTCGCGAATGGTGCTTTCCATGTGAGGCATTGATTGTGAGATGGGTTGGGATTTGTCCCGGTTTGTAAATGCGAGTTCGGCTTCTTGACGGAGAGTGTTGTAATATCTGCGGTCTGGGTCAGAGCTTAGGAGGTCGAGGAAGAAGTTTTCTGTCATTGCGATGAGGACGTCGATGGGGAGGAATACCTGTGGATGAGTGAGTTAATCTGATGTTTATGGTATGATGAGAAATAATCACTGATGGAGGCATGCGCTCACAATAAGGGTAAGCCGAACTATCAGAGCACTGATATGTACTTTGCGTGTCGGATTCTGGCACATGGCCAGATCGACCATCCATGTAACCATATCTGCTGGCGGAGTCTCTTTCCTGGTTCTGAGGCATTGTATGCGTTCTTTGAATGTCGGATACAGGTAAATAATAAGACGTATCCAGTAATAATAGATAGGAAGACCGGCAACAACACCAACAACGGGTTTAAGCGGCCAGGGGACTAATTGAGACACGAAAAGCATCATGGCCCCCGTGATGCGTGTAAACATCTTGACATAGTATACAAATTTTGCACTTCTACAAAGTGAGGCTCCGAGGAAGAGGCGAAGACATATCCCAAATATAATCCTGTCTAAAGCTGCAGTGAGATTAACCTCCTTCCATGCACTGGCACCAGGAGGGCCGAGCACTTCATCGGTGGTATATCTTAGTTCATCTAGAAACGCGTCTTCGGTGTTTGCAATATTTCGGGTAAGATCGTTCCGGATGGCTCTGATCAGTTCGAGATGGTCGTAGTTGTCGAATGCCGGGGCGAGGAATGGAAGGGCGTGGACATCTTCGTTGGCTTTTTCGTGGGACAAGACAGTTTCTGGTTGGCTTAGGAGCCATGGGATTTGTTCTGGTGGTAGCAGGACTTGTGGATAGAAGCTCGGGTTGCAGACTGCGAATGGTTCTGCCTTTTTGGAGAACTAGAATCAAGCAGAAGGGGGACACGTTAGCAGGTATATTGGAAAATTGCTTAACAAATGTCACACCTCTCTATAGCCACCCTCACTGGATCTGGACCCTATGCATTCCTTGAGACTTATTCTAAGAGCACAGAGAGGTTCACGAGGAATTGATGGCCACCACCGCATAGATGATGGTAACCTGAGATAGCCAAACCAAGGACATAGCAGAACGAAAACCAGCAGACAAAGGGAGGCAATGAGAATCTGCCCCGTTAAGTTAGTTGCCATATCTGCGATCTGCATTCTAACTGTGGACGGATGGAGTTTTCAATCTCGATAGACCGTTTGTGCTATCAACGAGTGATGTACAAAGACATGCGGCATGCGTTAGATACCTTTCTCGAATCGAGGATCTGACAACGGAGAGAATCATCTGCCGTATGGCACATTTTGCTATTGAATACCTAAGGTTGAAGTAAGCTGACATGTTCGCGAGAACCACCGAGAACTAAATTTTGAATGTGGCACTCAGGGATACAAAACCAAATTCAAATACGATCATATGCTATCCATTACTATTGTAGTGATCAGACACTGTGGTCTCCCTTGCATCCGGGCTTGGCCAGAAAGTGTCAAATACGAACCTGCAGTGTAATGATAGGCATCCAATGACGACAGAGAGTTGATAATGCACTGATACATGGCTTAAACCCAATGCTATGCATCCATCTGGCCGAAAGACAGGGAAAAGTGAATGAGGGACTGGCTGATGGGGGAAGGGAGAGGGTATTCGTATGACTGAAGTCAGCACGGGAGCGCGGCTGCATTCCACCAGGCCTCCAGATTGCCTGCACTCGTTACCAATTCAATTGTACCATGAAGTATTACATTTATTGAATTTAAAGGTGTGGGCTGGTGGTATTAAGGTGGCTCAAGGCCATACCATTGACAGGCAACCCGTGTCCATCCTCCCATAACATCCACGATGATTGGCGACCAGTATACCAACGTCGGTGCGGGTTTTAAATCAGCCTTAGCAGTACTCTGCATCGCCGTGTGCTTTCTTCTACTATCTCCGTGGATTGCTTACGCGAGTTTGCCAACGTCCATAAAATCGCCTATCAAAGTAAAGGGACCGTTATCAGCGCTCCGAGCATGCTTGAGTGAGATCACCGCCGGAACGAAAACCTCGACAAAGGGATACGAATTAGTGCGTAAAGTTAACCTTTCCACGTATGAGAAGGCTTACGCTAACATGATCGGGTGTACAGTATTCTAAAAAGGGACAGTCATTTGCAATGCTGAACATCAACTTTCGCCCTCAGGTTATCCTACCTCCGGAGTATGTTCGCTGGCTAATCACCCAACCAGAAGATATCCTCTCCCATGCCAAGGCCAGTGACGATGCTGACGCACTGGGGTATATCTGGCCACTGTTTGATGCATCAGCTCTTCACTCATTCTCCAAAGTCCTCCAGAATGATCTCACTCGGAACGTCACACAGACAGAGAATGATGTTTTGGAAGAAGTGCAGCACATCATGGATGAGCTTGTCGGTAAGGCCGGCACTTGGAAGGAGGTGAATATGGTTCGGGTTTTCGAAAGGATCATGTATCAGGCGACGCAGCGCGTTTATGTGGGACTTCCTCTGTGCCGAGACAGCACGTATATGGGATATGTGAAAGGATATGCCCGCTCTTTGGGGACTGCCATGGTATTCGCAGCCCAGCTTACCCCATGGCCCCTCAGACAGGTTACAGCCCTGCTGGCAGGTTTGCCGGTTTACTACTATGTCCTTCGGGTCCGATCTTACCTGTCCCCGCTATTCAAGGAACGGATGGAGCGGCTGAAAGCGAACGAGGGGATGAAGGAGGGTTTACCAGAACACGAACCAGGCAACCTGATTACCTGGATGTCAAATGGCGTGCTTTCCGGGGTCGCGCCCAGGTCGGTCAGCCCAAGCGAAATGGTAACATGGCTTGGAATTCTCGTAAGTAGTTCATACGACCTAGTGTCATTCTAATCCTCACTGCCGTATACCAAGACCTTAACTGATTATGCACAGGCACTCCTGCCAACAGATAATCTCTGGACGACATGCACAAATGTACTTCTTGATCTGCTTAGCTCCGCGTCCGAGCACGCTTATCTCCATAGCATCCGTGAGGAAGCAAAGACAGTATTCGCTTCAAGCAAGGAGTCTAGTAAGCCCGTGTCACATGGATTGCATCATATTGATAGCGCAATTCGAGAGAGTCTTCGGATGAATTCCCTATCCCCGAGATCCCTCCATCGCCAGGTTGTACGTCGCGGGGGTGTTGTGCTACCTGACGGACAGAAGGTCCCTGTAGGGACTTGGCTGTGTGTTTTATCCGGGAACATCCAGAGAGATGAAGACTTTTATGACGATGCACATACCTACAAGCCATTCCGTTTCGTTCCTAAGCTGGCTGAGTCTGGAGGCGACAAGGCACCGTCGTTGCCTTTGACAAATGAGAAGTATCTTACTTTCGGTTATGGTCGACACGCCTGGTAAGTATTTGAAATGATTCTTCCACTTTGGCTACACTAATCATGCTTCAGCCCTGGGCGATGGTTTTCATTCCAGATAATGAAGATCGTTATTGCCTATATCCTCGTAAACTATGACATTCGGCCGCTGGACAAACGCCCGGACAATATCAAGTTTGCAGATCTCAACATACCCCACCTATCCCACATAATCAAGATCAAGAGGATAACAGGAAGCCAGTAGTGCAGCACTATTGGTTAAGTAGACAGGAATGCGGTGGTTGCACGAGCAAGCAAGGGGTAATGCCTAGACAAGTTCATATAGCTTCGCAGCCCAGCTTTCACAACTACTGTGTATCTACTTAGGTTCCGATAGGTTTTGATAAAGAGAAATACCAGGGTTTCTTTGTATTGTATGATCATGCACTTGGCAACACCTCTCAAGAGGCTACAGGGCAAAGCCTCGATCACACAGCAGAAGTTATGGTTACAGCGCATATTCGTATTGGTGTAGGCCTACCCTATACAATGTCTCAGGGTCAGTTTTATGATTCCTCATCTTAGCCCGAGGTCTTGGACTTTCAACCACTGGGCAATTTAACGGCACTCTCTAGACTTTTTAACATAATGTATACTTTTTAATAGAGCAACCCTCCGAGCCAGATATGCTTACCCCATGACCAAACCATGTAAATTCAATCACAAGGTCCACTTCATACGTGATCTCTAAACTATGTGCAGTGTCTGAAACCCAGAGCATGCATAATGCCGTATTTCCTACTTACTCACACATGTCAGGTGGTACAATAGTAAGTCGGCTGGCTGGATCTCAACATGATCGGCAGCCGATGTAGCACACGGTATCCATGAATCGGAATCTGCCAACCGGAATACCTTTCCGATTGAAGCCGGAATAAACAGTCAGTCCTCCAATCGGCCCCGTATTCTAGTTTGTGTGATGGACAGCCGTAATAGAAAGCATTGTAAGTATGAGAACCGATGTGTTATGTTTCACAAGGGATCCTGCTTGGTGGACAATACTGAAGCTAACGCCTTAGATTATCACCGATAGAGGAACTCAATACAGTGTGAGTATAGGAAAGACCGGAAAAAAGGTCATTAACACTGCCACTAATGCATCCACAATCACAGTAAGAAATACTAACTGCGGATCAATGCTTATCCTGTGGGTCTATGTGATAGGATGCAGGACCGGGGGACCTCAAACTCTAACCTCTAGCCTAACGGTGGCTTTAGATGATGGGAGGGAATAGCTCCCTGTAAGACTCGGGGTTCATATCCTCCAATAGGACCACACAGGTGCTATGAATACGAGCGCATCTGGTCCCTTGGCGCTCTGGGTTCCGAGCGATCTGTACGGGTCTTACTGATATTCCGTTCGTATTACATGGTGACGGATGAAAAGTTATCAAATCTGACTATACGTATGCGATAGATCATGGCCATACCACTTCTTGATTTATCTAAATTAGGTCCCAATATGGACTTACCATGACGCATTGAATCTTTGAGGCTGAAATCCAACTGCTGGTTTTGGTGGGCCTGATCCATAATGACAGGATAAGCCAAATGAAACTGAGCTACAGTATACCGATATTTACATAGGGTTCTGTTTTAAAGCGCATGGCAATGATACGCACTTTCTAAATGTATACAGGGTTTTCCCCATAGAGGTCAACATCACAATTTGCCATAATCATTCAATACAATCCACGGCTAGGTGGCTCGGGCCTTTTCCAGCCCCTACGGAATCCTAAGCAAGTAGTCCAGAGATCACGGAGACCAATAGCTTAATTTGCAAATCTTGCAGCAAACCAGTCATGCGCAGAAGTCAACTTATGTTGGCCTTCCAGTCGACCCAAGTACAACGCCGTGGTTTGCTTCAATTGTCTGGCGGTATCGATCTCTGTCTCTTCCGGCCCGAAGTATCGGCCACCTGTCAACTGCGTGAAGCCAAACATGAGTTTCACATCCTCTAGTTCCTGGATTCCATGCGTGTCAAAGGCCTCCCACGTCGGTAGTATAGGCTGAAACCGCGCCTTGTGTCCTGTAACCGCGGTGAAATCCGCGACAACTTGTTCAAAACTGCGAATGTCGCTGACACCGTGAACGAAGTGACCGTTCCATCGACTAGGATCCAGAAATATACCATGGACGATATCTCCGAAGTCGTCCGAGATGCTCAACCATGGAACGTGTTCATCTCCTCCCCAATATGGGACTTTGAAAGTAAGGTATCCTTCGTCATCAGTAAAATAGGGAAATCCTCCGAAGACTGGAGCGACCTCTTTGCCAAGGAAGTTCTCTAGAAACCATCCAGCGCCAATAGGGGTGAAAGTCTCGAAGGAGCCAAGGGACCTTGCGTATTGCTCAATCTTGTTCTTCACTATCCGGGAGTTAGTCGTATCCTTCCGGTCAGTAACCCTGCAATGAAGGTAGGCTTACTGTCCATTGCCTTCATTCGCACTCGGCCATTTGTCATCTCTGTGCAAGGAGGACCAGAACTGAATACGAGATGCTTCACACCATCCTGAACAGCAGAATCGACGATTATTTTGCCCAAGTCGAACTCTGTTGGCCCACCTTCGGTGGCAAAGACCTTAATACATCCGTTAACAGCTTGGGTTTGCCGAGGTATCATGAGACATACACACCTTGTCATCGGAGTTGATATTGACAAATGCTCCCCAAGAGCCACTAAATGCTGACAGCATCTCGTCGCCCATAAAACCATCCCCCTGAACAATCTCGGCACCGAGAGCAGCAAGCTTTCGGCTGGCATCGGACTGGGGGTTTCGTGTAATTACACGTACTCTAAAGTCCGGACTTTGAAGCAGCGAATGAGCCACGGAACCACCTTGCTTGCCTGTACCCCCGAAGATGGTGATGAGCTTACGATCTGAGCCCATGATGAAACGGTGTCAGGGAGTCACTGTATTGAGTAGACAAAGCCTTGTAAGGAACGGTAGATATGATGAATGGAAAAAGCAGACTGAGCTGGTTTCCGGAATCCGAACTTGCGCGTCTGGGCCTGCCTTTATAGATATCTGCCAACCCTATAATCCGCGTTACGGGCAGCAGGCAGCACCATTACTCAGTAAACGGTGGCATCGATCGAGCTGCGTTAATCACATCCCGGACCATCTCAGTTGGATCCCAGGGCGCAGCTCGTGTCATCATGTAATTAAGTTGACATCACACCCTTACCTGCATGAATTGTCGGCTTTCACATTTCATAACCCTTCGCCATTGGCTTGCAGTGTTTCCCACGATCCCACACCACTTACCGACCATACATAACACTATACAGCGGTTTCCCATGCAGATGTGAGACAACCTAACTCCAGGAATATGTCTTACCTGGGCGGCCTGATGGATTGGACCCCTTGCTCTTGGGGCCTTCTCTCAATTCATCATGCAGTAATGATGTACTGCTGACAATTTTGACAAGGCATTTAATGTAAAATGTGGCAAATCACTGGATGGTGTATATAAACAGCTCCTTCCAGGGCTACTTGTTGGCTCAAGACAACTCCCTTCTCTGCCTGTCAATAGAATATTCTATTACCGACCTAACACAGACGCCTTCGATGCCTTCTCAAGTTTTGACTCATGAGGAAGAGTATGGCTTGGCTGTACGCCAGGGAAAGGGCCTTGCCCAACAATTTTTCGATCACGTTTTGCTCAACCCTTCTACCATTGCTGTTGTTGATGGCGATACCAGTTTGACGTATCAGGACCTACATGTGCGGGCTGCAGTGCTCGCCCAGGAGCTCCGACGGGGGAATCTGCATTTAGAAGAGCCTGTTGGTGTTGTCGTGCAACATGGAATATCAGATGTCGTTGCTCAAATGGCTATCCTGTATGCAGCGGGTACTTGTGTTCCCATGGATCCAACCCTGCCTGACCTGCAAATCAAGGGTCGACTAGACAGATTACAGGCAAGATATATCCTCGTCGACAGGGCCAATCAGCATCGGGATCTGCCATTCCACCTCTTAATTGTCGATGACTCAAGCGCGTCGTTTGCCAAGAGCTCGTACGTCTGGGACAATGACGAGCCCATGCAGACTACCTTAGAGCATCGCACCCACATCATACATACGTCCGGTACTACCAGTGAACCTAAGGCCGTTCAAATTGCGGCACGCTCTATTCTGCAGGTAGTTTTCCATGCCCCGTTCGAGCCTTTGCACCCCACCGATAGGGTGGCCCATGTCAACAACTCAAGCTTTGATGTCTCCCTTTTTGATCTCTGGGTACCACTGTTACGCGGAGCTTGCATTGTAGTTGTGAGCAAGGTTACCCTGCTCGATCTAGAAGCCCTTGCAGCTTATATAGATCGACAGAGAATTACAGTAATGGCTACTACCACCGCCATTCTCAATTTAGCGGCGTCGGTATACCCTCGTGCATTCGAGAAGCTGCGGTTGTGTTTCATCGGAGGTGAAGCCGCCAACATTTCCGCTATCGAGACTGTTTTCCAAGCAGGACCACCAACACAGCTTATCAACGCGTATGGCCCGACTGAGTGCTGCATATTTTGCCTTGCACACCGAGTGACCATCGCCGATGTCCAAGCTGGAGGGGTGAGTATTGGAAAGCCAATCGGACGCACTATAGCTTATATTTGTGATGAAGCCGGTCAACCAGTCCCTGATGGCCACGAGGGCGAATTGCTTATCGGTGGGGCAGGTGTCTCACCAGGATACATCAACCAGCCCGACAAGAATAGAGCTTCCTTTGTGGCTGTTGAAGGCAGCGACTGTGAGCGGCTCTACCGAACAGGGGATATTGTACGCCGACGGGTAACAGATGGCCAGATTGATTACGTTGGGAGACGGGACCATCAAGTGAAAGTTCGCGGGTTTCGGATTGAGCTCGAAGCAGTCGAGTCTGCGATTATGAAAACTGGGCAATTTTCTGAGGCCGTGGCGTTGAAGGTTGAAGCTGGCTCTGAAGGGGCGGGTTCGATCCTGGTTGCCTTCGCCGTTGCGCTCTCTGGAATCAAGCCTCACGCAGTCCTGAGTGCCGTAGATATGCTAAAAGCTGTTCTACCGGATTACATGGTCCCCAAGATTGAGCTCATCTCCAAAATGCCCGTCAATAGCCATGCCAAGGTTGACCGGAAATACCTCGAGCAGCTATTCCGCAACCGATGGGCCGAACAGCATATCGATATTGACAATGAAAACAGCATTCGCGGGAAACTTGCCAATCTGTGGGCCAGCATATTGGGTGTACCTGTTCCCCCTTCCAATGACAATGCCGATTTCTTCCTTCTTGGTGCTACGTCCATGCAAGCTTCCTTGCTTATCAGTCGAATTCAGAAGTCCTTTGAGGTTCAGGTGTCTCTCCTGACTCTCTATGATAATAGCAGCCTCATCGGACTGGCTGGCATAATTGAAGAACGCATACTGGGTACCCAGGAAAGCTTTTGCAAGGAATCAGAACGGCACATGTGGCTTGAAGATAGCAAGCTTGCAGACAACCTAGTTCCTCCGTTGGGCCCTCCGGTCGATTGGTGCCGTGACACCGAGGGACGGGTGTTCTTAACCGGGGCGACCGGTTTTGTAGGCTCCTTCTTACTCGCCGATCTACTGCGTCAGCCGAACGTGCATCAAGTCGGATGTTTGGTACGGGCTGTGGACCCCGCAACTGGCCTGAGACGTTTGCAAAATGCTCTAGCAAAATATGATCTATGGGAGAACGGGTTTCGTTATAAGCTGTTGCCCCTCTGCGGTACCCTAGAAGATAGGTATCTTGGACTGGGGCCCGATAGGTTTGAGGAAATTGCCCACTGGGCTAGTGTTATCTTCCACCTCGGCGCCCGAGTTAACTACACCCAGCCTTATTCATTACATCGTCCCGCGAATGTCCAGGGCACAGTTAATGTTCTGCGCCTAGCCTGTGCTGGCCGGTCCAAAGCGTTGCACTATGTTTCCAGTATCTCCTGTTTCGGCCCAACGGGCTTCATTACTGGCACACGGACCGTTATGGAGAATGAATCTCTCCCGCGACACCTGGAGGCCCTTCCCTATGACCATGGATATGCCCAAAGCCAGTGGGTGGTGGAGAACATGTTGCAACGTTTGATGGATAATGGGTTCCCCATCGTGGTATATCGACCGGGCTTTATTACAGGACACAGCCAAACAGGCGCCTGTAATCCCGATGACTTTCTCAGCCGGTTGATTATCGCATGCGAAGAGATGGGATCCTACCCTCTTCTTCCAAACCAAAGGAAAGAATTCGTACCCGTGGACTATGTCAACGCCGTTCTCCTGCATATCGCCTCATCAACCACTACCGCTATAGGCCGGGTTTACCAGATTGTGCCTCCAAACCGGGACCTGTCATTGGATATGAATGACTCCATGGAGTTGGTTGGCTCCTTGGCCGAGGGAGGCGGCTCTTCCCTGCGCGGCATAAGCTACCAGCAGTGGGTCCAGGAGTTGGACAGACAGTCCCCGGAACGGCTTCGGCCATTACAACCCATGTTGACGGAAAAGCTATACCAGGGACTCACACGGTGGGAGTTGTACGAGAACATGCCCGTGTATGACACTACCAACACCAGACAAGCGCTCGAGTGCTACCCCGGCGGTCTCAAGTTTCCCGTGTTAGACTCTGACTTGATGCAAAAATATATCCGTTACCTGCAAAATCAGCCGACGTGTCCGAAAGAGGAATCTGCAATGAATGGCACGGACAGTTAAGACGCATGCTAACCTTCATCCACGACACTATTGGTTTCATTGTCGATGATTTTATAGATGCTGATCTCGGGTGTATGCTTGCAATGGGCCGATTATACTTGGGTTTTGGGGAGGGGAGGTATCTCTTCCGGTAAATTGGGTTTGGTTTTAAAAGAACGTCATCATATGGGGCACATTGGGCTTCACTTCGTATAGTAGTGCAATTATTTGCCATGTCAATATAACGACCAAACTCCACCTCTCCTCGCTGTGGTCTGACCTTTGCCCCTACTCTCGGGCCATTTTCCACGTGGCATGCACAACTAGTGATTTTCCACCCGCGTGTTCTGGGGTTCACCCTCATATTGATCCTCTAAAAATAAATGTCAAATTATTGACGGCCGTTCTGAAAACAGTATCGGTTAATGACGCTTCTAGGTCTAAACGGGTATGGACTAACGCATGCTGTCAGTAGGGACACATCAGGAGGAACCTGGGGAACAAATCAAAACCGCGAGCTACTGCAACTGTTCCATCCTCGGTCACACGGTTCCACCTGGGAACACGTATTCTGATTGAGATAGTCACGGAGCCTCCCGTCACATCGGCTGGGTGTTCCCGCCGTGTCAACTTGTATAGCAATAGAGTGGTCTATTCTCGGAGCTTGGCGTCATTAGACGGGTCAATAGTTAGATTGTGGAGAGGAAGATCCTATATATAGAAAAGTTGTTCCGGAAGGGGACATGCGATCAACGAGAAGAAAGGAGAAGGCGGTGGACGATGGGCTGACCGGGCATTATTAACTCCTGTGCGCGTGAGCGGTGAGGTCCCGTTGACCCAATGAACAAGCATAAAAATCCCGGACTGGGGGGAAGGGAAGATGAGATTTGGATCTGGTCACGGGGGGCGGCTTTTCCCTTTTGCCCCTTATTTCCGCTTGTTGTGCCCCCCGTGGTCCGTGATAACCCTAAATAGTCTTAAGGAAGGAACTTTGGCTGGACTGGATCCCCCTTCTTTGATGGGCTCACAAATAGATGGTTCCAACGAGGTAGTAACAATCGACAACGGAGACCACTCTCCTCTTTGCTCCTCAATCGCCGATGTGATTTCTGCCAACAGAACAGATTCAAACTATTGTGGTGTACCCGTCACTCGGATTTGCTGATCATAGAAAAGGGTGTCTCACCTTCTCCACCGGACCATTGATCAACGGCGCACTATAGGGATAAATAGTTAGGGTTGCCCCTCATTGACCGTCGTCAGCAACCCCACTACTCCTAACTGACTCCAATTATTTGTGTTCATACACGAAATATGTCAATTTTCCCCCATGTTCCGCGTCATTTGATCCTTTAAAAACCATTCAAACGTGGCGCGTTCGACTTCTCCAGGCATCTCCAGCGCGTCGCCATGCAGTTGGTATTGTCGACAAGCTCAGTCTAATTCTACGTCTCCCGCTTTTTGTTTTCGCGGAGATGACACGGGTCACGATGGATCAGGACACGGAGAACAAAGTCCTTGTCATCAAGAATATGGACTCGGGATATCTGGTCGCCGGGGAACAGGTCACCCTCGAAGACGTGCCCTATGACGCGACCGAACCGATTGCCGAGGACGAGTTAATGGTGCAGCTTCTCTATGCAACCTACGACCTCTTCAAACGGGACCTGGCCAGTTCCTCGGCTGACGCGACAGAATTGCGGGGCCGAAAGCCAGTCGAAACGATGAGTATCGCGAAAGTCATCAAATCCAATCATGGGAATTTCCAGGAAGGGGATATTGTGATCGGTCGCTTGCCGGTGCAACAATACGTGCAGATCAACGCCGACGACGCGACCAAGTTACAGCGTCTCGAGAATCCCTGCGAGTTCGATGATATTCGGTTATTCCTCAGCGTCCTGGGTGTCCCCGGTCTCCTAGCCTTTTCATCCTTATACGAGATCGGTCGACCTAAAAAAGGCGAAACGATCCTCATCGCCGGTGCGAGCGACGAAATCGGCCAACTCGTCGGCCAGATGGCCCGCCTCGAAGGGTTGAAGGTGTTTGGTAGCGTTGAATCAGATGAAAAACTCGACTTTCTTATTACGGAACTCGGCTTCGATGGAGGATTTAATTACGCCAAGGAGAGTCCCTACGAAGCTCTCCCTCGTCTCGTCCCCGACGGCATCGATATATATTATGATAACTTGAGCTGGATGTCCCGCCTGAATATCGGCGGGCTGGATACCCATTTTGACCTTCTCGGTAGCAGACATCTAAACGCAGCGTTCGCCTCGGTGAGACGATACGGCCGGATCATGTTTTATGGCACGATCGCCGAACAGACCGTGCTGGACCCCATCATTGGCATGTTTTTGCACAATACTGTTTTGAAACGACTTACGATTCGTGGCTTCGCGCTCTCTGATCCCAGCTTTGGGAAGAAGTGGAGCAAGCTTCATATGGAACGCATGCAACAATGGGTCAAGGAAGAAAAACTCAAGATCCCTACCTTCGAGATTACCGGGATGGAGAATGCGGCCAAGGCCTTCGTGGAGGCCTTCTACTCCAGTGAGAATACACATACGCATACCATCTTAGCAATTACGTGATTCAGCCATGTGCGTCTGATCTAGGAAATACACCGTTCGACACCGTTCGCCCGAGCTATCATGACAGAGTTGAGGTTGTCCTTTCCCTCATCTTCCATGTCTCTATCCGCAGCCAACCCAGGGCATAACATGGTCACCTGGACCATATGCGACGACTACCTTCCGCAATAATCAGGGCTTACGAGCCACTCGACCGCACATCACATTTGTGCCATAATCCAAGGGCCTATAAGGACGCCGGTGAACGCCCCCCAGCCCGTTGAACGTCTCTCATCAATTCCGATTTCTCGACATAACATTTTCCTTCCATGGGAACTGAGAATTTGGCAGGTCACACTATACATAAAAACGGGGAATTCAGCGACCGTTTGTTAGACCGCCGCACCGCTCAACCTCCTTCTTCTGCCTGACAAAAAGCGCTGTCTTTACCGAACACCAAATCCCTCCGTATCTCACTCGCATGGCTAGCCCTGAAACGCTAACGAGAGAGATTTTTTTTTCTTAAGGTCTTGATACTATGACGATATATTTTTGCGCTTTTTTATTAGAGGCTTGAATTCCACGAAGAGGGTGTGCCTTCATACTAAAACACAACTCTCGTTCACCATTGTAAATATACAGTAGGCGGTCAGATAAAAGCTCGGATCATCGAAGCAAACAACACCCGGTCCCATCCCGTGATTTTCTTAGAGTCGGGGCTCTTCGGATTCTTTCGGGTACCTGAACTACGTTGCCTTGGTTCAGGGTCTCATGAACCGAGCACTGAATCGCCTTAACACGACATTTAATATGGTCTGTAATTGGCTACGCTATCTTTTTTATGAGAAAGCGGAAGTCTGGGTTAGGTATAAGGCGTTGGAGAATTGGGTTACCATGTTTATATATTTCGGTGGGATTATATATATGTGGAACTGTACATGTAAATATTCTATCAAGTCCGAAACACTTAATATCAAACTTCATTTTCCATAAGCCAACATAATCCCGAACAATGAGATAGCCAGCCGGAGATAATGTTCCCTATACGGTGATGAAAGGGCCCAACTGACTGCAAAGGAATGCTAAACAAACCCGCCCCCAGCTGCATCAGGTTTCTAAAGGCTCATACCAACCTCCGACGCCATTGAGTTACTGTTACAGAATTTTGATGAAGCTAATGTAATCTGATTTCGCCCCCCCATAGAAAAGCTTCTAACTTGTTCTATGTACATAGTTGATATTGTACCCTGTATATCCCGATTCAGTCATCACAACCCTGTACATGTAGTGTCATCTGCGAAATCACCACCTCATTCATTGGTTGGTATCGGTGGCCCAAATGGGCTCGCCGTCATTCTTGTAGAGAACGACGTTACCATCATTCTGCATGATGCAGTAGACAGAGTCATCCCCCGTGGGGGCAGCGGTGTTGGTGTGCCAGGTACAGTGACCGACACCCTCGTTGGTACTAGACATGATGTCGTGTCAACCCATCATGGTTTAATAGCAAGGAGCAGTAGGACTCGAAAAGAAGACTAGGAAACTTACTACATGCAAAAGTTTCCGTCTTCCTGCATCTTGATACCCTTTATATCGTCGCGCTGTTGGGGAGTGTTCTGCCAAATGCATTCGCCGTCGTCGCCGTTGTCCGGGTCACCACCTTTGTACACGGCGATCTTGCCATCATCCTGCATCCTGAACTCGAATTGGCCATTCTCGCTCCAGAGGCTGTTGCCAACATCGAGCCATTCGCCGTTATGGAGAGTGTCTGGCATGTTGTCTTAGAAAAATATATGTGAACGTTGGGGGGGGAAGGTTTGACCGCGTTAGGGGATGTAGTAAATAGATAGTTTGTGTATCTGAGAGGCTGGATGGTTGAGTTTAGCTTTGAAAGGAGGGCATAACGGGGGTTTATATATTCACATCTCCTCTCCCAAATGGTTGTTAGCATCATATGCAGCATAAACCGCAGCCCACCATGTTGCGTTTTTTTTCTGAGCATAGACGATTCTCGAATCCCATGTTCAGCTCGCCACTATCCCTTCAGCTACTCAAGATGTCCTATCCATGTCAATCTCCTGCGTGCCCGATCATAATCAGGTCTAATCAAGTTCTACCGTCCGTGGGGCGACCATCGTTCGTCTGCTTCCGATTATTCGCTTTGAAATCGTGAGCTGAACTGATCTGGTATTGTGGAGCCTACGCAGTCATTGCCTGGCCCACAGTGTGCCCCGCACTAGCACTACGATCGGAAATAACAGAAGAGATCGCTGCACGAGCTATAGTACCGAGGTGGAGAGGAAAGACCTGTTGTTGATCCGTTGCCAGCCACAATCTGTGCGATCTGGCACTAAGTATTGATATACCGACATTCTTACTGCCGATAGTTGCGAGGGGCGGGTATAGCCCTCATTCTATTAGTCGCGCGCATGCATAGAATACGTTCATCATCTAGTACGCAGTAAATCCCGTCGTGAAAGAGGGGTTTTGGGGGTAACGTGGAATAACCCTGTAATGTTTATCAAATCGAGTTATTCCGCAGTAAATGATTCCGTCGTGTCCCAGCTGCAGCTTCACCCTCATCTACGTGTCATCCTGTCCCTCGCCAACATCACTGACACCGACGATCCTCCGCTGCCCAATCAGGCAAGGTACAGCCCCACGCCTTTGCGTTAAGGTAGGAGGGGCTTTGTTGATGCTGGCCAATTGTTGGGGTTGGATGATCAGGTGTCAAATTTCTATCCAGAGGTGGAAGTGCGTGGTAAAGCCGCTAGAGCGTGGGTGAGAATGAGGATGGCAACCACGCTTCCACTGTCGTACGAAACGAGGCTCGTTAAGAGCCAGTAGGTTCTGAAGTTGGCCTTGAGAGTGGGTTTGTGGAGCGTTGTGTTGGACTGGAAATTGCTCCACCACATCTCCACCAAGGAAAGTAAAGATCTGCAATAGCGGTCAGGTCACAATTAGGCGAGATATTGAACATCTTCAAAGCTGACTGCTGCAGGACGACGAAGGCTATGCCAAGGCCGTATACAGAGTAATTGGAGCCATTCGATACTCTGCTGACCTCATCGCTCATTACATAGTATGTGGGTTTATCGTCTATTGATACATGATTTCCGAATGGCCGAACGACTGTGGAAAGCGCGTTTTCGCTATGTGGATGTACCGTCTCTCCGCAGCAAGAAACACCCTTCATAACGGCAAGGCTAAGTTTCTGTGTCGTGCTATTTCCGAGGGTCCTTTATATTTACGTTTACCGGCCAGTTATCTAATAAATCGTGTATTGAGCACATATAAAGGCATAAAGCAAATGTCGAACGCTGACTCATACATATCTAGACCACAGGAGTTCGTATGCTCCGCATTATCATCTACATACGGGACCTTACACGAAGACCACCTCCTGAGGGTCATTATTCCCCAAACCGCTAGGGTCTGCAACTGCTAGAGCAAATATGATCAGGATCTATTGGGGTGCGGGAGGACCAAATAGTGTTTTCACCCCTGTAGAGAACGACGTTGCCATCATCCTGCACGAAGCAGCAGACGCTGTGGTCCCCTATGGGATACGCGGTGTCGGTCTGCCAGATGACTTTACCATGCTTGGTACTACACATGGCATCGTGTCAGTCCAGGAGGTCCCACGATCAAAACTAACATAAGTGACAAGCACAGGGGTGGTGGAGGGGGATGGAATACCTACCATAGACAAAGGTTTCCATCCCTTTTCATCTTAAGACCCTTGATGTCGCTGCGCTGTTCAGTCTGAAATACACATTGGCCTGAGTGGGAGAGAACAAGTCTGCCATCGGACTGCACGCTAAACTCGACTGTACCGTCCTTGCTTTTCAGGCTGTGGCCTAGCTCAAGCCAGTGACCGGGATAGAGAATGTAGAATGACATGGTGCCTGAGGATTTATGAAGGTGGTGGAGGTTTTGCCGGGTGTGAAGGGGATCAATTCATGGGCTATGACTCGGAACATGGAAGTAAGTATGAGAGGGTTTTTATATTCTCATCTCTGCTAATGACTCAGGGTGGATCCCGGAATTATAAGAATCATCCTCGGCTGTTACGCTACAGAGTGCTCACTAATGTTTACTGTGGTAGGTAGCAAACCACCTGACCAGCCTGCCTAGAGAATAGGGATTTGAAGTCTTTCAACATCATAGACCTATAATAATTTCTCCATTTTCAGGTAATGTCGGGTTTGCTGTGGGTGCCGGCTTACCTTTCTTTCCTGAAAGAACTGGGTTGGACATTTGGCCCGGTTGCCTACTGTGTTGAAAGCAATGTTGCGCATAGTACTCTGTATTACTGGCCAACACCCGTGACGCCTTCGGCGGGCAGTGCAAAGAGGCAAAATTTTGTTCTGCCAAATCCGTGGCTACGGTCTAATTGACCAACTTCGCATGGTCAACGACACCCTTTTCATCCCCAAGTGGTGGCCCGAACTAGCAAAGCTAAATATATGCAATCATCCACTCTAAGTACAAACGGCAATGTAGCATTGGCGGTCCCCAATTCAGCTCTTCCGTACTTTGCATCCCTGTCATATCTCCATACTTGTCATCGAGACTGATGAGTGGTATTATTGGCAATCGGGCTATATCACACATCTTCGCATGGGTGGGCCTTTGTGGGCTACTTCAGTTGAGTATCCTCCGCTGCAGATATTTGAGATATATCTTAAATGACTTTAATAACTAGCACGTTGTTAAACGGAAGTCTGCGTCATCTGTCCCTGGTTGAGCAACGGACCATTCAAACATGACTTGCAACTTGGAGGCTTTCATCATAAATACATAACATTGTGAGCTATGTAGCTATCTCAACACGATGCATTCGAGTCACCATTCTGGAGGTGAGGAGCGTGATTAGAAAGTCTGCAATGTGAAGGCGGAGGCTGCGTTGGAGCTTCCAAGAGTGGTGCAAACACTCAACGTGTTCAACGAAGCATACTTCCGAGGTAGAAACACGTACAGGTCATTGTAGCATCGTAGTACTTCGAATAGGATCAAATAGTCTTTCGTAATCAGATTGTTTCAAGCTCTGCCGGGTTTATGTCTTCGACTAGTCGTAGCCGTTCCAGTAACTGTGCATACATACTGCTGATGCCCCACGCTTTCAGAGAACGCATGACCACGATGGCGTCTGCAAGTGTTTTGCGTCGGCCCTGCCGACTCAGAAGGTTGCTAATCCCCGGAAGTTTGATACATCCGGACCCGTTCGCGATCCATTGCTTAGTAGCTGGTGTATCGAGACTTTTGAGATCTAGTACAACTGAAGGCATCTCTAGTTGGTATTCACGACCCTGTCTTAGCTGGTCATGAATTGTTGAGTACAGCCACAACACAAGAACTGCTCTCAGGAGAAGCACTGGGGTCATGAAATGGATACAACGGGCCGACCTGACTGTCTCAAAGACATGAGCTGCATATAGGGCACCCATCCGCCCTTGGCAGGACGAGTTGCACCATCGGTCGATAGTCAGCATCCAGGAGTCATCGTTCATCTTCCCGTAAATCACTTTGATAGCTAGAGGTACGATATGCGATGTTGGTGTATGATAAAGTGTCAGTGCCGAAAGGATCATGACACGATGGGCAGCCGACGCCTTCACTTCAGACAATGAATGCCCGTAGCCTTGATCTCCTGTTTCCTCGAGCAGGGTCTCTAGGGCTTCTAAAGCAGCATGCCTGTGCTCAAGTGAGAAACTAGGCGACGCAGGCGACATGAAATCTTTGTCATTGACAACATTTGCCAAATATTGCAAGATCGTTTGCTTTCCCAGGGTTCCAGATTTCGACCAAGCATATCGCCACATCTTGTCTTTGATCACCTGGCCTAGAGTTATGTTTTTAACGGAGCCTATGCAATAAACTGTCAGCCACATATAGCAAACACCGCATATTATCGTGCGTACCATTCTCTTCTCCAAAGGTCGCCCAGACCTGAGCATTGGAAGCATCCCAGCGATCTTCTGGCTGAGGGAAGCAGTTTTGCAGTTCGTCTGCCCTCATAGTAGTGCATAGGTCAAAGCTATAGTCATACGCTGCATCAATAAGCTGTAATTGTAATTAGTACAATTACCATGGTTATAGCGATAGTGGTCGGAACTAAGGTACCCAGATAGCGAATCCTGCACGCCGACGCTGCTCGTCAAGGATTGAGATTTGCCATTTCTCTCCCAGAGGAAGCTCTAGTCGACCTAGCCTTTCCTGCGGGAGCGTATTCGTAAAGAGGCGCTTTCGCCGAGCTAAAGTGACTGGGACAGCTTGGAAGATCTCGGCCAGTTCTAAAGCTCTCCGGTCACCAGAATACATCAGACCTAATTGATTCAGAAGTATCGTTTGTGTCATCCACAGTTCCCGACTTTTCAGATTCAACTTTTCGCACTGGTTATGGCCTGTTAGCATTATTCAGGCTCCTAAAAGAGATGGTGTCTGTTACCGTATAGGATGTATAGCGCCGTGTCAGCTCATGCATCGCTCGAAGGCACCGCTGCGCACCTTTTATGTCGGAAAAGTGAGCACCGATAGCGGCAACTGCGAGGACTAGAAAGGGATTTGCTCTAGAAGTAGAGAAGGTGGGCTTATGCAGAACAGGAAACATTGGATGGAAATGTTCAAAGTACAGCTGAACCCAAGCATTCAGCACAGGTACTGGCGGGATCCGTAATTCGATGAATTGGGGGTAATTTGACTTATATTGCATATCATTGGCAAGTTCAAATACAGTATTTGTCAGCTCAGCTGGGACCTCTTCAACATGAGCGAGGTTCTCTGCCTCGATATCCTCATGAGGAATGTCAGTCATATCCGGGAAGACCAGCTGGGCGTCAAATTCCGCGCTGCCTGGGTCGTAATGTCTCGGTTCGACGGCATCTTTGTCAATTTCTGGGACCTGATTTCGTCTGTAAAGTTCAGCAATGTTAGATTGTGGTAGAAAGGAATTGCGCAGTTGTACATCCCAGGGCTTCAGCAACGACGACCCTTCCGTGACCGATGGTCGAACAACATCTACCATGGATAGGTCCTGTTCGTAGCACGTGAGATCCGGCCAGAGATCATTATCAGCAGGGACACTGAACCAGCTCGCAAAGTCAATGAGGTCGTCCGCGGACAAAGCTGGAGTTACCGTGACATGTATCGCATTCGTTGCCTCGGCTTCACTATGAGGACTACGGCGTCGGGGATCGGGTGGGAGAGTAACGCCATGGGGCACTGCATATTGCGGATAAACTGAACACTCTGCTGCAGAAACTGTTTCAAAGTCCATTACCTCCGGGGCAACTTGTGCACTTGGGAGTCCCGCCGATACATGTTCACCGACGTCAAGTTTTGGAGCCCTCTGAGAAGGTCCATAATGGCAGACGCTTTCTTGGTCGCGACAGCGTCTACATGGCTGATTTCCATCACACCGCAACTTTGATTGACTGCATTGGGTACATGCCTGTATGACCCTGCGCCTACTAGTAACTAAGCCGCCGTCTTCAACGCCCGGATTTTGGTGGACCGTCGTGTGATGCCGGGTGAGTGAATCTCTCCGCTTGGTCAGTGATTTACTCTGACACGAAGATTGATGGTATCTCACACTCGACCAAAGGTTTGTCCACACCAGGTACAAGCGAATGGCTTCTCCTTAGTATGTGTTCGTAGATGTCGTTGGTAATGCTCTTTTCTAGTGAATGTAGTTTGACATGTTGAGCAGTACAGCTCAGATGGCGTTTTGTGAGCACGGGGCATCTGTGGAATGTTTAATCATGCGGCCCAGCCAAAGCCCCAACTATCCTTTCAAGGGTGTTTGAGCACAGGGGGAAAGCTGGAGATGCTGAAGATTAAGAACCAAAAGCGAAAGATTCCAGTGGGTCAGTGATCATCGCGGATTTCCTATTCTGGACTAGTACGTGTTTTGGTAAGCGGAAGTTAGAGCGTGGCCCAAAAGGGTAATCGTACCTTTCTGCCCTCCTATACAAGTACCTCGGACAGCATACCTTACCATATAAGCCACGATCCCGGTGGCTAAATACGAAAGGGAGTCTTTGAAGATTGCTTTGATGGCAATATACCTAGATAGCCCAGTTGGACGCAAGGAAAGCAGTTTAATTTTGTATACACTGTTACCTTGATGGTCTACACTGAATTGAAACCTGATTGTTGCTCTATTGTAGACACTGAGAACCCATCGGTCATATCTCCCTCTATACATGATCTGCCAAGAACTCATATCCTGGAAGAACAGTTTCCTTGAAACGCACATCATCTCTTTCCATCCCGAAATTATATCCATGCTGGCCTCCCTCGGCTAGAACTAACTTCGTCTCTACATTCAAATCCGACAACTGCGTGTGTGCCTGCTTCGAGAACTTGGGGTTGATGAACGTATCCTCGGTTCCGGTCAAGAAAACCGTCGGCGGAAACTTCGGCGAGAAGTACGTCGCTGGATCAACACGACCAAAGTCTCCATCCTTAACGCAACGGGACAAGTGCTGTCCTTCTTTGAATGCCAGAGCCATCCAAGCATCTCTGGGCACCGAGAGATTTGGCATCGGCATAGTACCTGGGGCAATGAACTGCTGGGGTGCCACAATTGTCATTGAGGCAGGAGCCTCGTCGTACACGCTGTCTGCGAATGCCTTATCAATCGGAGGGATCATTTCTGTGCCAGGAGTTGGCTGTGTCCAGATATCATCATCGAAGTACGCGGCAGCGTAGAATGCGGCAATTGCGCGTGGTGGGGTTGGAAGGCTTCCCTGTAGGGGAAAAATCTTGTTATTTGGTCCGCTTTAAGAAAAGCATTAATCTCGGGGGTGCTGACCAGATGAAGAGCTAATGTTCCACCGGAAGACTGCCCAAATGCCACAATTCGGTCCCCATCAACATCAATATCGGCATCCTTTTTAACTAGATCTGGCAGTGTTGTCCGTGCCCAGTTGAAAGCATCCTTTGCATCTTGGATGGGTCCCTCGTATAGTGACACGTGGGGACATAGGTGGTGATCTGCTGACACCACCACGAACCCGAGATCCAGTAGGGCATCTATTTCATTTGAATTGAAGAGGAATCTTGAGCCGATAGTGAAGCCACCGGCATGGAATCCGATAGCTGGACGCGCACGTTTAGAATGTGTATTTCCGCCAATGTAGAAATTCCCTTACCGATGGGCTTCTTGGACGAGCGGGTTTCATCCTGACGATAGTACATTGTAGCCGCAATTTCCAGAGACCCAGAGGTCTTGTAAACATAGTCTTTCGAGGGCATGGTGCGAATGAGTTGTAGGATTGAGCGTCACAAGTCTGAAGATAGAGAAGTTGCAGGTGGTCTGATCAATTTACCGGGATGTAATTACGAGGATCTAGCTCTATGATATTTAAGTGAACTTTCCACGGCATCTGGTTTATGAATTGGGTTGTCGTCATAACGTGGTGCATATCGTCTCGGGTAGTGTGGTACGGATGTTGATCGCTCTTCGGGTACGGTGGGGAAATTACTCCGGGATCTACAACAACGCATCCCATTTCACCCATATACCGAGTAGAATAGTCCAATAGAGGTATTCAGAGCTGCAGATCTGTCTCGGAGTAGAGAATTCTCTGGATGGTGAAGGCTTGGGTCGAAACATGAATCGGCAAAAGATTCGCTCGATATTCCCGTTTTGGGATAACCGAGGACTGCTCGAGCCACCCAGGATTAATATTTGCGGGTCTCAAACAACTCACTATGCAGCTAGTGCTTGGGTTCAAGATTGTAGGTTGGGGATATCCTGTCTGACGAGGTGAGCGCTTATACTACACACTGGAGTGACACAATGTAATTGTTCATGCAAACACTAACGTATAAGTAGGAGCCTTTTACGCCTGCCAAATGTTCATTCATGTCCAATCATTTAGAAACGAGAAGCATACATCTCTCGCTCATCAGTTTCCCTAATATATAATTACCCAACGATTGTATCGCCGGAAATGACGCCGAAACCTTCCTCCCACGAAACCAAAGCCGGTGCGATCAAGGTGATTGTTATAGGCGCAGGACCAGTGGGTTTGCTTACGGCACTGAGGCTAGCCCAGAGTGGCATGTATGTTGATGTACTAGAGAAGGAGGAGAAGCTGAACGTTACTCCTCGTGCGTGCTCTTACTACGCAGCCGCTCTGCATGCCCTCCAACGTGCCAAAGTCCTGGACGATGTCAAAAAGGCTGGCTTCACCACGCACGGTCTGTGTTGGAGGGGTCCACTTGAAGACGATGGTAAAGGGGGAAAGATATTCGGAGACATGCTGGCGAGTTTGCCAGTTGTAGGCAACGAGGACTGGGATAGCGGGGTGGTCAACCTCCAGCAAGCCAAGCTGACGAAGCTATTGTACCAGAAGGTCCTGGAGACTGGCCGGGTTACTGTTCATCTAGGGACAGAGCTCATCGGCATTGAACAAGATTCGGCCTCTGTAATGGCGACTGCCGTTCGTGGGGATTTAAGCCAGGAACAATTCCAGGGCTCGTTCCTTGTCGGTGCGGATGGAGGAAGATCAACCACCAGAAGGCTCCTTGGGATCCGCCACAAAGGCCATAGCTGGCCTGAAAGACTTGTGGCTATGGATGTTCTGCTTGATGATGTTGAGTTCGATGAGAAGTTCCCGAGCTCGCTTTTTGTCGACCCTGTTTACTATGGTCTGATGTCGCCACTGGAGCAGCCACGCGCTGGCACGGAAAGCCTATGGAGGTGCACGGTAGCAGTTGATCCTACGGATGCGCGCACAGATGATGAACTGGTTTCGGATAAAAGCATTGAAGAACTTCTCCTCAAAACTGTTCCCGGCCCAAGACCACTTCCTTTCAAAGTCCTTAGAGCGTCCCCGTATCGTGTGCATCAACTATGCGCGTCCACATTCAACCGTGGACGGTGCGCTTTGGCCGGGGATGCAGCTCACTTGAATAATGTATGTATCATCTTGTCACCTGTACTATCCTTTACAGTGCCATTTACTAACTTTAAGACCTCCAGCCCATGGGAGCAATGGGTCTTACGACCGGTCTCATTGACTCCGAAGCTCTTGCAGATGCGCTAGAGTTAATCATCCACGAGGGGAAGCCTATCAGCATACTGGACACTTACTCAGACGAGCGTCGACGAGTCTTCCAAACGTTTGTGGACCCGACTTCCACACAGAACAAGCTACGATGTGCGAGTGACGCTGAAACCGCGAAGGAAGACTGGCTTATAAGATTAATGGCTAAAATGGCCAACGCACCAAGGGAAATGGTTGCACAGGGATCTCAGCCATTTTTCACTGCCTGGAGGACCGACTTAAAGCAGGTACTTAAGCATAGCTAAGTCGACGGGGGTAGTTTACGGCCATCTCAAGAAGGAACAAAGGACTATAATTAGAAAAACTATTATATGTTGGTTAACCGGTCTGAAAGACGAAACACTTGTTTTCGTTTATGTAAGAATCTTAAGTATGCTGGACTCATAATGAGCGTCCAAATATTAAACCATAATGAGGTCTCTATTTCCTCCGGCTGAAAATATTTTGCCAGTCAACGTCTTGCTTGATCTGGCCCTGAGATAAGATTCGTCCGACGACGCTCGCACATCTCGATTACCTCTGATACACTTTCTAAACTCTGAAGCCGAGGCCCGTTGAGCATAATCCGCAGACGAACCCAACCCATCTCACTGTAGATAAGAATGTGATTAAAGAGGAGCTGTGAATCTATCTCCTGACGAGGTTACATATTACCTTTATTAAGCTATCGCGGTTCATTATACCTTCGAACCACTCCGTGTTGAAGATATAGAGCAAACGTGAAGCAGAGGCTTTATTCTAGGATTTATAGCGGCATATACATAGCCTTTTAAACTCCTTCTGACCTAGTATTACCTACTCAATGGTCAAGAACAAATGCAGTAAGTGTCACTATCACGAGGAATGACGTGATGCGCTAAGATTAAGCCAGTTAATTAATTGACCCCTCAAAGTCTCTCTGAACCTATAAGTACACCTATCTCCGCTGAAGATACTTTTGAGGTTCAGAAAGACTGTGAAGGAGCAAGATGGTGAACTGGGGAATCATATGTAGGTCCATTTCTCAACAAGTACCATTGGATACCCAAGTCAATTGATTATAGCTAACCCTAACGGCACCAACCAGCCACTGGCGATAACGCTACAAGTTCGTTATCCACCATCATTCAATCTCAATTAACATATGTGCTTACCCAGCCTATTGTTCAGAATTTGCGAAAGACCTCCTCATCGACCCATCAACAAGGGACGTCCACGATGTCACCCACAACCTAGCCGCCGTCGCATCCTCGACCTCACTCCAAAAGGCCCAAGACTTCCTCTCTGCCATCAATGCACCGTCCAGGACAACCGCTTACGGGTCCTACGAGTCTCTTCTCGCCGACCCTACTGTTGAAATTGTCTACATCTCCACGCCGCATTCGCACCATTTCCAAAATGCCCGCGCTGCGCTACTGGCCGGAAAGCACGTCTTGCTTGAGAAGGCCTTTACGGTTAATGCAGCCCAGGCGTGCAATCTCGTTCAACTCGCTCGGGAGAAGAAACTGTTCCTGATGGAGGCAATGTGGACGCGTTTCTTCCCACTCACGCAGTATGTGAGACAGCTCATCAAAAATGGGGCAATAGGGGTTGTGCAACGAGTGGTTGCGGACCGAAATCTAGGGAGGGATATTGAGAAACTCTACGGAACGGAGCATCGATTGGTGAATTCTGCCCTGGCGGGTGGTGCTTTGCTCGATTGTAAGTGGCATCCATGGAGATGCAGATCTTTGCCAAAATCAGGGATTTTGGAGAACCTGTACTAACATGCTTCTCTGTAGTGGCTATATACCCTCTAACATGGATATTTCAGATCCTCTATCATGATAGTCCACTGGCCTTTGGTACTGTCAGGTCACCACCGCACATTTCTAGCTCCCTAGTCAAATACACACCAACAGGGGTGGATGAGACCGCTACTATTATTGTCACTTTTCCAGAAAGTAAAACGCAGGGTATAGCGACAGCGAGTCTTCGGTTCACCTCGGACCCAACCGACCCCGGGGTCCGTATCCTAGGGGATAAAGGTCAGATACAGATTTTTGGACCTGCTGCACGCCCGTTGAGTATTACAGTTGTTGCGTATGGGGAAGGAAGTCCGAAGATAGTGGAGAGGAAGGATTTTAAAATCCCAGTTGGACATGGATTGTTCTGGGAGGCGGATGCCTGTGCTCGATCCTTGTTTGAGGGGAAGACCGAGTCAGATCTCATGCCGCTGGATGAGACGCTGTTGATTATGGAGGTGATCGATAGGGTACGAGAAGAAAATGGGCTGAGGTATCCGGCAGACGTCGAGGCACATTAATGCAGCACCAAATACCAGAATGAGACGTGTTTTTGCATGAGCCTCCATGTTCGTAAATTAAAGTGTTCACTGAAAAATCAACTACAATCTCGATCGGCCTTTCGTTTCTCAGTAGCAAGACGTCTTGTTTTCCATGATCATTAATCAATTAGGATTATGTATTATATGCTCTGTGGATCTCTGTAGTAGATAGTTATCTAACATACTCTCACCAATGTACCCCTTAGTTTTATGCGTGAGGATACCACGCAAGGAACCCGAGACATGGGTGGTTTAAAGTCTAACGTCGGCTGAGTCTCTTGTACAGGTCCTGGATCTCGCTACCCATCTGTCTTTCGGTTGTCTCATGGAAGGAGTCCTCGTCAAACTCGGTTTCTCTTTTCTCCAGCCCGGCGTCGCGGTCGAGCTCCTCTTGAGCCAATTCAACTAAAGACGGTGAGTAAGTCATACAACAAAAGACAGGAGACAAGGCTTACCATGGCAGTAGACAGCCGCCGACTTCCCACTAGACATGGCATGGGGAACATTAGTGCTGTTATCGCTGTTGGCGTCTCCAACACCCCAAACGCCCGGAACGCTAGTTCGCAGGCCCTTGCGCAGCGTGTTCATCTTGGACCCCAGCATTTCCACACCGAGCTGAGCGGGCAGATCTGACCTCTGCGACGTATCATAGTTCGTGATGAACGCGCCGCGCACCTCGGAGGTGTTATCGGCGAAGTAGATTTGGAACTTGTCGAACTCCTGACGGGTCGCGGGATCATACACAACGCCTCCATCCTGAATACGGGTGATGTTAAGAATGGGCTTGTTATTGGCTGTCACATTATATGCCTGGAACACCTTTCTCCAGTTAGGGTGGTTCTTATCCAGGATTGCGATCTGCTCTGTGGTGTTGGTTCCGTTCGCGTAGATTCTGATACCCTTGTACAAGGTCGGGTGCAGTTCTCTAACAGCACCGTATGCCTCGGAGAAATTTCCCAGGACTCCCATAGACTGGTTGCGGTGCTCGAACCCGTCGCACCACGGACACCAGAAGATACCTTTCCCGAAGCCTTCCTGGAGACCTGGGACATTCGGCAAATTGTCTTTCATTCCACTGCCTAGGATGACCTTGCGAGCTGTATATTGCTGTTCCCCGACAGTTGCTTGGAAAACACTATCCCTGATCTTTTCGAGTTTGGTCACCTTTTGATCTATGAATGTTGTCGCGTTGTAAAAGGAGATTTGCTCACGGGCGGTTTGCCGAAACTCGGCGGGCACGACATCTAACTCCAAATCAGCATAATAGATCGATGCAGCTAAAGAAAGATATACATACGGTCGTTTCCAATCACATCGTGCATGTGTCTAGTAGGGTTGTTGCGGTACTCGCCAGAGTCGAAGAGGACCGATTTCCGCAGGACACGAGACAAGGCACTCGCTGCGCTAAGGCCAGAAGGACCACCGCCAATAATGATCACATCGTAGTTTGTCTGAGGTATATCTGCTACACAGACCGAAAGGATAGAGAGTAGGGCGCACAGAAGTGCAGTCCAGTTCCAGGTAAACATCATGTTAGCGACGGTCCCAGCAGCGTTGAACTAGTTTCGGAGACAGTAGAAGGGGCCTCAAGATGGGATCCATTTTTGTTATCATTTTATATTGAATAAAAAATACTTTACTTTTCCCTCACTATCAAGTCAAACGGGTTGGGTTGTATTGAATATTCTGATGAGCCTACGACTTTTGCGGGATGCTGTGAGATATACTTTGGCGAGAGCTGAAAAGTTTGTTGACACAGTTTTCCTCCTGGATATTGCACGAGATGTCACCGCATTCGGTGTATTTATTCCAGCATCGCGTCGTAACTCCAGTTCATTGGTAGGTATGCACGAGTACCGGAAATGCTTCGTGGTTACATTAGGGCTCCACCGCGGAGTGTCGATTATGTCATGACTCTACTAGAAGACGTAAAATCTCGAGTGATGAAGTAAAGCGTCAAAACAAACAAGACTGCTGTTTCACAGCCTGCCGCTTTCCTTTATGATATGCAACTAATTATCTCTGTTTGACTGCTGATTTTAATTTGGTTGAATGACAAGTTCTGTGGGTGGTTCCTCGCTCAACCAACGAGGGAAGGCTGGTTCATCGAAACCTTGGAAAAACTCTAACTAGCGAAAGACAGTTAATTTAGATGGAATTCGTGAAGTCAAATCTACTTAAGTGATTAGCAGATATCGTAAAGTTTTCATGGGGTATAATTAATCAACGTGGCCTGAGTTCTGGGCAAGCAAAATACCCATCCATCTAAAAGAAATGTTGAGTATGCGGAAATTCCATACATGCATGACATGGAATATTATTAATAGGACTGAAAATCTGGGAGATCGAATATTTCACGACTATCTTTGAGAAGTGGGGGCTTAAGGTATATCTCAGGACTCGGTGTGCCTGGGTATTCATCACTTAAGCCTTGCTATTCGAGGCTTCATGGCATTCAGAGTCCACGACTGAATACGAGACGGGGTTGAAGCGGTGTATCATCCTCGACATTGTCTTGGCTGAATATCATGTTGAAGCAGTCGGTATCATAGATATGAGTGTCATCCGGATTTGTTCTACTAGTAGGACGTTTGGCCAGGGCTCAACCCATGTCCTCGTGTCAGGCGAAAGTATCGACATAGTGCGTCGTCTGTAGGGCCCTTTGAGCTTGATTTCATACCAACGGTTGAAGTATAGGTTTAGTAATATCCATACACGAATGCTGACTTCTGGTCATTGGGCCGCGATATGCGCAAGAGGGTGGGAAAGAAGCGGTATGCGAGAAGCGGCAAGGTAGACACGTAAAAGCACGTACAACAGTGAAGTACCGATAGTAGTGAATATGTAGCATAGGGGAAATGATTACGTTTGCTCTGACAACGCGGTTAATTGTGAAGGTTTATAGAGTAGAAATGCCTTACACGTAGACAGCCACAAGGAATCCAGGCTGTGCAGGAGGCTGAAGGAGGCGAGGTGCATGCATGCGGCTCCCGGTAGGGCTCGGAAAACAACACGCACCGACGTCAGATTTTAGTAGGCAACGTGAATATAGCACATTGGTGGTTCATACCCATCGGTGAACTTACATGCTGACTTGGCTCGTGTTGGGTGCGGGGAATTGACGATCTGAACACCAAGGCTGCCAGTAGTCTCAGACTCTCGGGCGTCCACATATACTCACTACTACTATGACAGGAAAGACCAAAAGTGTCTATCCATAAATATGGGTTCGGTGGAGACTGAGTAATGCATGGACATGCGAGTTCCGGATGCGTTGAAGTTTATCGATGACAACAATTGGTGACTTCTCAAGCCCACGTTTTCCTCTCGTAACCTCGTATATGCCGCTCCCATATTTTTCGTGTGAAAACGTTGGGTCCACTTACATACGGATAAGCCTCGAGAACAACATAGTGCTATTGATAGACATTCCCAGCAACTTCATTAGACCATGCAAAACAATAAGTTTGTTGCAGGCAACATTCATACCTTGTAGACATTGGGTAAGCACGTTGATCAGGCAAAGCCTAGGAATGTCAGGCCATCTCCGCCGCAATGACCGGTCATCACTTGAGGCTTATCGTCAGCACTAGCATACGATAGGCAGGCAGTGAAATCCGGGGTTCGATCTTCGAGTCCGCCACTTCCGTGTAGATCGCTGGCATGACATCCGAAGATTTCCGTGGATTCTACTCCATGAGTTTGTAGGTTTATGGATTTTCTTACTATCTGAAAATAGCGTCCATCTAGGATCTCATACACCCGAACAATGTACCACACTCAAGTACCATCGCTCCATTCTTTAAGTCATATCGCGGGAATTAAAGAGCTGAGGTTCATATACAAGCCTACCCTAACACATCTGGACATCCAAAGCTTGTAGACATAACATACGATGCGAGACACGGCTGTTCTGATATCTTGAAATCACAGGCAGGAAAAGTGATACTTTGGGCCGGGCTTGCCACGATTGAACGACTAGTTCTTTCGGTAGGAGCATATCATCCCACCACTTAAAATGAATGTAATTGGTGTTGGTCAAGGCCTAGCCTTACCGAAATGAGCAATTTAGCCTCCTTCCTAAATAATAGTATTGTATAGTTCAGGTGATTCGCAATTTCGGGTGCAACCGATGAGGTGATGTCACGGAGATGATCCATGGTTGTCCGCGAAAGAAGGCCGTGAATTAGCCAAAAGCGGAAATATACTTATGAACGTGCGATATATTTAGCATAGAGTCAAACCTAGACAGGTGGCACGGAATTAAGGCCAACCACGTACTCGGGCAATCTGTCGGAGTCTCGATTGACCGGTGTTGGTATAGGCTGCTCTTCTACAGGTTCGATTCGGATCTGATATCCATCATGTTGGGGCAGTGAGCTGCTCAGATGACAGCCATATGCCAATAATGTTGTTCCTTCCGGGCTCTTAGGCGTCGGGCCGGCAACACCTACTTTGGGAGAGGCTGCGTATGGCTATGTCTCATTCTATCCATGGATGGCTTCGTATCTGTGATGTGTTCTGGAAATAGTAACATTGAGGTAATCCCAAGGGCTTCTCCAGAGACGGCCGAGTTTTCCTACAGTTCGTACCAGTGGCTTGCTTCTAGATGTCTACATAAACCCCCATGATTCCTGCTTCAAGTCCCATTTTCAGATCAACATCAAGCATCTTTACTACTACCTTTCAATACAAGATCAAACTAAGACCATCAATCTCCTTATAAACCAAATATTCAAGATGAAGTTTTCCTCGACCTCTGCTCTTGTTGCACTTGTCGCCGGTGTCAATGGCGCCAGCATTCCTCGGACCCAGGGCTCAGTCCCCATCACTTTCATCGGTGCAGCCGATGCCCAGTTTACTCAGGACTTCCCAACAGACGGTTCAAGTGTTGCCATCAGTAAGTTGCTCTGACTGAGGGTCCTTGAAGCTCGTGAAGTAGCTCTGACCATCCCAGCCAACCCTCTGAGCATCTCCCACATCGCCTCTAGCACCAACGGCGTGTCCTGCGTTTTCGATGGTGTTGACCACAGCGTCACCATTGTCTCTGATACAGAGACTGTAGACGTTGGCCCTCCCCAGACACAGATCTCGGGTGCATGCGCTGTTGGCGAAGTTCCTCCCACCCGGCACGAGCGTCGGTCGTCTGATAACCAGAATGTGGTTATCACTTTTGTTGGCGCAGCCAATGCTCAGTTCACATGGGTCTTCCCGACCACCGGAGTCGCGACTCATATCTGTACGTATAACCGGCCTAATCTTTAGTGGTTCATGGTAACTGACAACAATCCCAGCAAACCCTCTCAGCATCTCTCACATTGAATCTCATGCTCCAGGTGTTGAGTGCACCTTCACTGGCATTGACAACAGCGTTACCACTGTCAGCGGTGTCCAGACTGTTGATGTCGGTCCTCCCCAGACCCAGATCTCTGGTGTCTGCCACCGCAACTGAAAGGATATTACTAGGAGCTAAATAGCTTCTGGACTGTCTAAGGTCACACGTATGGACTAAATACAGCGCTAATCTTTGAACGACCTCATTACTAATTTCCTTTTTCACCCTTGGGGTTACGATTCGGACATCGTTATATTTAACTCATGGAATGTTGTCTCTTCTTATATTACCTCTACATATACTTGTTTATGTCTCTCCCTTTAATGTGTTATCTTATATTGTTGCTTTTGCTTTCCTTTCGACAATCTTGTTGGTAGACCTCGATGTGATAATGATATAGCCAATCCTTAATTGACTATTATTGGACGATCTGTCTCATGACATGAACGACTTAACTGCAAAGTAACACATTTTCGAGTACTAGTTTGATTTCCCAAGAGCCTCTCGCTTAATATCTAGTGCTAGAGTATCGGCTCTCATGGAAACAGCAAAGTGAAGATCTTGAATCAGCGATAACATTCTCAACGAGCTCCTCATCAAGCGATAGCTTGTGCTTCGAGATACTCATTAACATGTAAGGCCAGGCGATGACCCATGAATTATAATATGTGCGATATTTAGCTGACTTAGCCGATCCATTATGCTCGATTATGCATGTTATTCATACCATTCACAAGATACGACTGGTAGCACACGACTCGCAAACGGAACTAGAATATTCCGGAAAAGCCTAGTCACATACCTTCAGTTGTTTTTATTAGTTGTACAAGCAAAGGCGTATATCTACTTTTGTAAGCCACCGTGCGGGAGTCGAGTGGCAAACCAAGCCCGCCATCAGACAAGGATCAGCAGAGCAGAATGCTCTTTCTAGGGTTTCAATTACACCTCGAAGCAAAAGATATGGCACGAACCCTCAATCGGCTAAGCTCTCCTCGTTGTACAAATGCTGTAATCGAGACGTAGGCCAAGCCGCGGCGGCCGAATCGTGAGGCCTGAAGCCTCGTCGAGAACGGCTGGATCCATGGGTTGGCTGCCGTCATGATTGGAACCACCCAAACATGATGGCGAGTTCCAACAACTACAAACTCTATATGCTCTGTCACCTGAGTATGTTGGCGTCAATGATTGGGACTGACGACCTCTTCGTCCGTGGAACCGAAGATCCGGGGTTGTCTGGGGTTCGCATCAACTCGCTTGTGGTTAACAGAAACGCAACCGTTTTTTGAAACCTCAGGTTTGCTCGCACAATGGAATTCATTGTAATTACGCAAGGTACGACATTTATACAGGATTTTACTATGGGTGGTGACCTCATCGGGGGTACTTGAACCGTCTCAGTTTTTCAACTTATAAAACCTCCCGTTGTATCGTCAGCTTACATGCTCCTATACTAAGACATCATTGATGAATTTAATTGACCCATTCCTTTTGATACCTTTCTTCAAACTAGACAATGGGGCTTCCTAAACTGAAAAAACCTCGCGCAAATGCTGATCGACCGTACAAAGATGAGGTGGACCCAAGACCATCGAACGCCGTCCTCCGCGAAAGCGCGGACGCGGATGATGGTCTGGTAGACACGAAAGTCCCTTTTCTGACATTTCGGTCATTTAGTATGTGTATCGTTATCTCGATGGGTGGGTTTCTCTTCGGTTATGATACTGGTCAGATCTCGGGATTTCTGGAGATGCAGGATTTCCTCCAGCGATACGGTGAGCAAAAGGCAGACGGTACATACTACTTCTCGAACGTTCGATCGGGCCTGATTGTTGCTCTGGTATGTAAAGTTCTTATCTCGTTTAGCATGAGTTACCCTGCTAAGCTTACGATAGCTGTCAATTGGCACCTTAATGGGCGCATTGGTGGCCGCGCCAATTGCTGATCGGGTTGGTCGCAAATGGTGTGTTAGTGGCTGGTGTGTGATTCTCTGCGCAGGAATCACGGTCCAGATCTCTGCCCCAACAGGCAAGTGGTATCAAGTTGCATTAGGTCGATGGGTTGCTGGTCTTGGTGTGGGAGCTTTATCCCTCCTGGTTCCTATGTATCAAGCTGAGACTGGCCCCAGGCATATTCGAGGATCCCTCGTTAGGTGGGCATGAGCCTAGAACATATCACCCATTACTGTTTCTGACGCAAAAGCAGTACATACCAGCTGTTTATCACTCTGGGCATCTTCGTTGCCAATTGTATCAACTTCGGTACCGAGGCCAAAACCAGCACAGCCTCCTGGCGAATTCCAATGGGAGTGACGTATATCTGGGCTATAATTCTCGGGTTCGGGATAGCACTGTTTCCAGAAAGTCCGCGTCACGATTATCGAAAGGGCAAGGTGGATAGGGCTATCTCGACGCTGGCAAAAATGTATGGCATTCCTAAGAACCATCAAGCACTGCAGATTGAGTTTGATGAGATCAAGAAAAAATATGAAGAGGAGGTGGAACGCGGCCAAGTATCATGGATCCAGCTATTCAAGGCCCCACGAATGGCGTACCGTGTTGCTGTCGGGGTCGCCCTGCAAGCATTACAGCAGTTGACGGGTGCGAACTACTTCTTCTACTACGGCACGACCATCTTCCAGGGCGCCGGAATCGAAAACAGCTACGTGACGCAGATGATCCTTGGTGCAGTCAATTTCGGTTCCACATTTCTGGGACTATATCTCATCGAGAATTACGGCCGTCGTCGCTCATTGATCGCTGGCGCGCTCTGGATGTTTTGCTGCTTCATAGTCTTCGCTTCCGTGGGCCATTTCTCCTTGAATCGGGATGACCCGCCGGCGACTAAGAGCGCGGGTGTGGTCATGGTCGTGTTCGCCTGTCTGTTTATTCTGGGATTCGCGAGTACTTGGGGCCCCATGGTGTGGACGATTATTGCTGAACTATATCCGTCGGAGTACCGGGCGCGTGCGATGTCTCTGGCGACGGCATCCAACTGGCTCTGGAACTTCCTTCTGGCCTTCTTCACGCCGTTCATCACGAGCGCGATCGACTTCCAGTTCGGGTACGTCTTTGCCGGTTGTCTCTTCCTGGCTGCCGCTCTCGTTTATTTCGCTGTCATGGAAGGAAAAGGTCGTACCCTTGAGGAGATCGATACGATGTACGTGATGAAGGTGAAGCCATGGCAGAGCTCCAAATTTGTCTTTCCAGAAACCGAGCCGAGCATCATGGAGAAACGGAGAGCCTCTCATGCTTCGAACCCGAGTACTAACCCGACAACCATCGGCAACGAGCATGAAACTACGGTGTGAAAAGAACGTAGATGTTGTAGCCTGAGAAGGGGCTGTTGTAGCTACATCACATGCTTCCATGGTGCCCTAACCAATCCAGGCCAGACACGTATTACTAGAATTCCCATATATGGATACACCCCATGAAGAGATGGTGAAAGAGGTCTATTATATTGTGATTAGATCGATTAATGTCGACCGTTTGGGAGTATATCGAAAGAGGGAACCCTGTTAATCCCCACACTGGGTTTATTAGCAATCGTCGACCACTTTAATGGATTTTTAATTTTTGATGTCGCTCAGTTTTTGCTCATTGGGTTTGTTTCCATGTTTGTATGATAGCTTGAGACAGATTAGCTTGTGGCCAATGATAATCGTTATGACTTCATCATGAAGTGTTGGCCACTTCGCCTCCTCCTTGAAGATGGCCTAACAAAATGCCCAGACACGACTCGGACCTAACCAGCAAGGGGCGGGTAAAAAAGTATGCGAAGACCGACAGGAAGCGTCCAATTATGTTGTAGAGACCGTCATGGATCCGACACCCCTCTTCCCTTGCAAATTATACATCATCCTTACCATGTCCCATTCAATTGACCATTAAGTTCGCGGCGCATCAGGTACCCACGGTTAGAGTCGAGAGGTAGGGGGTCACGACTTGTACAGGGGGCTCTAGGTAACGCGTTTATCGTGGTCGAATCTGTCCTAGACACTGATATCGATGTGGTAAGTTTCCAATAACCCAAATATCCTACAACAGAACGAATGGTTCGCAAAGGATCTCGGCCACCCGATTCTCTGAGCACATCGACAATGTGGCGAGGTCGCGTGTCGTGTCACTAAACGGATCGTCAGGGACCTGAGCGAGCAGGATGCGAGGAGAATGCGCATCAGGATGTCAGAGATTCCTCAGACCAGGGGGGAGGTGTCGACTGCGTCATGGCGCGTATGCGTGTATGTGTGTTCACGAAGCACGCAAAAATGTGTTCTTGTTGCGGGAGGCGATTGACCAGGAGAATAAATACCTAACTTAGTGGATTCTGACTAAACTCCTAGTAACTAGCCTTTCGGGGCAATATATAAACTGTCGATCATCCCTCAATCCTCGGCCGAAACCTCGGGGTCAATTTATCAGGGAGAGAGAAAAATGTTCGAAGCTACTCCTTGCATAATCCTCGGCTACGAACCTGACCAGCTTTTCTTATCTCGTATTAATTTTGTGCTGATACCATCTCCATCTTCACCAAATCTCCACGGTTAACTCTCCCTAATTTATTTTGGGTATTTCATGTGTCACCGTTCCGACGCGTCTTCCCGGAACCAAAACAACCCACTTTGATTAATTTTGACCTATTTATTTTTTTTTCCCCTTGATATCTATTTGTATATATATATTTTTTCCCTTGACCCGTTCGGATCTCCACCTAGTGATTCATGACTGGACGGTATCATCAAAGGCGTCTCGCTCCCAAGGAAGAACTTCCACCCACACCTGATGATCATAGCCCTGCAGAACAGAGCAAACGCAAACGAGCCTCATTAGCCTGTCTGGAGTGCCAGCGACGACGTATAAAAGCAAGCTTTATCCAAGGGTCCATTCATCATCGTCAGCCCTAGTGTTGGCCCATGATCTCCGTCACTAACCTCTTATCTTATCGTCTTTATTTAGTGTGGCCCTGGCCGTCCATGCGAACCATGTCTGCTCAATAGACGTGAATGTATCTACAATGAATGCAACGACAAACGCCGCAAGATATCCGCCGAGGCGACAGAACAGAGCCTGAAGTTTTATCGCAGTGCCTTGGAGAACTTATTGCGCGCAATCCAGATCGGCTCCGACTCGGATGTGGACCACATCATCAATGACATTCGGAAGGGCGCTCCGCTATCGGAAATCTCTCGCATAGCCGCCGAGTGTCTAAATGATATAGCGGCGACGACGACGACGACGGCACCTGATTCGGCGAAGCAGGACTCGGTCGGGAGCCCTGGATGAATACTGTCTTTTTTTTTTTTCATAATCTCTTCCTGGTTGTTCAATTTTGCCCAAAACCCTTACCCGCGTGGAAATCCTTATGTGGTATGTCCTGGAGCCCTCAGGGAAGGGGAGGGGGGGCAGGGTGGAAGCTTGGTCGTGCCGCCACTCTTGGCGACTGTCGAACTTAGGCTTTCAGATACCGAATGGCTTCTGTGGTAGTATTGGTGGCTTGGTCTACAATGGGCTTAGGGGTCTACCCGGCCCATATTATTACTCAACTGGCAGGGCTTCTTCTTCTCTGGTCAGAGAGGCGTGTCCTTGCCATTTTGTTGGGTGACCAAGGATATACAGCATATGATGAGGCTCCATCCATCCATGTCAGTATAATGAAAGCAGCGCGCACAAAAAAAGTCGAAAGGAATCAAATCAAGAAGGCTCTTGGAGCCGTATCCACCTGGATCTGCAGATGGGCACTCGCCGCGACGCAAGTAACGTTCCTGTCATCATATGCGGCGCATTCGTAGACAATATCTTAGTGTAGAACTCAAAACTCCTGTCATGATTTATGGTTCGTGGTGTATTTCCACAGCTACCATTAAAGCAGACCCAGTTGTGGGCAATCCGGATTCTTATTCTCAGACTCCTAAACATCATAAGTGGTTAAATAACGCATCTATTGGACCCACATAGAAGGAGCTCTGGGTAATTGTCCGTTCACGCATGACGCGACATGGTTTCTTTGAAAACCGGCATAAGCAGCTGTTCTGGTGTTGAGGATATATATTTGCTACGTTGACCTGGCGGGATCCAACCCATTTTACGTAAATCGTTCAAATTCATGTGCATGCCGCGTAGACAGCTCCATATCTTACTACAATTGATATAAAATACTCAGAATCGTCCATCAGGCGAGAAAAAGAACGGGTATATGGAAATGTTGTAAACGTGAAGACTGGCGTATGACGTCACGGTGTTTATCGGCAGATCTCGGACCGAAAAAGGATAAACAAGCAACAATCATGGAACAAACCGCGGCAATTCACGAGGTATGACATTCAACCTATTCTTGCCTACAAGAAGATTGTTGCGTATTCTATGCGTATAAGGGTTGGAATCTAGAACCATGCTGGTTTGACAGTCTTATACCAATCACGTCCTAGGCGTATATAGTTTGTCCATTTGAGGCTGCTTTGAACGCTTCTTAGAGCAAAGAGACATCTACTCCCTACGCCGGTATTGTGGTATTTATAGGGACTGTCACTACGCCGTGGAAAGCTATCCTTTGACGTCCCTGTCTGGATTAGGACCCCAGCATCTCCTGGCTAATCTACCGCATAGCCGAGCCCACTTTTGATATGCTAGACTTGAGCTTGATGCACTATCGCATGTTGAGGACGTCTATATGTGTCTTCAGTGAAGAGTGGAATCATTGTTGACGTCGAGAAGTATGCAGAATGGCTTGTTCAATGTAGCTTATCATGCAACGTATTGGCTCCTGTCACACTGTAATCAACATCTTCGGATCAAGGCTGTTGCCATCCTATTACAAGCGACTATTTACATATAGACTAGCTAGCAAAGGACTGGACCATGTGGGGTGATTCGCTGCACGATGAACGACAGCCTGGGTGGATCCACTGATCGCTCGCTTGAATTTTATTCGTACCTCATCTTCGTAGAATGTCGACGATCCATTTTGTGCGTAATGAGCTGCAGTCCCCGCCCTGCAGATGATCTTTTGCCAGCTCCACCTCTCCGTCGGATATTCTATTGAATGAATTTTGTGCAAAATTCATGATATCGTCATATAGCTAGCTGTGGTCAAGTCAATAAGTCTTGATAGACACGAATTCTGTGGATTTGGGGATGTTTTGTGGGCAGTGTTCCTGCGGTGGGAAAGAGTCTTTCTATTTATGTTGGGATTTAATGTTACAACGTGTCATCGAGTTGGACATGATACCTGCCCGGTACATCCAAGCATATTGATTGATTAGGTGGTTCCAATATGCTCGAACTCTTCACCAAATTCGTCATATAGCCACTTTTTGTGTTGAGTGACCCACGTCACGGAGGTTCGGGCTCCGCTGATAGAGATGCCCATTGAGCAGGCGACGAACATATACACACCACCATGACCATTACCGAGGATAATATACTTGGGTACCATATCAAAAGGCATGCATACTCTTCACTGAGGCTTACGGTATAGTCTCACGACAATAGTTTGCTCTATAGCCAAAGAATAGTTCACCATGTCACGTCTTGCCTTTGCTATCGGCGCTGCCGGCTCCTAGCTATGTCCATGAGAATGCCCCTGACTAGCTCAGCCTTACCGCTGTGCCGGTAGCATGCCTTTAAATGTCTTCAGAAGAGTGATTTGCTTTCGGAAAGGGCGTGAAGGGGTTGACATCTGCATGCCCAACGAACCCGTCTTTGTATCTGTGGTAGCCGAGGAGGCTGTGGCTGTGTATCCTACTTTCTATTATCTTAGCTTTCATGTTCTTTATCCAAACATTGTCACTTTGCCTTCACATTTTCGAGATTTGAGGAAGGTTGAATTGGAGGCCTTCCTATCTGGGTTAGTGCAACATCAACCTCGCCTCTGAGTAAGCGGACAGGAAGCTGATTGGTCCGTTACTATGACGAGGCGAAAGAGGAAACGAAAGACAGGCACAGTAATGAAAAGTGCCCTTCTCGATATTCTGATCCTACTAGCGGAGGGATAATGCTCCCTGTAAGGCGACTCCGCGAACTAATACTTAAAGATGCCCAAGCAGACTGTGTCACGCAGGGCCAAGCGGGGCTCGTTAACGCCCAAGAGACAGAGGCGCAGGGCATGTGATTCATGCTTCAAGAGAAAGGTGATATTCTTGTCTACCCAGCGTTAGATGGAATGTTATCTATTGTGCTGATATTGGCCTAATCATTGCAACTTTTGTAGATACAATGTGATACAGAGTTTCCACAGTGCAACTGGTGCAAGCACCACAATCTTGCTTGCACGTATAGCAGACTGCAGACTCGCACGGAAGCAAGGTATGTACATAATAGGATCCTGCAACACAACTAGCTATGTATAATTAAGCATTCCATCTCCTCAGATGTATACTCCCCCAAGATCTCATTCCCTGAGGCTTTTTGCCGAACTGTCGAATCATATCGGCTGCTTTGACGATTCGTCACTAACCCCGTTGATATTACTAGGGACCAGCTACATCTGCAGTTTTCCGAGAAATCCTCAGAAGCAGATTCTAGTCTTGGAAACTCTGATGTGAATAGCCACAGTCAGTATAAATTATGTCGAAATCTTTCTCATGCACGTTAACCTGTCTCGCAATTCTCCAGGTCCCTCTATGGATAACATGGGCTCAGGCGCAAGGCCAAGGCGCCCCCACTCTGCGAGCTTCGGCTTAGACTCTACGACCTGCTTTAATTGGATGCATCTTTTATCCGATGACGGCCAGAGATGGATCGAATCTCGGACAGGAGAAACAGTCCGCTTCGAGGAGCTATGCGCCCTTGATCTTCCTTGGGCTAACACGCGCCGACTTTACATGGAAACCTTGAATTCTGGCTCCATTCATGAACTCCCAAGTCGATGCTCGGTGGAAGGCCACGTCAAGCAGTATTTCTCATCCTTTCAAAGTCTTGTCTTTCCCGTGATCAGCAAGTCGCTCTTTGAGAAGACCCTAGATCTTGCGTACGGACCTCGTAGCTCTTTTGGCTCGGCCAGTGCTAGGTCATGTGTCTATGCATTTCTTGCTGTAGTGAATCTTTTTGAGATCGGGGACAACCTTCAGGAAGCTATGGATTGTGGGTACTTTGCCTCGGCGGCGCAGACCTTTATGGTTCAGGTCACTCAAGAGATGACAGTTGATGGACTCCAAGCGGTCATAATGCTTGTACGTGGTTATTTCCCCAAGGCCTACCTAGCCCGATGACGGTTCCAAGCTGTACTAACAACATGCAAGATTCTATTCCAGTATTTCCTAGGGGATTTACAGGCTGCAGCAGTATCTGTATCAATCGCCACCCGCCTCCTGTATACACTTGGCGCTAATACAATGTCTGGTGTCGATTCATCTGGTTGTTCACAACCTTATGACAAAAATATTGAGGAATGTCACTTGCGCGATCTATTCTGGGTGTGCTATTCATTCGACAAAGACATCTGTTTAAGAACCGGACAACCACCCGCGATCAACGACAGCTATTGCAACTTGACACTCCCATCGGACTACTCGCGGCTACAGGACTCCAATATTCTACGAGATAGCATGTCAATGGACACCCACACTCTCCCTCTATTCCCTTGGGACCTTCGACTCTCAAAGATCAAGTCTGAAGCATACGAAGCTCTTTACTCTGCCGGTGCCCAACGCAAATCAGACTCGGAGATCTTGTCAAGTATTCGGAATCTCGACGAAGCACTAGAGCAGTGGAGGATATCTCTACACCCTGACTTCCGACCAACTTTATCTTTTTCCCCGGAAACGCCGGTTAGTGCGAATTTGAATACACAGGCAGTAATGCTGCGACTTGCGTACTATCACTGCGTTACCATGATCCACCAAGCGAGTGAAAGAGGCAGACTGTCAGATGATTGCACCGAGTGTAGACTTAGTGGGATTAATACTAGTATCAGCCTGGCCATCAATGCTGGGACGTCAACACTGTCCTATCTACAGACAGTATTACCTGTAGTGGAGGGGGAATGCTTTTGGTGAGGCTCAAACCTCGTTAAGTTCAAAAACCTCAGACTAACTCGGGTTCTCTTTCACAAAACTAGGGTTGTCCTCTTCTACGCCATCACTGCTATCCTGACTCTCTTCCGCAATATTTTGCATAACCCTCTCGGCCCTGAAGCTCATCACCACGTGCATATACTGCGCGAAGTACCTGATCTGATTCGCAGAATTCCTATTCGGAAACTCACACTGGGCGAAGTCATCCACCTAAGATTTCTGGATGGGTTCACCACCGAACTGGCGAGGTTAGGTGCATGCGCCATCTCCCAAGTGCAACAAGAGGCGGCAGGTATGAGCGGTACTAAGCCATTGGCCACAGATATAGAATATCCTTTATAAAAGTATACAATGTACAAAGTCCCAGCCCCTTCCCACAAATACTTCGTCCAAAACCAACAAATCTCAAAAATCTACCAAACTGAAACAATGAGTCACTACCCTATCCCCATCCTACCCCATACAATAACCAACCCCAGCCTCAACCAGCAACTTACAATACTGAAAATGCAACCATACCACAGGAGGCGGGAAAAGTGCCTCAGTCGTATGCTTCACACCATTGAAAAAGATATTCTTCAATCGGAACTCAGCCACTCCTTCCTTGGTGTCAATATCGACAGTGATTTCCGAAATATTATCCATTTCACGGGGTTTATCTAGGTCCTCTGTCGGGGATAATCCACCCCGCATGACGATAGATCTGGGCTTTTTTTGCAGGACGATAAAGTGATCTGTTACGATTGTTCCTATCCTCTGTTTTAGTAATTCCCAAGCGTGGAGATCGATGATAACCTTGTTGAAGAGAGATTGTACAAACCTTCGTCATAAGAGCTAGCAAGCAACTGCTCCTTACTCCATAGCATGGCCTCATTGGTTCTATCCTTGCATAGGAATGTGAGAATCTTCCGTTGGATTGCGTAGCCTATTCACCAAATTCGTATCTATTAGTCTTGCATATCATACATACCCCAGTCCAACATTCCATGATCAATCCCAGAGTTTACAAGGTTAGGCATGATAAGAAAGAAGGAAACTTACCATATCCACCCCAAACACCCCCACAGAAGCTTTCCAAAAGCCTCGACCCACCATTATGGAAATCCTCAACCAGCTCAGGTTTGACTTCTGATATAGGAACCTTCCGTACGCACGAATCATCCAGCGAGGGATGTTTATTCGGATTAAATCTCTGGAAATACTTGCTCTGAAACAAAACATCACTGTCAGGACCGAAGGGCTCGAAGTAACAGTGTCGTGACCATAGCTGCCAGGTTGTGGCTCCGGTTATGCCTGTTATCACGGTGTATTTGCAGAATGTCAAGACTTTGGGTGGTATGAAGTGATTGAGACGTCGGAATGGGGACATGGTTGGGGATGGATGGGGGGTGAAGAGGCTCTTGCTTGAAGGTCTAAAGAGTGAAGGGGGAATATAGAGGAGTCTAAAGTTTCAAGATATTACTGGGTATTTATACTGGGCTAATGGATCCAAAAGCAGGTAGTTACCAGTTACGGATGATATTAATAATCGGGCCTACGGCGGACTAAATCGAAGTTCCGGACAATAGACATTTCCGACCGAAACCTTGGCGTTTTACATTAAACCACGCACTTATTTAGTATCACTCTTACTCTATAAAATATACTATATATTGTATATCAATACTAAAATTATTATTAAAATAGAAAGTTTATAGTTAATTAAAAATTTTTAATATTAGTAGTAGTATTGATAATAGTACTAGACAGTAGACGATCGATAATAGGCATAGGCGGTAGTAGTAGGCGGTAGTAGGCAGGTAGTAGTGGGAAAGCTAAGCTTAAAGATCCCGCTATCTTTTAAGATTAATAGTACTAATTTCTAAATTTTAAAGGCTACAGTATCAAAAAATATAAATTTTTAAAAATTAGTAATAAAATATTATAGAAACTATTAATATATTTAGAGTGAAATCAATTATTTAAACTATTATAAATTGTAGGTACTATACTAAATTTTTTTAGATAGATTAATTTGACTGACTCAGGTTAAGATATAGTACGTTGGTAATATATTGGGGAGTTTGGTAATATTTTACAGTCCGGAACTTCGATTTAGCCCGCCGTACGGGGCTCAGTTAACTAGTTATGCTGGCCGCTTATTCAGCGGATTGTGGGATGTGGTTCTTCGGGGTGGGTGTTGGAGTTGCTGAAGGTAAGTGGGATTCATATTTTATCTACCTGGTAGAAGTTCCTAGTCTGATGTTAACTGAGACGAAGTTAGCGTTACTGAGTCATATAAAGTTGGGATTAATGTATGCTTAATTGTCATATGCAGGTCTCTGACCAGATGGCTAGGGTGGGACTGTGGGTCTATCAGTCTGACTCGTAGGATTTAATAGATTAGGAAAACCTAGTGAGTAGCCAGAGACATCGAAGACGTAGATAAAACCAGGGTCTAATTGAAAACCATCTATAGCAATTGAGCAAATCAGTCATTTCTAAATCATGACTGTGGTATACTAATACAAGCAATCGACCCAGATGAAATGTTCCGAAAAAGTGAAATATGCGTGGGATGCCTCATCAACGATCTGTACCTATCCAACCATGCCTATTTCAGTCTCGTCTATACCGTAGTTCCTGCTTTAGCAAAGCTCCACCAACGGTGGGTTGACTCTATCGTCTCAATCCAAGAACTGGATGGGCCGTCTCATGATCGTCAGGCTTACGCCCATATATTCACATACCCGTTCAAGGTTGCCGATCAAGAACTTGGCCAGTTCCCCTTCCTGATCCTGCAAATGAAGCATGATACGTTCAAATTGAGGCATGACAGTGGGGTGCAGTCTAACTAACACCTCTAATTCGGAGATAAGATTGGGGAGATATCTGTGCAGAACGTTGGTGATCTCGAGAGATTTGAGAGACGTGGGCAGTATATCAACCAGGGATCGCGGGGTAGCGTCAAAGCTATCCCTGATGTTTGCATCTGGGAGTCGTACGAGATTGGCATGGCGCATGGAGAGCTGTTCCAAAACAATGAACTCTCTGAAGGACCCGAACGGAAGATCATCACGTTGGAAATGACGATATATTCTCGTAGTCCTCTGCCAGGCACGGAATTCCCGGTATGAACGGTGAAACCTGAGAGAAAGCGCTTTGAGAGTTTCCTTACATGGGTGAAGACACTGGCGGAATGCGATAGGATCGAAGATATAAAAGGTGTGGGTACCAGACACTATGCCAATGTCCACCTGGAAACGCTCGAGCCTGCTGCACGCTGAGATCCAATCGCCCATGCGTTGGCAGTTGTAGGCCGGAGATAACACAATTTCAGTGACTGAACGAACTCGCGCGGCATTCTAGGCCGGAGGAATTCGACATCCCGAGGCTCATTCCAGCTGAAGGAGAGTCCCATATTTTGACGCCCTGGATTGTGCGAATAGCTGGCAGATGAAACAAGCCCATTGCAATAGGTGAATTATATTGGAGCAAGCTGAATTGGCCTTTGAGTGTGACCTTTTCCAATAGCGGGAACGGAGTGGTCCTGTTAAATGGTTGTCGGTGGAAGGCCGCTTTGTCCCAGATACTATTGAGTAACCCTTGATTATTTCCATAGGTCAGCGTGACGCTCTTCAGGTTATTTAAGCGAGTGAGTAGCGCTCCCAGCCAAGCCTCTTCGCAAAATTGTCATAGCTGCATATTCCGCGCACTTTTCTCATATTCGGATTCACTTATATCATCAACGATATGGTCAATGATCCAATCCCGCTGCGAGCAATAAGCCCCCGTGATGGACCGGGAATCCGGACGGAAACGCCACGCGAAGCCCAAATAAGCATGTTGAACAAGACGTGTCAAGTCAGGACGACACCACAAGTGCCGAATGAGTGCAAATTCATGTGTTCCTATGGAGGAAATGTCGAGAGATGAATAGACTAGAGAAGAGTCAAACAGCCACTGAAGTCGGCGAGAGCACTGGCTCAGGGCTAGTTTCGTGGACACATCGTCCTTGATGTCTTTCCCAACTAGGAAAATCAACTCGTTCGGTAGCCTATCCATTTTGGGGAGTGGGCGTTGTTTGATGTTCTGGCAAGAGTTCTTTATGTTGTCGACAACCGAAGGAGTTGTGGTCTGTTGGTAGGCAGCAGACTTGATCTCTCTGGTTACAGGCAACGAAAGAACAATTCGCTCATCATATGAACCGGAAGTAAAGTATTGAGCTCTGATATATGTTCAATGTAGCTACAGTTCTCGGCAACGACCTTACCGATAGACAATATGAAATGCACCCGCAGGTCAAGCCTGTAGAAGTGCAGACAGTGCTAACACCAATTCAACAATAAAAACAAATCGATTATATATCTATAAATAGAGAATTAAGGGTCATAGTAAACATCACATTATCCATACCACCAATACGTTGAACGACTATTGTTCCTGCAGGGCCACATGTGCAGTCAAATCCAAGAGTCGGTTGGAATATCCCCATTCGTTATCATACCACGCCATGATCTTGAAGAACTACATCGGCTGTCAGCTCAAACTGCATGAATGAGCAGGGATAATGGGTAAAGACGAACCTGGGGATTCAATTCTGTGCAAGCAGCGGCGTCTACGACTGCGCTGTTCGGGTTTCCCTTATAGTCGCTACTGACAAGCTCCTCGTCGCTGACATATAGGACACCTGCAAGACTGGACTTGGCTGCGCGGCGGAATGCGGCCAATATCTCCGCTAACGATGTGGGTTGTTCTGTGGTCACGGTCAAGTCGATCATGGAGACGTTGGGACTATCATTGATCAGGTTAGCCTTTACCCCTTGAACGGGAGTACTGGGAACATGATGACTTACGCTGGTACACGGATGGACACTCCAGTTACCTTGCCTGTCAGCTCAGGCAGGACAGTGGCAATGGCCTTTGCGGCACCGGTAGTAGTAGGGATGATGTTATCGAAGACACTGCGGCCTGTTGACGATTAGCATTGGTCCCCGTCTCAAATGCCCGATCTATGCAGGTCCACCTATTGAACTTACCCAGCCGACGGTTCTTCTTGCTATACCCATCCAGAACCTGCTGTGATTGGGTTGCGGCATGAACCGTAGTCAGAAGTCCCTGCACGATTCCGAACTGCTCGTGGAGTACCTTCAACACGGGAGTCACGCAGTTTGTGGTACAGCTGGCACAAGAAACTACTCGTCGGGCTTCATCGGCCATGTAATCATCTGAGTTGACTCCATACACATATGTTGGGGAGTCGGAGCTGGGAGCGGAAATGACGACCCGCTTGGCCTGGCCGTAGGTAACGTGCTGCAGGGCCAGGTCACGTTTGGTGAACTTGCCGGTGCATTCGACAACATAGTCCACACCGACGGCGCTCCAGTTGAGCTTCTGGAGGTCACGTTCAGAGGTGAGGACAATCTGGCGACCGTTGATGGTGATCAGGGTGTCGGATACGGCGTGGATGGAGATGTCGTCCGATAGTTTACCCATGCAGGAGTCATATCGGATGAGGTAGATGAGGTCTTGCACGGTCGTGCAGGTGTGGTTGATGGCAACAATCTGAAGGTCTGTTCTGGTAAGGGAGGCACGTAAGACGTTCCGACCTATTGGTTAAGATATCTGGGGTTAAAGAACTGAATGTTGACTGGACGTGGTTCGGGATAGCTGTGACCAACCTATACGGCCGAACCCGTTGATGCCGACTTTACAGATAGAAGGCTGGGTGGAGGCCACACTGTGAGGGAAGTCGCTGATGGAGGGAGCCATATTGTTATCTGAGAAGGTAGTAGTACTATAATGAAGGAGTTGAAGTTCGATGGGCAGATTGAATCCGAAGGACGATAGTTGTATATCGTAACCAAGCTATAACAGAAGCGGCTTGACAGTCAATAAATACTGATTCCCAGCGTCCACAATGTCTCACCACACCCTTCTCCCTTTTCTATATATACATCAATTCATTACGCAAGATCCATGATATCAGCGAAGTAGCATCATACCGTATACTTCTCCGTGAAGGCACTGACCAGTAATATTGCCGGGAATTCCCGGACGAAGCAATTGAAGGTCCACTCGTTGGGTCAATGTCCCGATGACCGGATATTTAATCGGCTTTCACTATTAGCAAAGCGAAACCACCAATTAGACGGCTCGCTGCGGCCTGCTCCAATTACCTGCCTGCCTGCCTTGCCGAGAAATATGCCGGTTCGACGATTTTATCTTGAGTTTTAACGAGGTACGCCGTGTCCTTGCAACCCTATCCCCCCAATAACCGAGCGTCAACGTGTATTGGACTACCCCAGCACGAACTTTCCGTCAAGACATACCGAGTCAAATTAACATGCATATTGTCATATCCCTAATGTCCCATGGATAGGTGGTTGGTTCAGGGTCTCTCCGCCTAGCCGGACGATTTCATGTCCGACGGAAATCGGAGCGGGAATGTCTTGTCCGATTACCGGCAGTATCTCTAGTCTCCACTTTGGGTCTGGTTCTCGATCTTTTGATGTTGGGTATATCTATTCGGCATTGACAACCCATGGCAAATTTTATTTTGAGGACGTGGGGGATTTACTGGTGTTGATTTGCTCTATCTCGCAATTTACACATTCGAAAACCATATCTGTAGCGGCGGGATACTGAGCTACTTGTAACGGCGGAAACCTATCTAGGTGCAACCTAGGGCAATCTGAATCTACGATTCAGATCGATGTGATCTCTTCGTCTTGTGGAATATATACCCTGGATATATCTTTTACAGCTACGTTGTTCATTATGGCTAATCCAGTTGCCATGATTCTGTCAATGGGTATAAACCTGTTGAGAGCGTCCAGAACTACCAAAACGTCCTGTGATGGACTACATGGCTCACACTACGAGGCATTTATTGGCCAGGAGAACAGCTACATGAAAAGTACTATAGATACTGATGATATTGCTGGAGAGATACTCTACCCTAGTCACTAATACCCGTCCGAAGTAGGGATACCTCTGGGTTCGTACGTTAAGGGATCGGTACTAGAAGAAAGGTATAACAATACCCAGCGCACGGACGTCTTATTGGTACAACTCAAAAGAACCCCTGTCCAATATGCTACAAGCTGAAAATGAACTCAAAAGCTACGGTTCCACACAGTGCAGTGATGTGATAGTTTTGTACGTCGCAGGCATGGTGGTCTCTCATTCAAGGCCAACAACTACGCATGAACGCTGGCACATCATTCTCCCCATGATACAAAGCTGGCGGCAATCCTCATTGACAAGGGGAATCCATGACCTCCGCCAAGAGGAAAAACAACAAAGAAGGTGGCGGCAGAGGTACGCCACGAACCAATCCGACTCCCATGTGTCCCAACTGACTGCAAGCAAGACCCTGCTAAGCTCTTGCATCCGTGACCAAGCCCTTGAATTTATGTTTAGCCTATTTGTTTTGCCGAGAGGTTCCCTAATCCAAGCGTTTTGCGTAGCCTCACTCTGTCAACCAACCCCCGGATTTTGTGACCCGTCAAGCGCGTGATAATTTGCGGGGGAAAAGTCTGGGGATGGCTGATCGCTGCGCTTCCATTCATTCTGAGAATGGCTATTCGTTGTTGACAGATGCTGGATTCACCAGGTGGAGCTGGGTCGATCCTCTTGGCTTCGAATGACCTGGATCTCCCTAAACTTTGTTTTTCCAGATGTTCGACTCGTGAGTCGAGATCCTCTAGAGCTTGACAGCATTCTTCCTACGGGTTACGAGTATAAATATGGCATGTACTATCCTGTGGTCCCGTAGGACTGGATGACTACGCGATCGATGTATATAAAAATCATTCCCAGTTTCCGAGGCCACACTAATCCATATTGATCTTTATATAGGCCATCAAGCTCTAGAGTCATGTCGTCTCCTTTCAAACCAGATATGAAGCCCCAGAGCTCTCCTCCTCTAGGCGAAAAAACACATAACACCTATATTGAAGATGTGCACGCCCTCAAGCCGACCGATGAGAAGGCGCAGGGAGATTACTCCGGTGCCACGGCCAAGACAGATCCGAGGGAGATTCGTCTTGTTCGAAAGCTGGACATGCGGATCATGCCTATTTTATGGGCGATGTATTTTATGAATTTTGTGAGTATCAGTCGAGTCCATGCAACTCCAACTTTATGCCACTAACATCGTTAAACTTCAGATTGACCGGAATGCCGTTCCTAATGCTCGGCTAAACGACCTCGAGAAGGATCTTGGTCTCATCGGTAACCAGTACAACACATGTATTTCCATTTTATTTGTCGGGTATGTTGGAAGTATGGCATCTCGCCTGATGGTGATTACTGACTACAACAGGTACCTGTTGATGCAAATTCCCTCCAACATGCTCATGTCTTCCACGAAGGTCCGGCCGTCCCTGTACATGAGTGTTTGTATGGCTAGCTGGGCACTTGTCTCGGCTTGCACAGCTTTGACGAAGAACTATGTCGGGCTCGTGATGGTTAGATTCTTCCTGGGTATCACCGAAGCCCCCTTCTACCCCGGTGCTCTCTTCCTCCTATCCGTCTTCTACACCCGTAAAGAAATCGCTCTTCGCATCTCAATCTTATACTCGGGTAATATCATCGCAACGGGTGTTGCAGGTCTCATCGCCGCAGCAACCTTCTCCACCTTGGACAAGACCCACGGTTTAGCAGGTTGGCAATGGCTCTTCATAATCGAAGGCGTAGTCACATTCGGAATCGCCGTACTGGGCCTTTTCATGCTTCCCGATCACCCGCTCACCACGCGTTGGCTGACTCCCGAAGAACGCCAACTAGCCCACGATCGCATCGTCAGGGACACAGTCAACAGCGAAGAATCCAAGGGCCCCATCGCGGGCTTGAAGCAAGCCTTCCGTGACCCACGTCTGTTCCTACTAGCCTTCATGCAAAACATGCACCTGAGTTCCTGCAGTTTCAACAACTTCTTCCCCACCGTCGTCGGAAGTCTGGGCTACAACAAAACAATCACTCTCGTTCTCACCTGTCCTCCATACATCGCGACATGTCTCGCTAGTATCGTGATAGGCATCACCTCCGGTCGGTATAACGAGCGCACCTGGCACATCACCGGCTGCATTGGTGCTGCGGTCATCGGGTTCATTATTTCCTGCGTGACGCTGAATACAGCCGCCCGATATATCTCTTGTTTTTTGTTCGCCAGTGGTGCCTATGCGGCTAATTCTGTCATTCTTGGTTGGGTCTCGGCGACGTTGGGACAGACACCCGAGAAGAAAGCGGCGTCCCTCTCTTTCATTAACGTTGTTGCGAATGCCTCGTATATCTATACGGCGTATCTCTATCCCAAGAGTGATGGGCCTCGTTATCTGACTGCCATGGCGTCAAATGCGGCTTTTGGATTCGCTGTCATAGCCAGTGCCTGGGCTTTGAGGTTCTGGCTGCAGAATACGAATAGGAAGATCAGGCGTGGTGTTCTTCCAGGTGCGGATGAAGGTTTGCTGTATGCGTACTGAGGATATTGCGTGAAGATTAAAGATGTCTTGATTTTTGTAGCGCGCAATGTTGACCCAGTGACTTTACCTATTCTCAGGAAGCTATTCAGAATAGTTAAGATACCAAGCATTTATGGGCAACGTGATACCCTGGCCATAGTAAAGCTAGCGGAGTCAAAAAAGCTCTCCACCACCTCTTCCTGAGGAGCCTTGGGGGCGATTTGGTAAATTCTCGAACTCCTGCAGGAGCTTATCTGTGTCACATCTCTGGGCGGATTTAAAGTCGACCAGAACTGTCTTGGAATCCGGCACAAGGAAATTAAATCGATTTATTTCACCGTGCCCGACCTTTTCAGGCGACGCAGCCGACTCGGTATCTGCCGGCAGGGCGCGAGATCCTGCAACTCGGCATGCCGTGCATTGGTGATACCTTCCATTAAAAGCCCGATCACCGGGCCATCGTCGGTCAAGTGTTCTAAAACGCAGAATAGGCGTCACATACCGAGATATCAAGAAGTGCTTAGTTCTTCGTGTTCGGTGAATGTTACTCAAGCTCTTGAGTCCAACAAATGACCTTCCTTGCCTTGTCCTTTGCACCAGCGTTAGCTCAAATGCTGTCGCTTCATCCTTTTCACATGTTTTCCCTGTATGATTTCTCCGCATTCCTCAAGGTGTTTGGGGAAGTTTTCTAGAGTGAACTGCCGACGCCAATGCAGTGGTCTATTGTAGTGATGCGGCTTGCAAGCGAGACAATGGACCCCCCGTTCCAGAGATTCGGTGCGAGGTTCTAATTATGGGGCACGAACCACCCCCATAAACCTCTTCGGGTTGGAGGAATGCCCATCGAACTCATCACCACATCTGGGCTGACGCGAAACTGTAGCATCTCTTTGCCTGCGTAGCAGTCTTTGTGATTCGCACTGCTCTAGTTTCTTGGGCATCAGCTTGGCGGCATGCTGCTCCATTTGTCGGACGGATCCGTATAGCGTGAGACCAGCTTGTCGGGCAGCGACACGATCGAATAATACATGTAGAGCACGGCATTTGGTTCCACGTGGTGAATATCGACCTGGCACACTTCTCATAGATGGCAATGCTTTTAGGTCATTGGAGCCAAGCGCAAACTTCCGCATAGCGTCCTTTCGTAGCAGGGGAGGGTAGTCTGTCCCCTCTGTAAAGCAGAGAAAACAAACACGGCGGCACGTAACGATGTAGAGATATCCGCCGAAGTCACCACACCTCTCGCATTCGGCTGTACATAGCGTCTCATAAAGCTCTCGGCATGAATACGAGCTTCCAGTACCAACGCTGAGACATCCACGAATTAAGTCTGGGGCATGAGTGATTATCTTACGATACTGAGGTATTGAGTCGACTGTCCACCTAGCTCGTCCATTGACGCGCTGAAAGGTCGTCAATATCAGAATGTCAAGATTGACAAGGATCGTATATAGCAGTTCTAATGGAAGTCGTTCCAACGCTCCAAGCGTACACCTCAAGATGCGAAATTGAACTCCATTATCCAGAGGACAAAGACTCTCAATATCCCCGAGGGTATTGTCCTTGATGTCAGCAAACGTGTAAAAGGGCGAAAGAGTAGTAACCTCCTGCGAGGAAGGAGCTTGGTTGGTAACATGATCCACGATCCGGCCGCCAATTTTGGTGACCTGCTTTATTGAGAAATTTCAATTACCAAGCATGTTCTCGAATGCAGGTCAGACGTCCAGCGGAGTTAGTTGAGTTAAAGCCCAGGATCCTGTCCTCCAAAGGAATTAGAAATACAGAGAACGGAATCTCACCGCATTGTGGTGCCTGACGGATAAGGCAGCGATATTTGCACTCTTTGCCTTTGCTTCCGGCTCCCATGACACTAGTCCATACTAGGCTAGTGTGGTTGAATAGGTAATGAAGCCCCAATCATTCAACATCGAAGATCTTGAGAGGGTAATTTATAGTGCTATTTCCTGGTTGAAAACATCCCTATACTCTTGTCAACTTGTAATTCTGGTGCTGTCTGGTATCTGTCTGAAGTAGGAACGAAGAGGTTAGAAAGAGCCATGGATGGTAGCTTGTTCCTACAGTGATCTCAAATTGTGTATAACAACCACATATATATATTTTTCATGTCTCCTTACGAGGCACTAAATCTTTAATTGAAATAGACTATATAACTCTTACCACCGTTCAAATACGTCCTACTAAACAGATATTAATTTCTGGAGTTCAAATCTTGTGCAATGATTTTGCAATAACTTTTAAATCGTCGTCCCATTTTGATCACCATAATTGTACAGAGTAATTCAAACAGTTTTCCACGTGAGATCTAAAGATGACAGAACCAAGAGAAGTTGAGTGGAAATAGAATTATAAAAAAGAAAGTAAAAATAAAAATAAGAAAATAGAAAGACAAAAAGAAGGAAAGAAGGAAGGCTAGAAAACAGCTAAGATGATTATAGGCATAGCCCCGGTAAAGATATTAATCTCTGCATATTAAAAATTATCGGGAAGACTAGGAGAATCCTACGATTTCCCGCGGTAAACTGGATACTCCTGCAGCACAGACTTAGTTCCGAGCCTTGTACACGTACACTTCACGCTAAAAGTGAAGATACATGACTCCAGTAAGATGCAATCCCTGCGAGAACTGACCTACCGTCATCTAGAATATCTTCATGCTAATGCATACTCAGAGCACGGAGTCTAGCCGGATTGCAACGGGCGAAGAAATCGGGAAGCGTTGGTTGATTGGCTCGATGTATTTCGTCGGATCGATGAGCAAATGCACAAAATCAAGAGTAGTTGCATGCTAGCCGGCAATGAGCCTTCGGAGGGTTAGAGCCCCGAGGAGATCATATACATTTTCTCTCGGAGGTACCCTTCCGACCGCATCTTAGGCTCTCCTGGGCTCGAGGGAAACGCTACCTTCTGTTCTTGGGTTTTCAAGGGACGACAGGAGAACGCCCTAACAGTAAGAGAGAGACAAGCTCGAGGGCCTCGACGATATGCTTGGCCTCCTCATCAACAATGCCGGTGATGTAGGGGACATCATTATGGGCTCAGGTCATGATTTCGGCAATATCCTCCTCAACAATTTGGCGACCGATGGCACCAACGCGATTTATGACGGCATTGGGCTTCTGGGCGTTTCTAGTTCACTTGGGGGAAGGTTCCACTTGAGGATACTAGCAGCTGTGGAGATGTTCTTAGCCATGAAGATCTCGAAGATCCTGCTATTCTTGATGATACCGACAGAAATGAGAGCCTGGAGGGTCAGCCTTGAAATTGTCACCTCCCAACTGATACAATGGGATTGATCCAGCACTGGTACGAACATCTAAGATTCTCAATTTTGCCTCCCGAGCATCTAGTTAGACTCCTCGGACGGCAGCCGATGTCTAAGGTGCGCATTGTTCTTATTTCCCGTGAACATGCTTTGTCTCGTATGGATAGGATGAGAGCATACACATAGGCCTACAGCCGACGATGTTTATAGCCTAAACTAGCAAGCTTAACGGCCCGCAGCGTTTGTCTCTAGAAAAATCACGCAGAGGGTGGCGGACATTGATGTGTCGGTTCTTATTATCCCCGATGTTCTCATTTGCTTAACCTGTTCTATGTTAGTGAGCTGACGTTCTCATACCAAGCTCCACTTAGTCTCCTCAATTGAAAGGTTGATTTCTAGACTATCCGGGCAACGAGTGGCAAGCGCACTGTGTCCCCAATAGGACTAACTCATGCATACTAGACAGGGTATATTTAATTAATATGGACTTAGCTTGAAAGAAGTCCCATGTCTGTGACCTCAAGAAGGATGGATATGCGCCGGAAAAAAAAAATTAAAACTTAAGAATCACAGCAATACCATAAAGTCTCTCTCTGATAATATCGTCAACTAATTGTGGATTTATCATGGATTATCGAATGTTTTGGTGTACGGGTTGTATGAAGTCCAACAAGTCTGGCCCCCCGGATCTGGGCTATCGGGTTCGGCTCCCGAGCCGTAGAGAGACACCTAAACGGGAGAGCAGAAAAGCTGAACACTAAGAGAATACCTAGTAGACTCACCGGCTCTTGAAGAGGGAGAATGTACCGTAGGAGGACCACGGGTCGGGTTCGGAGAGGACGAAAAAACGACCCACAGTCTCCCCGCAAACACGACGGCCCCCATATCGCGGGGTTTGGGGCTTCACGATGCACGAACTAGACACGATACTTGACCAATTCCTAATCCCCCCAACGAGACTCGAGAATGACGTGCCCGCATCCCCATACCTTTCTCCAGATGCTGGGTATAAGAAGGCTTAGCGTTCAGCTTGGCCTGACAAAATGTGAACGACCATTTCTCCACTCACACCTTCAATATGGATCGTCTATCTGAACGAAGTATTCCAAATGACCCCATTGATGACATGCAAAACCATGCTCCGAAGAAGGAGGAAGTCTGGGAGGAGGTAACTCACGACGCCGTCTTTGGAGAAATATCTGAGGAAGGCCCTAATTATCGCAATGTATGTATTTCGCACAGTTCACAAGGAATACAAAAAGTCGCTGAAACTGACCAATGGCGAGGTGGGCTTCTTTGGCACCGTCATTCTTATGATGAAGACCCAGATTGGCTTGGGTGTTCTGTCTATACCGACTGCTTTCGATACCCTAGGCATGGTGCCCGGTGTGATTGTTCTATGTGCTGTTGCTGTTATCACCACATGGTCTGCCTACGTCGTTGGCACGTTTAAGCTTCGCCACCGTGAAATATATGGAATCGATGATGCAGGAGCTTTAATACTTGGTCCAACTGGGCGTGTTATTCTTGCAACTGCATTTTGTCTCTGTAGGTGGAGTGCATCAGCCATGAATAGAAGTGAAACACTGACTTGTGTTATGGATTACATCTTTAATGCCGGCTCTGGTATTCTAGGGATCTCAATCGGCTTCAATGCAGTCTCCACCCATGCCCTCTGCACGGCTGTGTTTGTGGTAATTGCGGCTATTCCAGGCTTTCTGTTTAGTAGTATTCGGACCCTGGGCAAGATTACCTGGCTCGCATGGGTCGGATTGCCATGCATTCTTACTGCAAGTATGTTCGTTCTTTGCATATCTGTTGTCAGATCAAAGGCAACAAAATCAGAGTCTAACGTATCCTAGTTCTGATTGTTACTATCGCCGTTGGCGTTCAAGATCGTCCTGCAGCTGCACCGCCTGGCGAGTGGGTTTCCGACTTTAAAGTCGTTGGCAATCCAGGCTTCACCAAGGGCATTACTGCCGTATCTGCCATCGTTTTTGCATTCTCTGGCACACCGGGTTTCTTTTCCATTGTGTCCGAAATGCGCGAGCCTCGTCAGTTCACAAAGGCTGTGATGGCTTGCCAGGCCGGTGTAACTATTATCTACATTGTCATTGGCGTCGTGGTCTACTACTACTGTGGATCGTATGTCTCGTCACCAGCCCTGGGCTCTGCCGGTGGAATGGTGAAGAAAATTTCCTACGGATTCGCACTGCCCGGTTTGATTGTTACCTTAACAATTGTTTCTCATGTAAGGCTTCACCAAACCAACTTTTCTGGGCTACATTGACATAAGATACTTTGTTCCAGATACCCGCAAAGTACATCTTCCTCCACCTCCTCCGTGGCTCAAAGCACTTGACCAGCAACACACCAACACACTGGATCTGCTGGCTGAGCTGTACCTTTGGCATTGCCGTCATTGCCTATATCATTGCTAGTGTGATCCCTGTCTTCGACTCGCTGGTCTCCTTGATCGGTGCGCTACTTGGCCCACTCATGTGTTTCCAGACGATGGGTGGCATGTGGCTCTACGATAATTGGGCAACTCCAGCCAGGACCAAGAAATGGTATTTCATGTGCTGCTTCAGCATCTTCGTGATCCTCTCCGGAACCTTTCTTATGGTTGCCGGAACGTACGGGTCGGTGGTTGGCATTATTGATACATACAACTCGAGTGGAGGCTCAGCCGCTTTCTCCTGTGCGGATAACTCGAACTCTGTGTGAAATCTATGGTTTAACGGTGTATTAATAAAGAATGATACATATATAGATCGATTGATAGATGGAAATATAGACTATGTCAGGCTCCTTGTCCAGTTCCCGAGGCTAAGGTCGCCTCTGCTACAGAGAATAGGGACATGCGATAGAGTATTAACGATTGCTCTGGATATTATTCTATTCAAACAATGCAGTTAACTTAAAGAATAAAACACAACACTCGTTGCCGACCGACAGATAAAGTTAAGGAGTGGACCGAATCTCGGGACAGTCGGGTTCAAAACCTCCACGGGTTCCAATTAATAGTTGTGGGGAAGGCGATGAAATGGCCACTCTTCGGCTTTCTTGCGCCTCTTCTTCCCCATCCCCCACAAGTGCGACGGACTAAGCTCGCTCCCCAAAATTTATTCCTTCATAGTAACCCCCCCGGAACAGGGTCTCATGCATTATGGTCGCCGAGAGTAGACCCGAGCCTCGCAAGGCTAGGCGGACTGCAAACGCGTAAGAAGCGACCCTTATGTCCTCGCATTATAGACTAGAGCTGATCCCTAGGGTGCTCCCAGTTGTGTTTCTTGTCGGCAGAGCAAAATTAAATGTTCGGGAACGGATCCGTGCAATAATTGCCAACGTCGCAAGGTGCGCTGTGTCTTTACCGAACCACCCAACAAGGTCGTCGTGACGGAAAGGTACGTCTATGATGTACTCAATGCGAGTTGCCCTGCTAACTCTTAATTTAGCTATCTGCAGCAGTTACGGCGGGAGGCGTATGAGAAGTCTCATTCTCAGGGTATGAAGCGGTCGTCGGAGACTGCGTTCACACCGGAAGTGGAACCCGAGGGTATAAGATCTCGAAACCATGCGCCTCTGGTGAACGCCACTGAATTGATCTAGAAGCTACAGGGTCTGAAGAGCCCGCTGTCCACTCTATACCAAGAATCGACCATGCGCGCAGTATCTGGACTAGTCCGTTCACTTTGCCGTCTAAAACGATCAAAAATACCCACCGGAATAAGCGGAGTTGGAGTAGGTATACCGTCTCACGGAAGTTGATATTGGCCCGAGCGCAGGTTTTGAAATCGCCAAAAGGAAAAGAAAGGAAACATGTAGAAGACGGGGGATAGACTGGGCTTTGGAACTAGAAGATGAATGAGCGCTAACCGTGTCGCATAGTCTGGCTGGCTCCTTCATCCATGTGGTCATTTACGGCGCGACTGACGCTAATGATGGCCGATAAACTCAACCTGGAATCGCATAGTGCCCCGAACCTCATCGACCGAGACATCTACCTATTGCACTGGCGACCGGCAGCGCCGGATGACCAGCCTGATATCCATGGACTGCCTTCTCTGGACCATGCTCTTTACTTGTTGAACACGGTGATGTTCTACATGGGTCAGAACTATTTCTTGTTTGAAGAGAAGGCCTTTCTGGGCCATCTCCACGAGTTCTACTATGGGGATCCGCTCCAAAAGGCCGTGGAATACAAGTTATGGTTCGTCCAATACCTCCTGGTGTTGGCGTTCGGAAGCGCCTTTGTAGGACAGCCGACCAAAAACACTAGGGAACCCCCGGGAGCAAAATACTTCATACGCGCAATGTCCCTCATGCCCGAGCATTCAACCTTGTGGAAGGACAGTCTGCTAGCCATCGAGGTGCTGGGCCTCGCAGGACTATATCTGTATTCCATTGATCACCGAGAGTCCGCTCATGTATATGTAAGTTTAATACCACTGCGTGATCACAAATAGTGGACCTGCTGACAGGTGCAGTTGGGCCAAGCCATACGCATCGCCCATTTAGAGGGAATGCATACGCAACTCCCAGAAGAGGAGCTAGGGATCGACACAGTCACCCGCTGTCATAACCTATGGTGGACTCTCTACCTTATGGACCGACATTTCTCGGCATCGCTTGGGTTACCGATGATTACCCAGGATAATGATATTACAACCTTGGTCAATCCGCCAACGGCCTTCTCGCGCAATGCAACACTCAGTCTTCGGGTCCGACTGTCTCAAATGCTGTCATTTATTCTTTCTTGTAAGCCTCATCTCTGATAGATAGGTTGTCCTCTTCCGTTATCGCTCACAATAACATCAAAAGCAATCTACAAGACCGAGGAAACCCGGCTTGGCATCTTCCTCGAGCAGACGAGGTCGATTCTACACACCATGGCTGGACTGGCCCAGGAGATTGAAAATGCGGTGTCTATACAGCTCCAGAAGCCGCTCCACCGGGTTCCCAGAGAAACACGTCTCATCATGTTGATATATCACCAGGTGCGCATTGCGATATTGTTATACGCAATTCTTTCTTTTTGCTAACGCGCGTCACTATCTAGTGTGTCATTGTTGCGACGCGCCCGCTCCTGCTGTCCGTCCTCAAGGAACGGCTGGAGAAGTTGGGGCATGGCGAAGAAGATTGGCAAAGCTTGCTCTCTGCCACAGAAGCCCTGATCGCGACTGGGATCAAGTCAGCAGCAAAGACACTGCAACTCCTGACGGATGAAGATGATCTTTTGGGTAAATAGTTACCCTTTCCATACACAGTACTCCCGTCACTAAGAAGTCAACAGAGGCATTTCTACCCTTTGACCTAGAATACACATATGGTGCCGCAATGCACCTCATGATGGCACATACTCTTTTCCCAGGAGCCGTGGAAGACTATTCCCTCAACCAGGTGCATTCCATTCTGGACGGGATGATCTACAAAGGCAACCAGGTGGCGGCCGCACGAAAGGCTGAGTTAACGCATCTCGAGTACTTATTCCAAGAACTGGCTACGCGGATTGAGCGGCGCGGTCTTCAAACTCTCACTCTACACAGCCTACCGCAGGATGAGCATGCGGTGGAAAATCCCTCGCACCAGCCGGACAATCATTTGCTGCCAGTTCCCGAGCCCACTCTACCGATAGATGGGGACCCGGAGCTCTTACCCTCGGATCTCCGACCGACGGCTAGTAACATGGAATGCCTGGATAGTCTGGGGATTTCATCTTACGAGTTCTTTTCCATTGTCGCGCAGATTGGTCATCACGAGTCGTATAGTCTGCTAGATCCTAGAGAGACATAGAAACTATCCCAATGAAAGTCATGATCCGTTACGATCCCGATAGTCGCCTGCGCCATCCGATTTTATAATTATTGGGCACTAGTAATGCGCAGTGCTTGCCCACAGTAGTTCACCTTCGTACGCCCAACGTAGGTCTCACTTCCGTAGGGTTACTAGAGACCTCACCCCCTCTTAAAAGAACACTTTAGTACTGAGGGTTCTCATTTCCATGCCTATTAATCAGTAGTGAATATTCTGTGAATGATTGATGGCGAAAATAAGCCCACACTATCCCCGGAGTAGTAGTCCCCATACATATGGCCGACCCCAGAACCACCTCGGGACCTGGATCCACCAACCCGTGCTCCTCGTGACACCTAGCCCTATCCACACCCTCAGGGCTCGGCTTCTTTCTGTGGGCTTTTAGTGCGTCAAGTAGATCCGAGGAGATGCCGACGATGGAGCGGTTAGACTTGGACCTGAATGTCATCTTTACACCCAGTGATACATTCCAGAAAAAGTGTCGCAAGAATATTAGGACGAGCTAGTTCTACCTTTCTGGTGGAGAGTTCAGCCATGCGAGAGCACATAGCAGCGTGCCATGAACGAGGCCTCTACTGTATGGCTCAGTGGAAGTATAGTCTATGAACAAATGATTTCTTGAACATCTCACAACGTTCTCATCCTTCTTCCATGTTACAAACACATCACTCTCATTGGTCAGAGGAGGCTGTTAAACCAAACATAGATTCATTAAGCGAAACAGAAAACCTCATAAAACCCATAAATCTAAAACAAAACTCTATCGGAATATGTCTATCCGTCTATCAATCCCAATCCCAAACACAAACCAGACAAAAGTATTTACACAACATCAAACTCAACCGAGCCCCAGCCTTCAAAAGTACAGTTCCAATGCCCAGCCTCCGTCATCGGCACAGCCTGCAAACAACTGCCAGGAAGAATAACCTGTCCAGGCTGGAACTCAATATCATAAGCCGCCAACCGATTCACCAACCACGCGACAGCCGAGATAGGATTTCCCAGGACATTCGCCGTATTGCCATCCATAACCTGCTTATCATTAAACCGCAGAACACCCCGCGTATCCCTCAACGTAAGCTCAGTAAGCTTCCTGGGCGTACCACCCAGGATAACAGCGCCCGTAGATCCATTATCGGCCAGGGTATCCGCAAGGCCAATGTTCCAGTTCTGGACCCGGGAGTCAATGATCTCAATTGCGGGGATGGCGTAGTCAATGGCGTTAATCACATCGGCAACAGTCACATTGGGCCCCTTGAGTGGTCCGCGCAGGACAAATGCCGGTTCGAGTTCCACGTAGGGCTTGATGTAGTCCTTGAGACGGATTGTGGTGCTTTCGTAAACGAAGGTGCTGGCCAGGAGGAAGCCGTAATCGGGGTGGTCGAGTCCGAAAGCATCTTGCATTACTTTGGCGATGTTGCCGAGCTTGTAGCCCACTAGACGGTCACCGTTCTTAACGGCGTGCTCCGTGCTGATTTGTTGGATTTTGAACCCGTCTTCGGCGTCAAGCGTGGGCCATGTCTTGCTGGGGGGTTGGATTGGGGTTTGGTTTGCCCGCGCAGTGCGCAGGGCCAGGGAGACTTCTTGGAGTTCGGATTCTTTGGCGGGCATTTTGATTGCTGAAGGGATGGTTCGGTATTATTGATAGAGGAATTGGCACGGTTTTGTTTTTGGAGTGGTACGCACAACCTGCCCGCAATAGTGATCAATGAATGAAATAAAACGATGTACGATTATGCCTTCCAGAAGTACACACTCGCAGATAAGTATATATATATATATCTGCACGATTTGTATAGAACGAAGCAAGTGATTCGAGCGGCCTCGGATCAAAGATCGGATCAATGCCGCTTACCGACCCTATCTCGGGTTCTAAAGCCGACGACACAACCCACGCGCTTCGGCATACGTCAATATTTTGCAGTCAAGTGATGCACGTCAACTTGGCCTGCATTGCATCTCTAAGATTCTAGGCTTCGGGGAACTTTTTACCGTATGTGGTTAATTCATGTACGGTGAGTAGACTAGTAGTATAGCTTCAATTGCAGGAAGGATGTTCACGAGGACAAGGTGTGTGTGGTGTACGTTTATGTGAACAGGGGGCGGACTCTTTATTTCTGATCTGGAAATATATTTTTTTATCTTTAATGTAAGAAGACATACTTTGGAAATTGGATAACAAAGCAACGTAAAACGGCATCGTAATCAACTGTATATTTAGCTAAAACCATTATGCCTAATCTGTGTAGAAACTACAATTAAGGAAGCACAGAACTTCAACTCAATCAACTATCTAGACTCTATCGGTAGAAAAGTCTGGAGATGAGTGGTTTGATATAGGTAGCTTTATAGAAAGACTCAAGAGTCCACGATAGCCTTCGCGAGGCCCAGGGAAGCAGAAAATTCAGGAAATAAACATCTAGTGGCATAGTCAATCGTTATATGAGATGCGAAACAGATACGATATGTGGTTAAATATCACAGGATATATATAAGTGTGCAGTATGTCAAAGAGGTAGGAATAACGACACCATAGTACAGATCAGGAGCTGATTTGCTCTAGTCAAGTCTGCAAGCCATCCTAGCCAATTGCACAGAGCGAGGAATCAAGAGAGCTAAGCTCAAATATTGTGTTAATGTGGGAAGGGATTTTCATAGTTTAACTCTATTATTGAATTTCATCAAACTTCTGAAGACTGCAATACATTGAGTAAAGAAAAAATCGCAAAAGTACCATGCCGCTAACATTCAACTTGCAAAAACATGACCAACGAACCCAAATGCCCACAAACCATCATACACATCTCAGTAGTTTAAAAGATTAGTCGATTTCAATGATCTCCTCCAACATCGACTCCAGGAAGGACTTCTGTTCCTTCAAGAACTGCCGCATATCAGCAATATCAAATGGCCGGTTGGCCACGACACGGCGGCGCTCCTCCTTCTGCTTAAGGCGAAGACGCTCCTCCAAAAGCTCCAGACGGTACTCGGTGTATTGGGTGTAGAGCTCGGAAATGTTGCTGATACCACGGACACCGACCAGGACAGTCTCATCGCGGACCATGGGGTCCTTGGGACGGAAGCAAGTGACCATGCTAATCCGCTCACGACCGCCGAGGGCCTTCAATGCCTGATGCTCGATGTACCGTCCCTGCAGAACAACGGCAGTTCCCTACAAATTGAGTTAGTCTGCGTTCGAGAAATATGTCCGGTGAAATCCTATCACATACCATTGCTGGGCCCCGGACTTTCATAATGTCACCGGAAGGTGTGCGCAAAGCTGTTTCACCACCAACCATGCCAGTGCAGTCAGAGAGCATAGTCACACAGACAAAGGGGAAGCTGTCATAGTGCCAAGCAACGGCGGGCAGCTCATCGTTGGACGGGACCTGCTGTTCCGGCACAGGTTGGTCGGGGTTGCTGTTGACAGAGATATTAATGTTGGCGATTTCGAAGTCGACGGAAGGGATGAGGTCGATGCCGGCCACCTCGGAGATGCGGCGGAGAACTTCAGGGTCGTTCCATGCAGCGTAGGTGAAGGGAGCGCGTCTAGTAAAGTTAGTCAAAGCCGCTAAAATCGCCAAGCGTCAGTAGAACGTACGCTGGGCCCATGCCGCGGACCATGTGCTTATTGAAAGTAGACGAATACTGGCAGTCAGCCAGGACTTCATCACTGAAGATCTCTGCCCTCATCTGCTTGATGGCCTCCTCGTTAAAGAGGTTGAAGGGGTCCGAGCCGGCGTGAGGGGAGATGCCCTGCCCTTCCAGGCCGATCTCCTCCATGGTGTAGATGCGCTTCGGGGGTTGGAAGTTGAGATGCTTGGCTGCGTCGAAGGTGTCCTTCTTAGCGATGCGAGCACCGTCGATAAGGGACTGGGGAAGCGTGCTGGAAGGCCGTGTAGCCTTCTTGGTGGCCGGCCCGATGACGACGGGCGGCTCTGGGGCGATGAGTGCTGCAGGTGCCATTGTTTTATTGGAAGGAAGTGAAGTTTCTTTGAAAGGCGTGCTTTGCGTTTGATAGGAGGTTATAGTATTGAAGGATGTTGTTTTGTTGAACTGAACGTGCTAGATGAATTGCGCCCTTATTTGTATGTCTTCTGGCATGGCAAGACTTGGTTCACGCCCCCAGGTTCGAATGGGAAAGGTCACGAGGCACTCGGCTCGGGGATCGGATGAGGGTATTCAGATTATCCCAAAACGGTACACTTTTCCACCACGAAACTTGGTAGTGCTAGCGATCCCGAGAGCCAAGCTTTCCAGAAACTCGGATGTGCAAAAGAACCCTCGCCCTGTACACACCAGTCAGTTTCCTGTTAGAAGCGCCTCTGCCTTTCAAGGATCGGGTTCTGTTTCCGAGGAACCAAGGAGCGAAACAGCCACCGCCCCACCCCCAACATCTCCAATAGAGAGCCCTGCACTCACAAGATCAGCTCGGCTCGAACTTTGAATAGCTCTTTCGGCTCGGGTTCAGTGTATATCATGGGTGTCCCACCCCCAGGGGGCGTGTCAGGACATCGGTTAGGATAAACTGGGGCGTGAAGCCCCGTGGGGACTCCAGACTATACTGCTCTTCCCGATTTTCAAGCAAGTAGCACTTCGGCGGCTGCCCGGCATTGAATGCAATTCTTCCCCGTGGGGCTATCCTCACGACATGTCCACCTACTGGTCAGTGTGGAGCTCGCCGAACCCTGCATCCGATTTTCCAGTCAATAGCCAAACCCGAGCCCTAGCTACTAGAACCCAATTACTAACATGAAAAGCCTCTACCCAAGCATTCTGAAATAACAAATCCCATGTGACCATCACTAGCTAGGGGCGGGGCGGCCCACTTCGCATATCCAAGGGCATATTCTCTCATCTGAAGTTGAAGCTGAGAAATAGAATCTAACCGGGTATTATTTAGAAATATTCGGCCTCTAGGGATTAGGCATCTGGGACTTCGACCTAATGATATCGTGCCTGACGCTATACTAGAACGAGTCCCCATTAACTTGCACAAGCGCAAGCGGCAAACTCAACCACACGGTAGAATCTAGGCTGGGGGTTCCCATCCGATGGCTTTTCAAGTAGATGAGCATACAAAACCATTAAAGATAGTAAGGGCTGTTTTCTAACAATATGGGCCGGTACAATTTCAGCTGCACGTCCCATGTGTTTATCAGAGAAGATTTGCTAAATGGGGTTTCCTACGATAATAAGCCACTTGTTCCAAGCACCTATGTGCCGTTGTCCACATTTCAAAGAACATACCTGTTTGTAGAATGCATTGCCGCCGCTCTTCTTTCTCGTACCTTCAGAAAAGGCTTCTCGCCGTAGTTGACCCGCACAAGGCACTAAGAAGACGTAAAATACCTGTTCATGATATTGTAGAACTCCGTATCATCAGCAACTATCCCTCATTCTACATCAGCCGGTTTCTGGACGTTGTCGTAATTCCAGCAGTCCAAGCCCTGAAGTCGGTGGTCTTGCTAGAACCATCGTGATGAATGCATATTCAGAACAAAACTCAGAAGAAAGACCGGATCACTGAATGTCTGATTTCAGGAAGTAATGTTGGAGGGCTCTCAAACGCTGCATGTTTACTGCGCTATATACTGATCACGTGGCTATTTGTGCAATTTCTGTCAACCCTTATACCGTCTATGTTCCAATATTCGACCCAGTATATATCTTTGCAAAGGGGAAGGTACTGCTTGTAGATACCGTGTGCTATTTCTAGGTGACTCGGCTACTGTAAGTACACTTTTAAGGATAAAATTACAGAGTGTCTCGATACAGAATCGAAGAATATAGCTCAGGATGCCTTCACTGGACAGGCAAACTTTGGACTCTGGAACAAAACAGAGCATCACATGGTTGAACCGATCTTTGTTTCTGGGCTGTGGCATCAGCCGTCGGTCCTGTCTTCCGGCAGAGTATAGAATGGAAGGCCTTGACTGGTGAACTTCCACCTGGAACGAAGGAATCCCGTTGTTCCCCATGGATCCTTTGTGTGAGCGTCTCATCCTACCTCGGGAACCTCTGCCGAATCCGAAGAATGCGAGACTGAATGGATCACATCAGGGAGACTTTTAGGCATCCATGCTGTTGGCTTCGTAGTCGGGAAGGTACATATAAATGATATCTTGAGGAGGGGCTGATAACTACATCGATCTACTTGACTTTCGATTCCTATAACTTCTGTGTTCTGTTTCTCTCCCTACTACGCAGTTCAACTCTCTCCAACTTGTCACCCATAGAATTACAAACTTGCCTCTCTTGCTCTAGCGGACAGATACCGAGAATCTTCCGAACGGCCCCTATTGCCTCACCTCCATCAGTATCCACCTATCCTAATTCGATTGGCCTGGTTTCTCTTCGGATCTTACACAATGCACCCTACCATTACTCTCCAAAACACTGCTCGGGCTTCTCGTATCCGGGCTCTTGGTCAGCATTTTGTCACCCGTATGGACTCTCCATTGACATAACGTTGGGATGCGCTAATTGGAAAATTCTGTTTAGTCTCGGTTGGCCACCAGCCTCGATCCATCTCTATGTCGTCCGCAAGCAGCTCTTATGACTCTTTTGCCGCCTATCGCACTAGGGCCTATCAGCATGGCCCACTTCACCAGGCGTCCCTTATGCGCCGCTTCGTGAATTCGGGCTCTGGTACCTCTCGGAAGCCCATCAACCCCAGCCGAGAATACATCGACCGCGTGGATTTCTCCTCACAGACCCACCACCTTCCATACACAGAAGCGGAAATTGACGCTATCGAGTCTGGCAGTGCCACCCTCCTCTCTTAACTTCCTGTTATTTTGTATAGACAGGAACGCTTAATGGTGGCCCAGGAGGTTCAGGTGTTATTTGGACACTTTGAAGCTCTGACTATTCCATTCACCTCGGATTCATGAAGTAATTCAAGGGTCAGGCTACACTCTTTCAAGGCCTGTGATATACAACAGTTTCAGCATGAAGGATATACGGTACATTCGTGGTTTTCTGTTCTTGTTCCTTTCTTTGGCTCAGGGAGGCGTGGTGTCTTTGTTGTCTATCTGCACAGCCAGGCGTCGGCGGTTCATATTTCTCTCTTGGCGTTATTACCAATTTGTCTAAGTGTCATGCGAATCAGTATTACATATTAGTGCTCAACATTGGAGTATACAGTCATTTATATATCGATCTTCTTCTGGTTGCTTATCCATTAGTCGCTACTTCCTAGGTTCGTTGTTTCACCTGGTTTTAAGCAAGCCGAGTGCGAAGCATCAACGCCTCAACTTCACAATCCTTGGTGCCGAAAGAAAGGATCAGTAGATGTAATAGAAGGATTCCTCCTTTTGCTTTAGAAGCCAAGGATCTTCACTGTTAGCGTCTCACAACTAAATTTCTGCTTTCAGCTGAACTGGAAAAACAGAACCCTTGCTTAACTAGGGCAATTAATATAGTGTTCCTGACTTCGGTACTTCATTACAACTGACAATATCACAATACTGCCCAGCAATTCTGGAATGAGAGAAAGACATCACGCTAGATAGGAGTTCACCTTGGTACTGGATCACACTATAAATATTTCCCCTTTGGGTTTGTCTTTCCCTAAATCCACGTACATTCCCAGCCCTTCGACATCCCCCATATTTCAAACTCTAGTCTCCTCTTATCGGGTTCAACGCCTCGAATAGACATTAATCCAAAATGAAGGTCCTCTATTTCCTCGCCTTTCTCCTTTCTTACCTTGTCCTTGTTTCTAGTCTCCCAGTTGAGGGCGACGAGGACTTACCTACTGCCGCTGAGAAAGATAATGCGTTCGCCCCAGGAGAGACCAAAAAGAAGCTGCACCTTCTGCAGACCCGAACAGCGGGTGTGGTTACTATTATTGCCCTACTCGAGTCTGCCGTGCTAAATAGTAATAATGATAGGTTTTGCTGTTCGTATGACCGTTCCGAGGTGTGCAATGTTGAAATGTAGTGACGCGATGGAGCATTGACGATTGACAGGGGTATTTTGAATGGCTTTAAAGGTCGTGGAAGAGGCTTAGACATGCTCGCAATACTATCAACGGGTTTACCTCCGTTGTGGCTCCCCATGGTGATAATGAAACGTGAGGCCTTGTTTCGCTTCAAGGATCTCGGGTTTTAGTTGTTGTGTCTCTAATTATTTATTTTCATGGTCTTAGTTCCATTTATGTCTAGTAACGTGCATGCATTCTTGTCTTAGTTGAGGTCTACTGCATGTACTGTTGGGCAACCATTAGATGTAGACTTGTAGTTACATTCGATTTACAGCGGTTGGGCAGGTAGCTTTGGCAAGTGCGTAATCTACCGTAGGTAATATCTAGCCGGATCGAAGAACTAGAAAGATATAGGAGGAGTGATAGCATCCCCTACAAGTGACCCTCTACAGGCCCATTATAATCAGCTAGCAAAATATCGAATTAACCAGTCACCGACCGCTATCGGACATATATAACAGGTCCCTAGCTCCTCACAGGTTGGGGCCATCATTGCCAGGAGTCCGACACATTTCAGTAAGTTAAGAATAATATGGTGCTCGCTGTGTTAAAGGCGATAAGGGTGTACTGCCTCCCATTTTGTCCGACTGTGCATGAATAGGTCGTGAATACTTCTAATCCATTCCATTGGCTGAAATGCAATCATCCCTCTTGCCAACAAATCATATTGCGTGGCAGGAGTTGCTCTAGCAAGATGTGTCTGAGATGTACATGAGTTTCCCTAAGTATATCCCGGTTCAAATCCAGGATAATATGAGGTGTTGTGGATAACTTCGGCAATAGGAGCCAAATTATAACTGGGGATCCTCGCAGGAGGTATGCTACGTTTCTCAATCATCGCACGGTCAGATTGGTGATGTTGTATGTAGTACTACCCAATTTAAGAAGTCCCACCATGTCCACGTTTTCAGTCTCTTGATGGAATCATGGGAACAATGATATTACGTCGAGTGCTTCATATCCCGACTGGCAGACTGCATATGATATCTTTCATGGCTGTCGTGGAATCCAGAAGCCAAGTGGCTGCCCAGAGACTAGTTCAAGCCTGCGATAACTTGAAAAGACATGGCAAGGTAGATGGTGTTGTGGCAAACTTCAGTGGTTGCCCCTGCTTTGTCGATTGCTGCCATATCCTATGCTCCCGCCTAAGAACGGATGTCGTTGTATACAACCCTACTTCTCTCAAAACACTGAGTACCAAGTAACTCCCACGCAACGTTCGAGGAAAGTCACAGACTAATCGGTACTGATTTACGAGGTTTGTACTTTTCATTGTCCACATTTTCATCCACTTACTGAGGGGTTGTTCGGCAGCCCCGCGAGGTTGTAACTCGCATCCCACCTTCGGACCGATATGTACGGCTGCATGCAGCTGCGACTAGTCATTCGGGCCACTGCATCAATGCCTAATACATATATCCCCCTATTATATCCCTGTCATTCCTCCTACCCTGTTTGGGTCAAGTCTCTCGTTCCAATAGAATATGACGTTGCTGGCGATTCCACGACTACAAAATTTGACAGTATCTTATTTAAGAAGATAGCGCGGATGGGACCAGGACCTGAGTCACCTAAACCTGCAGCTACCTCCTCGTCCTCACACTGCTGTATAAAACTAAAGCCGAAGCCTGTTTAGTTTAGAAGTGACATACCCGAAATGTCGTCTAGCAAACGAGCCCTCTTAATCGCCAGTACCTATGGAGGCCTAAATGGAACCCTGAACGACGTCAAGACCATGGAAGGTCTTCTCACAAAAAGAGACTTCGAGATAATCCCCTGCTACAACGAAAATGCAACCCGTGCTGGCATTATAGAGGCCTGGAATAAGTTGATCGAGATCACCTCTCCCGGCGACGCCGTGGTGATCTACTACTCAGGACACGGAGCCCTAGTCCACGACGAAAAGCGAAAGGAGAAGAACAAATCATGGCAGTTCCAGTTTCTTGTCCCAGTCGACTACGACGAATCAACCGAAGGGGACTTCCGAGGCATCCTCGATGTGGAAATATCATACCTGCTTCGTGATACGACGGACAAAACACGGAACGTTACTATTGTGATCGACTGCTGTCACTCTGGTAGGATGTTCCGGGATCCAGATGAGGAACCCGTTAAACACAAAAGTCTTTCAAAAGTACAGTTCCATGATTTGAATTTGTACTTGAAACAGCTTCGGGAGAAAGGCTATTTCCATGGGGAGGTGTTTCAGTTAGGGAACCCGTATGCGGTTCGGATTGCTGCCGCGGCCACCGCGGAAAGTGCTTGTGAGCATATCAATGCGCGTGGACAATGGTCAGGGGCCTTGACTGATGCCTTGGCCAAGGCTATGAATGAGACGGATGGCGTTGATGTGTCGTGGAGGACTACGCTTGTCAGGGTCTGTCAGCTGGTTAATACCAGACACCAGTGGCAACATCCGCAGGTTGAAGGACCTGACACCCGGGCACACTTTTCTCTGCAGCATGTCAAATCAGGGGCGCTGTACGTCAGAATGGAGAATGGTAAGGCCATGATTGACGCAGGAAGTGTGGTTGGTGTGCGAAAGGGGAACATTTACACTGTTGTTCCCTTTAACCCGGATGAGGCAGAAGACGGGGAACCAATCGTGGAAGCTACCGTTACAGCTGTGGCTGCATTCAAATCTAAAGCCGTCCTAACCCATATGCCATCATGGAGGAGTATACACCGCGAGGGTGCATTGGCCTTTTTGAAACGGGACGTCGTTGACAAGTTACCTGTGTCTCTTCCCCAAGGCCTGGACGGTCTCCAAGCGGGAGTGGAAGAATCTAGATACCTCAGACCTTCCAGTCCGGACGACAAGAAGACTCCCTTAGCGGAATTTCGCCATGAAGAGGGCTCTATTGTGCTGGTCGATAACCAAGGCGTCCGAGTCAGAACACGCTCGATCGACAGCACGGAAGAGGAAACATCTCAAACATTCAGTGACATTATTGCCGATGCAGAGCTGCTCGCCCGCGCAAAGCGTGTTCGAGAATTACGCTGCGAAAGAAGACAGGACCTTTTGACACATAACTTACAGGTAACAGTTGGTACCGTGGAAGACGGCGAACCGAAGGTCAATTTCCAAATGGCGGGCAGCGATCACATTACCGAGGGAGAGTCCGTCTATATCTGTCTCGAGAACGCCGGCAGTACTACTCTCTACGTTTCCGTGCTGAATATCAATGTTGTCGGTACTGTTTCATCCTTGACCGGAGCATGGCCCCTGGGTATTGAGCTCCCTGCTGAGCTTGATATAACACTTGGAAGTAATTCCTTTGATGAGCTTGTGGGCTCGGAAATATCTTGGCCAAACGGGGTTGCAGCTGACCTTCCTGTAGAGGAGAGGTTTGTTATTCTGGTATCTAACCGCCCAGTTAGTCTCAACTATTTGGTGGAATCGGTAAACCTCGACGTAGATATTCTGCGCGACGCCGCCGAGTTTGTCAAAACTGCAGCTCACCTTTACGATGTCGTCCACGTTCCATTCCGACTTCACGCGAAGTGTGCCAATTTGGATGATGTTCCTGATCTAGACGACGATTCCTCCAGCGAAACCGTTTTTTACGATGCCCTGGACGAACCAGCGGACCAGTGTATTCTAGCCGCGAATCTACCAGAGCCAGAGACGGTGGTCGAATGGGCAGATGCTCTGAGCTATCCTTTAGACTCCGTACCGAAGGTAAGCCACGTCAAAGGTCATTCATACCCTGCTGCTGATCTACTCAATAGGGCATCTTCGGGGCCATCCTCCGAACCAGCAAGAATATCCCACCATGCATTCGAGTCATAAACCAGCATACCGAGGAGATAACAGTCGTGGTATCTAAGTACCGACCTAATCGAATGCTATCAGACGTAGGGATAAATGCTTCCGCCACAGGTGCTGGCATAAACTTTGGCACAACGGTACTCCTTACCGATAATCGACCCTTTCACTTAGATTGAGGCTAACAGCAATATGGTAGACATTCAACGGTCCGGCGACTAGAAAGACTCTTGCTTCCCAAACGGATGAATGTGGATGCTGTGTTGCTACCTTTCCTCTCTGGTCTCGAAGTGAAGGCTTCGGTGTGATTAGCATATTTAAGGGTCCGGAGAAGATCTTGTATATCGAAAACGACCGGGTCCCCGCTGGAGCGACGGCGTACTTTGCGAATAAGCCCAACCTACGACTTGAGAAGTATGCTGCCGGACAGGAATTGGTATGAATCAAATCTCTCTTTATCCTTTTCTCATACTATGACCATGTCAACCCCACTACGGTTGTTCAAGATGATCAAAATCAATTTTGCATGGTTCACAAGAGGGAACGACAACCGTGGATGGTAAAGGATCCGATATTAGAAATACAAACCTTTCTATAAAAATCAATATACATATTTCGTTAAAAGGGAAGGAAGGCCAGGCTAGATTTGTGCAATACATCATACAACTCAAGCCAAAGATGAGGATCAAATACTGAAAACATGCCATTTCCTCTCGGGCCTAAGCCAAGTGTATATGCACCTGTAAACGCCTACTCTGTCCTAAACACTCAGTCTTGACCATGAGAAATCGTTTTTGTTTCGTCGGAAATGAGTATATCGTGTATGAGAGTATGCAGAGTGTTTAAGATTCAGCTCTGCCCTTCTTATCTATTGGCCAGCAGTGGGGGACCATGTCCCTCGCTAAACAGGTCTTGAACTCAAATGAGCTTGCCCTTCCTACTCTTTTTTGAAATGAAGCTTGTCTTATTTCCCCAACGCCCAGCCTCTGATGATATCCGCTTCTCCATGTTCTGCATACGACCAGTATGTAATATCGCTTGTAAGGGTCTTCCCGTGCATCGTCAAAGTCCATCCCGACCACAACACAAGATATGAATTCAGTCTTATCTGTGTCGAAGAATAACGAGCCCACTATGTTCCGACCTGCGGTAGCAATATAATGCTCATTTTCCTGTCGCGTCTCACCATTCTCCAAGATTTCAATTTCAATATTCAAATGATTGGGAGCAAGTCCGAGACGGCCTGAAACCTTGAGGGGTGAAGTTATCATAAATAGTGCTTGCCCAACTTACGCCATCCAGGACCGGGAACATGATTTCCCCTTTTTATGTGCAATTGGCTTTGTTTTGGAATCAAGCCGCTTCCATAACGAGAGTCTATACATAACCTTTTCAAAGACACCATAATTCCGATGCATGAGCAGAGCTTCGCTTAAACGTCTGGCTAACCCAGGGAATACAACAACCCTATCTGTCTCAAGGGTGAGACCTCGCTTGGTATAATCTTGGATGAGTTCTCGGATGAATTTGAGTGTCATTACCATACTCAAGCTATACAGTAGTTCAGGAAAATCGGGGTCCATAAAATATGATCTTGAAAGAGGGCACTTTAGCCTAGTGACGTTGTTATAGCGAACACCATCTCCACACTCCCACTAGATGCCCGACAACATAAAGATTGGTCGACGTGAAAGCACCCGTTCCTGTAGTACCCATTCTCGTGTGTTAAGTTGGCTTCATCCACATGTTGGCAGAAATTATGCTCACAATCTATTTTACATATCTTCGTAACTCTCTCTTCATATGATAAACATGACAATGCCTCAAGAACCCAGGCAACAGTGGATAAAACCACCGAGTGATGAGCACACAGGTGCAATAGACCATGCTTGTAACCCATGTAATACAGAGCCTGTACCTCGCTCGATTTTCCTCGGAGAGCCAATGAATCTTAAAGACGCGCAGGATAGGCAAGGCCACCATGACCCAAAAGGGTAAGTTGTGCGGATATAGGACATCACGAGTCACACGGAGCACTGCAGGCGTCGCTTCAAAATGAGGTTAGGTGGAAATCAGTGGATGAATCATAACTCTACGGAGTATATACTTTCGCTCTTGTTGGGTGCTGTAGATAAAGTTCCAGACTAAATTAATATTCTCAATGAGAAATACATTATGCCCGTGACTACTATTCTTTAAGAATTTTTCACTGGCTAGTTAGACTCGCTATGTCTTGCTACTGTAACAAGGTGTAAAAAGATCGAGCTGGTCTCTGTGGGGGTGCTTGTATATCATTTCCTTGTGCGAATTTTACCAGCTATTTATATACAAAAATATAATAGGACCACCCTTGATACTGTGGTTCTGATAGTTCCACCCACGATCAGTAAGCGAGACAGCCCACAGGGATCAACATGATCTTTTCGCTCCCTACATCGGTACAAGGAATTTTATACAAGACAATGCCATTTTTGAGCAGAACTTGCCAAACGCAGTTTTGTGGTTTCCATTCTGCCGTAACGGACTCTTTGAAGAGATAGAAAGCGAGACGGTGCGAAAGGGTATCAGGTTGTCTATAAGACGAGCTACTGCAGTAGCACTCTGTTCCTACGCATAAAATATATGGTCTTCACATCAACATTTGGATGAGGTGGACATTCCGTCCAAAGCAGCGGAATTCCGAAGGTCGCGCTTACCAGAGCAGGAGAAAATACAGCGGCAACACTTCTACTAAATATATACTGTAGTGGGTATCGTGCGAATCTCAATATTCCAAGCTCATAGGACATATGACGATGTGTGCCGTATCAGTATCAGCCCTGTTTCTCTCCATTGCGGTCGAGAGACAGGCTGAAATGTAGCCAACAGGGATTTGTCGTCGTTTTTAACACAACCACTTTATAGGGATTGCTAAGTTCCCTCCTCATTTGTGATGCCAAAGGAGTATCCTTCGGAAAGACCACCTGCAGCTCTAGATCTATGTTAACTAATCCCATACTTTATTCTCCCCTACTACACTGGAGACTCGTTGCGTGCGGAGTAGTAAGTCCCGAGACCATAACGGCTCATCCATGGCTGCTGTGGGCTAAAATTCCTGTGCTCCGCCACTAACATCCAAACAATTCATTAGCGCTGTCCACAGATGAAACACGGTTTGCATGAGAAACTTCTTTCTGGCTAACCAAATCATCGTCTAAAGGTAGGCTGTATGGGCTGTGGTCTAGAAGACGTCAGCTTTCGACTACATCTGAAGCTACAGGACTTGACTAGCAGGGGTCGTAGGGCGTATATTCGACGGCATTCGTCATGCCATTCCCTCGCTCTTTCTTTCCCACATTCTACCCTAAATTGAACATACATACTATTTTTACATAACACTGGTGGCTATTCTTCTAGCATCGGCTGGTAGATTAATTAGAGTCTACCTGTCAACCTGCGTTGATTCCCTCATGGCTTTTACCCCGGCATGGTCTCACAACAATGCCCCGAGAGGCTTCAGTCTCATAGCCAAACCAAGTGGACCTTCTTTAATTAAGACAAGCTCTCCTGACTCGAATATTCCGGTTGACCTTCGGGATTTAACCCAATTCTAGAACGACCGATGTGATCCACTCTGGTGAAACGGGCTACCCCGTAGTTTCATCATGACTTAGTTTAATAGACAGGACTACGCGACAGCAATACAAACATTCTATTCCTCCCAGATATAAAAGCGCTACAGTCATCTCTATGATTCTCCTGTCCAGTAGCTCACTCTAACTGCAAATCCTCAAAATGGTCTCTGCTAAACCCTTCATCGCTCTCGCCTTCAGCGCTTCTCTGGCGGCTGCCACCCTCTCACCGGCGTCATCGAACACCAAGGGCAAGTGTCCTGGTAAACTCAATTGCAACCGTGCGTGGTCTTCTCCTGCAAAGCTATTACGAGACTCACAAGTAAACAGCTGCCAAGACCTCTACTGCTATCCAGGCTGCTGAGTGCTCCCACAACACGAGAACTTCTGGTACGCTATCTGCCTCAGCTTTCCTGTTAATCTTCCTACTTACATCTATGCTAATAACATTTACAGAGACACAAACCTTCGCCGTCTTCGTCACTGACCACCAATACGACTCCTCTCACGGTGCTCCCTACGGGACATGCAAGGCCTACACCTGCACTGCGCCTACGGACGCAGAGATGACGGATTCTGATGAGGATTGTTGGACTTTCTTCTGGAAGTAAGTTGTCCTCTGCATTATGGATATACATTTATGTGTGGTCAGGAAGCCAGCATATGCTGACTGGATTGTCGTACAGTGACAACGGGGAGTCATCTGGTGTCGGAACCGGATGCATTAAGAGCCCTAAGGACGGCACCTGTGGTTGCGAAAACTCCGATGGAACCTTCGTCTATGGCGGAACCAACTGCTCCTAGACATGCTGGATATCGTCGTAGGCGTAAGGCTGGGTGCTCTAGCGGAGATTAAGAGTGGTGTATATATTAGTTGAAAAGTTATATCTGCCAACCCCAAATGTATATTTCGGACGGAATACTGTTTGTTGAACTCACTATAAAATAGCTTATGGCATGGTTAGTCAAAAGACTCTACTCTTTCGGGGTTGACTTAACTCGACTTCATCCAGCCCGACATGTCTGTCCTCGAGTCATCTTGCCGCAGATATACTGTGTAGAACACTCGCTCCTTTGCATTCTCGTCTACCTGAGCCTCGTGCGATCTCTGAATCTCATTGCTCGACCAGACATGGAGACATGCCGTTGACCAAATAACCATTTGCTTCTCAGCAGTACAGCTTCCCTTCATGTTGGTTAGCAAGTGATAATTGAAACTCGGCCTTATGTCCTTTACTTGGCTTATGACTTTCCCTCTTCCCCTTTACATAATTCCTTGGGCAATGTCTCGTCAATATACATATGTGGCGGAGTGCTTGAACTATAACGCAGTACATGCAATACAGCGTACTTGGTCAAAGAAAGAGGCCGAAGATAAGAAATACCTCTCCTTCACCCGTGCGTATTATGCATGACAAGAGAAGTAATCCAAGATTGTTACGCAAATTCCTCCAAGGCCCTCTAGCCCACCATGTTGGAACTCCACAGGTCATGAAGAACAACGATGGAAAAATCTCCCGTTCCAGGTACTTCGGAAGGACATCCTCAAACTCGATGTACCTAAAACTTCGACACGGAAGATAGACCAGCCATCGCCGCTGTTGCAGTATCTGAATCGTTTGCAATGCATTTCCAAATATTCCCAGGATGAGTAGCTGTCATCTTGAGCCATCGAGCGGTGACTGTTGGCCACCCCTATCCCACCATGATATTATTATATTCCAATGAGAGCGGGACGATGTGTAATGCAGTGGAGCGGACGCTCTTGGCAGGATAAAAATAGTGGAACATAGATTAAGCTAACGGGAACATGACGAGTTCTGTTGACGAT